AGAGGTCGAGCAGTATACCGTTGGGATTACCAGCACCTCCCCCGGCATAGACGGGATCACGGTGAGGCTGCTCAAGGCCTGTTATGAACATATCAAGGACGCCGTGCGCGACGTTTTCGAGCTCTGCTTACAGCTATAACACTTCCCCGCAGCCTGGTGGGATGCAGAGGTGTCAATAATCCCTAAGATCAGGAAAAAGAACCGCTTTTTGGTCCGATCTTGGCAGCCGATTACATTACTCTCTTGCCTCAGTAAGGGGCTAGAACGGCTGCTAGTAAAGCGAATGGCCTGGACGGCGTTCTCTCAAGGTATCCTCAGTGCCCAACACGGGGGCGCGCTGCCTAAACGGTTATGCATAGACCTTGTTCTGTCCTTCGCCCACGAGGTCGAAGCGGCACTTGCTAAGTGACTCAAGGTCTCTCTCGCCACAGTTGACGTACAGGGTGCACTTGACGCGCTTTTAGTGTGCCGGCTGCTGGAACGCATGCAGAAGCAAGGCTGGCCCCTAGCCTGCCTTGAACTGGTTAAGTCTTTTCTTGAAAAGCGGAGGGCCAAAGTCCGGCTTGAACGTGTCTCTACAGACTTCAAGGACATCAAGTGCGGCACCCCCAAGGGCTTTTTGTGATCCCCAGTCCTCTACATGCTGTACCTGGCAGAGCTCCTGTTACAAGACCCAGAGCTCTGTTTCGGGTACGACGATGATCTCTCTCTCTGCAGGGTATCAAAGTCACTGCAGCGGAACGCTAAGATGCTAACAGATGACCTCAAGCAGGTCATGCAGTGGGGAGACAAGAACAAGGTCTTCTTTGCTCCTGAGAAGTGTGAGCTGGTTTACATTACCAGAAGCCGAGATACCTCCAACCCCTCTATGGTGGTATGTGACCGTCTCACTATCAACCCTGTCCAAAAACCCAAGGGTAGCGAGAAGGAGCCAACACTACGCTAGCTGGGGGTTTGGATTGATCGGAAATTCACCCTCAAGCGACATGTTCAGGAATGTGCTGGCAAAATTATGCAGCTATCCCGACATATACGAAACCTAGCCAACACCAAGTACAGGCCCCCGGCATCCGGACTACAGAAGACTATGATCACCTGCGTCCTTCCCACGGCGCTATACGGGTCAGAAGTCTATTACAGCAGACAAAAGAAGCCGCCACGCAACCAATCACAGGCAGGCAAGCCTGAAATTAGTGCTGGTATAGGATGGCATATCAATACCCTGCAGAGATCCATCACAATGGCGGCACGGGCGGCACTGCCGTGCTGGCGGACCATACCGAATAACGTCATTTTCAGGGACGCTGGCCTCCCCACAACAGATGCGGCGCTTAATGCAGCGCTATGGCGGTTTGCTTTCAGGCTATATATTATAGACAAGAAGCATCTCTTTATTAAATGAATCCAATTGCCGGCAATTATACGGGGCCGTGGTACAGGCGGCTTTCAATGCCCTAAAACCAAATTATAGCTAATAGTTTGCCTGTTATCCCCTATACAGTGGCCCTTACTGGTACCACCGCGCTTCACGCCTGGCTGCAGGATCGATCCAATCAGAGGTATTGGCAAGGAGCAGGCTGTCAAGGACTTCAAGACCTGGTTTAAGGCTTTGCCACTACATGACATGGTGATCTTCTCAGATGGCTCAAAGAAACGGATGTATGTCAAATACGGCTATGCGATCTATCAGGGTGGGCGTCTGCTCGCCATTGGCAAGGGTCGTCTAGACCCGTGTTCTATCGTGTTTAATGTAGAAGTGCTCGGAGCCTGGAAGGGACTTCAGCACGTGGTCAAGTCACCCCCAGAACTTAGTCAGCGCCGGATCTGGGTGTGCGTGGACAACACAGGAGCGATCTGGGGACTCCGCAGCAATGCCGCGGTGTCCTGCCAGTGGGCTACCTAAAGTTCTATGCTAAGGCTGAAGTCCGTAATATTAACGTCAAGTGGTGCCCGGGGCACTGCGCCATTAAGGGCAATGAACTGGCAGACAAGCTGGCTAAGGCCGGCTCTAAGCTCTCTAATGTCAACTCCGACTGTACGCTGACGGCGTACGGCATCAAAGCAGAGGCAAGACTCAGGCTCGAAGTCTAGCGCGACATGTGGTGGATCAAGGCCCAGACCAAGCTGACCGCTACAAGTACTGGGACCTGAAATATAAACTGCGCTATCACAAGGAACTGTAGGTACTTAATATGCTGTTATTACACCCCTTCCTTGCTATCTGCTCAGGGCATGGCGACTTCTCTTGGTATTATGTCAAGTTCAAATATCAGGACGCCGTCCTTGACTGTTCGTGCGGCCGGAGCAAGACTCCGACGCACTTCATCCACTGTCGGAAGACTCTGGCACGGTACATGGTCTGGCCAAGGTGTCAGAAGGCGAACCATATGGGGGGTAAAGATGTATGTTGTTCTGCAGAGGGCTACAATACTAATCAGGCCTGGGGGCCATGTATATGTACATGAATGGTTCCTTTGTTCCCAGGATGTGCTTCCTGACACAAGGGCCCCGGCATCCCAGCCGGAGCTCGGAGCCAGGCTCGAGTATCTAGACGAACTTATGACTACCCCACGGGAGTACATGGACCTATTCGTAGCTACCAACTTCTATGGTAGCATCTGCCCTCCTCGCTGAGGGCATACTCACTCTTTCCTTTTATTACGGCGTTTGTGGGCTTTATCTTTCCATCTTTCCTTTTTAACGTCTCATGGGGCGCGTAAAAACCACTGTGGCATGTCGCGGCACCTACTATAAGCTCTAAGAGCACTGGACCTGGCGTTGCGCCCTGAAAACTGAAAATTTGGGACCTTAGCCGATACTTCCCCTCACCCGGAGAAGGGGGGACACGGTGTAATCCGCCGCTTAAGTGTGGTGGCTGTTTACGGACTTGACCTGCTAGATGGGCAGTGTATGTACATAGAAGACCTAGCCTAGTACGTCTGAGCGGCCTCTTGGAGCCCCTGGTTGACGCTGCTACGCGGCAGTCCCCCCGGCGTAAAATTCTACAACAACAACAACAACACCAGCCTCTCCAATCCTTTATATGCTGTATACAGAGCCAATCTGTGCCCGACTTGGTATGAAAAAGAGACGCTTTGGATATGCAGACGACCTAGCGACTCTCTGCATTAGAAAGAACCTTGAGGAAACAGCTACAGAGGCTTCTGAAAATCTTCATTTGCTCAACTAATGGGGACATAACAACGCTATTGAATTTGACCCTGACAAAACTGAGATCATGCACTTCTCAAGGAAAAAGAACTCAAACAATCCTCCAATTTACCACGGGACAATGAACAAAATAGCCAAGGTTTCTATGCGATGGCTATGTGTCCTTCTGGATAGAAAACTAAACTTTAAAGATCATGTTTCTTACTGGGCTAAGAAAGCTAGTAAGGTAATAAATCACCTTTAAAGACTATGCAATACAGTCAAAAGACTCCCAGTAAAGTCAGTCAGGAGGACTATAAAAGCTTGTATTATTCATATTCTTACACATGGCTTAGAGGCCTGGTACCCAGGAATCAAAAAAATCAGGAGCTCAGGTGAGACATCAGCATGTCGCATTAAGAGGCTTCTTAGAACGATAGATGCTGTACTACGAACAGCGATCAGGGCTATCCTGCCAGTCTAGAAAACACACCCTGGACATATCCTACACTTTGAATCATAGATTCCTCCAGCAGGAGTTTTTACAGAGGCAATAAGACGGCGTCACAGCTTACGACTCGGACGTTTAGACCAAAAACACCCTCTTATTGGCAGGCTCCAAGTATAAGCTCGCAAAGAACCAACAAGGCTACAAAGGAACTTCTAGCTAATCCCTGACTTTCAGAGACCAATACTCACCAAGTCATCATGGAAAAAGTCCCCAATCCGAAAGGATAAAGACAAAAAGACAGAGCTCTTCAAGGAATGATTATAAGAGAGAAATGTGAACACTGACCTTGTCATCTACTCAGATGGATCACAATTAGACAACAAAGGCACAACCCGCACTGGATGGGCTATACCATCAGGAAAGGCAATACTACACAAGAAGTATACCGGGGAAAGGGCAGACTTCTCTAAACAGAAATAATAGATACTGAAGTCCATAGCGCTCTCCAAGGGCTTACAGCAGCCAGGGCAGTTGGACATGGAAAACAGCTATATGTCTATCTGGACAACATAATAGTGGTAGATGGGCTCAATGGGACTCCGCCCGAGACATCACAGAACATTTTTCTATGGTTCCAAGAACTTGCCACAGCACACACTCCTGGAGTGACCGTCAAGTGGATTCCTGGACACAGAGATATTAATGGCAACAAAACTGCTGACACACTAGCAAAAGAGGGTGCCATGCTAGAAACAGACACAATAAACCTTGCTACAATCTCGTGGGTTAAGACAAATCTCAAAAGAAAGGGCAAGAAAGAGTTCAATCAATGGTAGAAAGACCAATCAGAACCTAGGTATCAAGAAGACCTCCACAACATTCCCAGGTTGGTAATTAACCCTGACGAGCTCTGTGCCACCCTCGCCAGTCTTACTTTTAGCAACAGGGGCGATGAGGTAAGATCCGTCGGTCCCCGCACTCGCGTGGATGGCCAGCTTTCGAGCAAGCAAAGCTGGTGCCATGATCCGAACAAATTTGCCAGCTAGGAAGGCATGGCGCCAGTCGAACATTTGCTCCGTCCAGGACCGGAGTTTCAAGACATCAGTTGCTTGAGTCCAAATAATTGAAGCCCCATATTTGACAAGAGTGGCCCTGGAGGACACCGCAGGTTCTAGGTAGTAGTTCACAATTCTCCTTTCCGGGAACCTCGGGGGAACTTTACCCGCAACCGCGCCCCATTTGTGGGAAAATGTCACGGGTACGTACCTAGGTACGTACCGTGCCACCCTATGTGTATATAACCAGGTCTGGACCCCCAGCTACTTGTTTTACTTCCTCTTCCTTCTTTAACAGCTACAATATACATTGGTCTACATATCAAGCTCTTCGGGTTCATCCCTTAGACCTTGTTCGTTACAGAAAACCTGCCCTTGTCGTTTGAACGCAACTCAGCGACCAGTTTTGCTCTCCAAGGCTCTGTTGGTCGTCCGGCTCGGAATAACGCCAAAAGCTCGCCACTGTAGCCAGCTCGGCCTGCTTGGACAGCGATTTCGGGGCCGCAATTTTCGATTCCGGTGCCATCGTAGTCCCCTCCGGCCATGAGCGCCATCAAAATCAGGTCCTGTTGTCGTAGCGGAGGTTGAAGCCGCTCCGGCATTTGGTACCTTCTGACCATTGCAATCTGGTTCTTCGCGTCCAACCTCTGGAGGATGATACGGCTCCCAAAGGCAAATGCATCTCCGTCTTTGGTCAAGACCGCGTCAACGACACCAGCCTTTTCCAGCTCAGCACATTCAGCTTCCGCTTCTCCTGGTGCATCCCGCCACGGTACACCTAACAAATCTAGCATCTGTTTAGACAGCATATTGATGTGGTCCGGGCTGTACTCTGCGTCGACCTCAGCCTGCGTCCGGGAGGACGAGCTCCTGGCCCCCGCGTACTGCGGGTCTATCGGCGGTCGAGATCCGGAGTAGTTCACATGTCTGCCGCGCTTGACAGGCGGTTTCCCCGGCCCGTCGTAGACGAAGATAGGTTGGGCACCAGCGAAGAGGAGATGCAATATGTGATAGAACAGTGTCCGAGTAGGATGATTCATCCCCCCTACGCAGATAAAGCATTAGTAGGTCCATAAGTAGACTCAATCAGTTTGTGTGGGAGTACAACCATATGGCTCGACTTTCTTTGTAGCCTCCTTATACTGAAAGACGGCAAATGGTGTGTCTACTGCGATACGAAGTGGGCGGCCTTTCTCGCGGACGCAATCTGCTACGAGCTTCGCAATCGGGACGTCTTCCCCAGGTAGCACCTTCCGGACCTCATCCCACAATCTTTGACGTAGTCCGCATTAGCTACGAGTAGACACGACGAAGACACGCCCTTGGCAGAGCAGCATGAGAGCGGTGCAACGGCCGCTGGTGTGTGCTTACCCGTTAATAGTCATCGCAGTAAAGATAAAATAATGGCGGCCTGACTACAATGAGCTTCCAGAAGATGGAAATATGTTAGCGCTGTTACGAAGGCTGGGCCGAGGACTGTCAGGGTGTGAGAGATACGCGGTGACGGCGCGTCAAGCGACGGCAAATCTCGCGGCAGACACGAGACGCCTGACCACGTGATGTAGTGGGGTCTCCCGTAGGGGTCGTCGACTGTCTAAATGCAAGTACTTCAAAGGATGCGGATATTGCTATATCCATAGATTACCCATAATTATCCACTCCTCACCAGCGGACAGCACCGGGTAGATGAATTTTCAGCATTCTGGGCCTTGTCGATTCGAAGCTTTCTTCTCTCTATCATCGCAGTCTTATTTCCATTCGGTTGGCGCTCACAGAGCCACATGCCGAGACAATGTCGTCGTCACGATTGAAGGCTTTCTCCAAAGAAGCGAAGGCGAAAAACACGAAGAAGGAACCGGTTAGCCCCGCACATGTTTAGAATCATCAGAATACTCTACTAAGAGACGTCCCAGCAACTCGACAGCGCCGATGACTACTTGGAGGCTGCCAGCGAACATGAAGATGCGATGGGAAAACACCGCGCCGGTGATGCCGCCAAGGCATTGCGCTTCGCTCACCGGGCACTAGAAGTGTACTCTAATGGGGTAGCCAAGTTCCCTCAGAACTTCGATCTCGCCTACAACAAGGCATGGCTAGAGCTCGAGGTTGCAACACATGATAGTCTTGCCGAGGCTCTTGATGTTCCCGTGATCGGGCTGCTTCGCCAGGCCTTGGAGTCTCACCGTATTGCCTTGGGCTTGAACTCTGATAATGCAGATGCGCTCTTCAACATGGCACAGGTGCTGACGGCTATCGCGGAAAAGATCGCAGAAGACGACGGCGCTGACGACTCAGAAGCGCTCCAATGCCTAGAACAAGCCATTGATTATCAGAATCAATGCTTCCAGATCCAGGAGAGGGAGTTCACGAAGAACCGCCGTGAATTCGAACAAGCGATGCACGGAAGTGCCGATAATGACCCAGACAACGACGGTGGTGCACGCCGGACCCAGAATACTGCCTACCCGGCCTCAGCAAACCAGGACGAAGAAGAAGACCAATGGGTCAGCGTTGTGGAACCTGTTACTGCCAACAGCCTTTTGGACACTGTTATCGCCCAAATCAACACCCTGGCCACTCTTTGCAGTATCATCAACTCACAGCTAGCCGCTACACCAGGCCTTGCGCCCCCTATATCGATGTCTTGGGTCGAGTCCTTCTCCACGAAGCTGCTGGCCGGCGTGTTGCCGAACCTTATTGACGAAAACAAGGAGGACTTGGGACCACGGCTTTCGGAGATGGCCCTCACAAAAGCAGTTTTCGTGGGCAACTTCCTCGAGCTCTCCTTTCGGTCCGGCGCTAACGATGTTGATACCTATCAAAAGGAGCTTGACAGCGCCTTCAAACAGCCCGAAGTTGACGCCACATCTGAGGACGTCCTTCTCGCCTGGGCTCGTGCCCTGATAGCTTTCAATAGTGCCCTTGCGGACTCGGACTCTCAGCAAGCGAACTCTGATGCAGGCGGCGTGCCTCAACAAACCCAAGCTTCGCTTCGCTGGTCTGTCCTCATTGACGCGCAATCTCGGTTGACAGCGACTGCGAAGCTTCCGCATATATCTGCCTCCAAAGACCATGACGATACTCGTACCCTGACCACGACTCATCTTCTGAGAGGCGACATCTCATTACTGCTCCAAGCGCTCTCATACCCACCCACGGCTCATATACAAGCGCGCAATACGGCGGGGCAACTGCTTAAGAATGCAGAGGTTTACTATCGGAATGCAGGAAAGCTGTTCGGTACCCTTGGCTCGGATGCTAGAGAAGAGAAGGCAGTTTGCGAGCTGAAGGGAGGCGTTGTGGCCGTTTTGCAGCAGCTCATAGCCGATGCGACTTCAGCGGGAAGCAGCTCAAGCACAGCCGATAGCAGTGCGAGTAACTTGTCAACAGCGTCTCCGCAGTTGATGGAGAGCGGGCTTGGAGCTGTAGCGAGAGCCAAAGGCGAGGCATGGGTTAGGGAACAGCTTGATGATTTGGTGGCTGAAGGTTTGATCCTGCCGCAGGTCTTCGGCTTGCAGTAATCACATAGTTAGTTGATCAGCACATATTGGAAGTTCAAGGAGCGATGCTTACCTGTAGAATTAAAGAGCAGGAAACACTGAACATGTGCCGACGCTACCACTCCTTCAGCTCACCTCTTGCACACCGTCAATGCGTTCGATGGAGTACCGTAGTTTGAGTATATGCACGCCAAACACCCTGCACGGTCATTCCCCCTTTCCAACACCCAAAAGGAGCACCCCAGCACCCAAGCCACCCACCGCTCCGTGGCCACACTCCTATCATGAGATCTACTTTCATTGTCCACCAACGGATTAAGACCGAGTATGATACAACGCGAAACATGTTGGCATACATCCCAGTTGCAATTATTCCTACGTTGATCCGATTTTATCAGCGTCCCATGATATACGGCGAAAACCACAGCATGTCGACGTGACAGACTACTTTCAACAACCTTGCAGCGGCACTTCATAATTAAGGTTGTCATTGTCCCAGCCGCAGTCAAACGTGATGCCCTGCGGAGACGCCCGCTGAAGGGCATCCTCGAGTCGTTGGTCATTGATGGCTATTTTCGCAAAGTCCCACGTCATCAGTGTCTCTCTCAGATGCCCCGGGGACCCCATGTAATCGACCAACGCGCCATAGAACCAGACGCCCTTGGCGTTCTCGATGCGGTCGTCGTCCTCGCGAGCGAAGCGGAAGCAGTGCGTCGACCCGCCGTTCCGGTGGTAGATGACCTTGGGGTGGTCGCCGTCCCACCGCAGGTCCTTGGCCTCGCGGACCTCGAACCCTTCATGCTGGGATACGGCGACGTGCGTTGCCTGGTCATCCTTGACCCAAACCACGATGTGCTCCCAGTCGTGGCGGTGTCCCTGGTGGAATATGTCGCCTGCGGAGTCCTTCTGGAAGTAGTAGTCGTAGATGTATGCGCAATAGCCGTTGTTGCAGCGCTGTCGAACGTAGACATTGTTGTTGTCGAGGTCGCTTATGTCATGGCAACCGTCGGGGTTTTTGTTCATGACGGGGAGCCCCACGGCCACAGAGCCGTCGATACCGATCGCGGGCGTGTCTATTAGCAAACTAGAGTTAGCAACCATTCCTTTCAGATGCTGTAACGAGAAGCAAGGAGCCGAGATGCGTGTCTCGGGAGCGAGGGCTCCTGAGACGACCAGAAGAGGAAATCCGCTCTCAAGGTATAACCAAAAGAGGTGGTGAAAGACTCTAAAATGCACTGACTGTAGCAACTGTCGGTGTCGAAGTCCATCGCAGGCTGCCAGCGGAGATCGTACTGGGTGGCACATTGTGGTAACGCCGGGGGCGGATCGGTGGGCCCGCGGGTAAGGGGCGCCGGTACGGCAACAGCCGAAGAGAGGAATATGCCCAGAAGGCTGAAGATGAAAGTAGAAGGCGTCATTGGGCACGTCCCCGTGGGATGATGCGTAGGATATCGGATTACAATACTCGTATGCAGTGAAATACAGCAGCTGGGACCCTGGGTGCTAATCTCCTGTAATGTGAGATAATATAACATAGCAGTGACTCTATATGGACTTCCAGAAATTCTCTACCAGTGCCGCTATTCAATGGGTTACTATTCATACTACTTGGAAGTTTGAATAATTTGCGTGTGTATTGTAATAGAAGCTACCTTGAGATTATAAGCCTATGGGTATTATTGATGTGAACAGACTTTTCTTTAATGTGTAAGAGTACAGGAGCTTCGAGAACAGTGATGTTTAAAAGATCGAGAGAGTTGAGGATATTGTTGGCATTGATCAGAACGTCGATAATCAGCGGTGCCCCTTTGAGATACCATTGTGATGCTTCATTACGCCTTGGAAATCTCTGGCAAATCTCATAAACATGAATGAGACAGGCGTATTGTTCATTCGATTAGGAACGTCATTGCACTGTGTGAACAGCACCATAGGCTCGGTCTGCTCACGTTGTAAAGGCGGCATACAGAGTCCGAGTCGTTGTACAGCCGAGTTCGTCTTGATACATACTGATAACCATCTCTCTTCCCATCTTGTATCATCCATCTGGCCACTCGTTCGTTCACGTAGTATCCTGCGGACTTTGCTTATGGAATTTACATTCTTGCTTCGAACGACAGGGGCACCTGATCGCTGATGGTGCAGCTTCTGCTTCGATTTGATTCTACTTGAATGAGAGCGAATTGGTACAGCCGCCAGTCTACATGATGATAACGCTTTGTCCGTCAGATCCCCATGGCCCTCGTTCTGTATCGATACCTCCAAAAGGCGGCACTCAGTGGACGGCCCTTGCAACTGCAGACTTCAGCTCCATTTCACGGAACATCTGAACCGGGCCAAGCACAAGCATGTATGAGGTGGTTTAATTCAGGACGCGGTTTCCTTAGCCCCTCGTTTGACATTAGGCATGAAACAATCAACCACCTGACGTCGGTAGCATGTGTGTACCTTAGGTACCTGTTGAAGATAGTGGATACGGTCGTTTTTGCCATACCTTAACCAACAAACACTTCTCCGGGCGAATCAGAATTGTGACCGCCTTTCGTGACTCTTAGCTTGGAGTATTATGCAGGAAGTCTTGCAGGGTAACTGCCATCCGAACCAGATGTGCACAAATCACCAATCACCAAACCTCTAGATGCACCAGTGACCCGCGCCCTCCCGCCCTTCCCGCCCTTCTGGTAAACCCGCGCGCTATTGGACGGGCTCAGAGAGTGCTAGATCTGCTCGGGCGGAAACCTTGATGTGGTTAGAGGTCTATTTAAGCAACCCTGCCTACCTACTTCTTCGAGTTCGCTCAAGCTGACACCCGACGGACAGCCCTCCATCCACACTGACTACCTACTCAACAACGACCATGATGATGCACCGACACACCATGTGGTTCCTGGCGATGATTGTCTTCGCTGTCCTGAGCCAGGCAGCCAAGCATCGCCTCATCGTGGGTACATTCAGCACCGAGTTCCTCTACACTCTCGAGTACGACGACCAGGACCAGAGCTTAGTGCTTGTGGCCACCAATCCCGTACCTGCTGCAAGCCAATGGATCGCACTGAACGTGAGTACCTTGCTAGTGCTTACCTTACCTTACCAATCTCAGCATAACACGGCCCACTCCCACTCCATGCTGACCGATCGTATCATTGTAGCACGACAAGACGAAGCTCTACGGCACGGACTGGAATGCCGCCGAGCCGTCGTTCATGAGCTACGACATCCAAGATCCCCTCAACATCAAGCACGAAGCTACCATCGTGGGAGGTCGCTACTGCTCAGGATCCAAGAGCATCTTCGTCGCCGCCTACCCCAAAGCACCCTACACGGTTTATAGCAACAACTACTACGGCGATGCAAAGTGCAGCTCGGTCATGTCTGTGCATGACAACGGCACCCTGAAGGAAATCATACAGGACTACACTTATGCCCCCGGCTCTGCTGTCCACGGTCTTGCGTTCAGCTCTGGCGGCGGATACCTGTTCTCGGCGGATACCATAGGAAACAAGATCTGGACGCACCAGATCGACGCCACGACAGGGCAGCTCACGTACGCGAGCAACATCACGGGGCCATCCGCGGGTTCGGATCCGCGTCACATCATCGCACACGGCGGAGACAAGTTCCTGTACACCGTCCTGGAGGGGTCGAGCGAGGTTGCGCAGTACGTCATGAACCGCGACGGCCAGCTGTTCTACCACGATACAAAGTACCCTCTCATCCGTGAGAGTGAGAACCCGGCGGACTTCTGGGCCGACGAGATCTCGATGTCTGTGAACAGCAAGTACCTCTGGGCGACGAACCGGGCGCGCGACAATACTAAGAAGGGCTATATCTCGGTGCTCGAACTCGACGAGGCGGAAGGGGCTATCGCGGGACAGAATTTCCTGTTGCCGACGTCTACCAGTGGCGGTTTTGCCAACGCGGTGGCCGCGAGCCCGTTCGACGAGTCTCTTGCGGCTTTGACGGATAACTCTACGGGCTTCGTCGAGATTTGGAATGTCAACGGGTATCCGATAGCGCATCTGAACATCGAAGACGGAGGTGGCTGTTGTGCCAATGCTGTATGGCTGGATTAGATAAGCGGCAACTGGTGACTTTGAGAGTCACCCAGTTGTCTGCGTCTGTGGTGTTGGCGTCGTGGGGAAGACTGGTGAAGATGGAGCTGCGTCTAACTTCTTGGGAATGCACCCTTTGCATATAAGGAAGCGTGGTGAGGCGATGAGATTCACCACCAATATTCGCAAGCAACTGGAAGCATTTGCAGGGAGCAGTACGCGTAATACCTACTTGCAACAATAAGTACTTGGTCCAATGTGTCCCTGTCAGTGATTCCGAAGCCGCTGCCTTGCGACCTCAGGTGAGGGTGTCAGCCCGGATAAGCAGTTTTGATCGGAAAAGGCGGTACTATGCAAAAGTTTGTCCGGACGAGAGGTTGGTGCTCGTGCCCTGCTTATGGCATCAGGCGGGCCTTCCTAATCACCAAGGCATCTACCGGTATAAATAGCTGCGATGGTGCTATACAGGGGCCCCCTGCCGACCTTGCTGAGTCCTCTTACTCTTCTCTCTGGTTCTCGCTGGTACCCAAGTCTGCCGACAACCTGCCTCGACGCCTCTTGAAGCCATGGTCCGAGATTTGAACGCTTTGAGAGCTACTGCGAAGCGCTGGACCACCAATCGACATTCCCAAGCTGCGTCCCTCGAAACGAATGCCGAGGTGACTACGCTGTACGAAGAATTGGACCACGGAAAACGTCAGATTCGCCTTCTTAGAGTGAAGCCTGGCCTTCAGGAGATAGAATGCGTACTCGAAACCTTCCCACTGGACGATCCACCGGTGTACAAGGCGCTATCCTATACGTGGGGCCAGGATGCAGCGGGCCATGAGGTCCGAATCAATGGAGAGGGCTTCTCTGTGAGACCCAATCTCTACGAGCTCCTTCGACTACTCTTGCGTGAGCAGGACAGCAGCTGGTTCTTCATCGACGCCGTATGCATCAACCAGCAAGATGTCGCCGATCGCACGAGTCAGGTCAAGCAGATGGGCGACGTCTATCGCTATGCTGTGGAGGTCGTAGCTTGGCTTGGTTCTGATGGCACTGAGGATCCTGATGTTCTTGCAAGTTGGCAGGGGCTGTGTGGACTCGGCGTGGAGGCTCTGGAGAGCCCGGATAGCGCTGCTTTCATGGTTGAGCGCATGAAGAGCAGATCGACTGAGCTGCTCGCGCTTCTTGAGGCTCTGTGCCAGCGACCTTATTGGAGGAGGCTATGGGTAGCACAGGAGGTCATGCTCAGCCGCGAATTGACTCTGCGCTGCAACGAGTTGCGATGCCCTTGGGATGTCTTGCTCCTCTTTCTCGACTACACATACGAGCAGGACTTGACTGGGTTCGCAAAGGAGGTGCCGGTCCACAAAGTACCGGTATTCGCTCTGAGATATGAGGAAAGTGAACTAGACAACAGCTCTTGGATTGCTGTCAATAGCTTGTTCATGGAATTTTCGGATCCTTTGGCTTCTTCAAATCATTGGGTGCGCTTTGGGATGGCCAACCGACGGTCTCGACCGATTCATCTCAACTGGCCTCTCGGTCGCGCAAGGCTGCTGTTGAACCAAAAGAAGGCATGGCAGCCGGAGAAAGATAGACCAAACATGAGACGACAACGTGGTAGCAGCCTTTGTGATGCATCAGTGCTCCATCACCCACGATAAGATCTTTGGCTCCCAGGGCCTAACCCACAGTGAAGTCGTCGTGGATTACAGAATGTCTGTCTCTGAGCTCTACACTCATGCGCTGATTGAGGGTCTCGTGGAGCTTCAATTGTTCCGAGGTCCTTACCTACCCTGCAAACGGTCAGAACCGTTGTTGTACGTTGGGGTGCTCTTGTTGGGTCTTGCCTTGATGAAAGACAGGCGCTATCGCGCAAACGCGATTCTGATCACATCCACTGTCCTGAGACGCATGGGCTGGTCTTTGCGACATCGACAGTTCTGGCATCTCGCTAGGGAGCAGTTCGACCTCATGGCAACTTACCATTTTCCGCCCACGGACTTCTTTCTTCAGTTCCTCTATCCTCTAACGGTAAAGATGCTCTTCTGGCGACTCGAACTCGAGATGCGCGTCTATCGATCAGTCAACTCTGTACCAGCGTCTGCCGCCGAGCGTAAATCGTTCATGGCATGAGACGAGTACATCGAAAAAGCATACCGCGAACTTTTGGAGAAGAAACTATCTGGCTTGACCAAGTACGACGGTCTCGTCCGGGAGTTACAGCGACTATCCACCGCAGAAGGACTCACCGACAACGAGGCGAAGGTTCTTTTAGAAGATATTGTCAGGTTCCCGACTGCTCGCGAGTGTGCTCAACTGAACGAGCGAGCATTACAAGATGTGCTCGATCGCCTAAAGTCGATGACTACGTCCGACTGCACAACGAGCAAAGATGACTGCAAGATACTGCTGACGATCTTTGACAAGCTGTCAGACGCCGTGAAGCCTCGAGAAGATTGGGGTTTCAGCGGCGTGCCTGATATCATGCAACGAGCCAATAAACATGTCAGAGCGATCGAAGAGCTCCTACGGATTAGTCGAAAGTCCGGTGAATCGAGATATGTAAAGATTAGGGAGGCTTTTCAAGGCCGGTACTCAGACTCTGTTCCATTATTCTAGCTGAGAGGGGCGGAACAGCGGCATTCCCTGAAGGTGTGTGGCAGTGCGACTGAACGATGGTCAGTCAACAGTGCGATAGTGGTACGACTTGACTCACCCGTCGAATGTGGTAATGGCAAGCATGCCTTGTGTGCGTCAATAGATACCATTGATCGAACTTAAGCTTTAGCTAGAAAGCTTGCTTGCTTGCCGGCTCGGTCACGGACCTGTATAAATAACTGGAAGAATTTACGTATTTTAACGAAATATTTATTATGTCGAGCAGAGTAAAGACGCGGCTTTTAATTTATAAATCGTAAAAGTAAGAGACGGTATATCTGCTAGACTATGCGTTCGATATTAAGCGGGTGTTATCTCGGATAGACCGGCTGTAATATTCTAAGCGGAAAGCGCACACGACACTTCTTATAAAAGAGTTTCAAAGTATTAAAGAAGTTCCTGTAAATTTGTATACGCCACGATGAATATCTTTGAGCATAACATAAGAGGTTAGTAAATAAACCAGAGGCCTGGCTTATCAAGGAATATACTGCAGAAACCCTTTGTGGTCGCGCTTTTACACGGGTGCCTAGGCAACAAATAGGCAGTGTCCCATTTTGATATTTAGGATGTTAACGAGACAGAGACAAAAGTGAGTCTGTTGACTATTACTATGGCCATGATAACACTTCGACCGGGACGACTTGGCTTACAAGTGGTGTAATTGGAGGTGACACAGGTTCCACTTACGGGCTACGCACACAAGTGTTGAGGGCCCATTGACACTTCGAGATCGTCGGTAAGCTATAAGGAAGCGAGACAGTCAACGGCTGAGGTCCATTCTCCTATTCAGAAGGCGTAGCAGCGATGATAGCAAGGCCAGATGCCCAATTTTGATCAACAGGGGCGGCCACGTTCCATGGCTCGGCCCAGGTCGAATTACATCCTGACCATGAGAGCCTCGGTGTACCTTGGCGACATAGCTGCCTCCGTCCTCGATCAGCTGGTCCTTGTCCATCTCATAGCAACCTTTCACTATAAAGTTCTTCACAACTGTGACCAGTCACAAGCCGAGGAGACCCTCCGCCTTCCCCCGTCTGCCATTGACCAACACACCATTATGGCGGTTTGTCACCTACCCGGTGCCTGTCGCATCCTCTTCGTGGTCGGTGTCATTGCTTATGGCATCCTGGTATGGCGAATCCGCCCTTTGAAAGTCGTACATCAACCTGTCCTCATCTGCGTCTGGTACGTCAAATTTGAAATGCTTGACTGTATCCGCAATAACTGCAAGTGATAGAAGTATCCTATGTTTTGGATGTCAGTGACACTCTTCTATTCCTGGTCGACATCCTCGCCGCAGTACTTACGCAGCAACAGCCGTAACGACAGACAGCGCCCCAAACGGGGGCTGATCTCTACTACCCAGACTCGCGGCCAAAGCCAGATCACCAACGATGAAGCCAACAGTGATAAGTCCCCCTATCAAAGCCGTAGCTTGATTGCAGAAGTGGGATTCCCGACCACTGACTCGGCCGGCTATTTGGAGAAAGAAGAAGATGGCGAGATTGAAAGCCGCACCCATGAACCCCTAAACGATAGTTAACATGGTAAGGGTCCTTGAGACGATGGAGGACTGTCCACAACTTACCACAGGTGCACAGGCATTGAGGACAGAGCTATCAGCGTTGTGCTCCGACCAGGATACGTTGCCGTCCATCCAGCCGTCTTCGTAATTGATAGCCAAGACCATGCCCGCTACACCGAGCACCAGGTGGCCGAAGATGGCGACGACGCGGGCTGCAAACCACCAAGCCTTATCCATGTTTACTGGCAGTCTGTGGTGCGCGAGCCTTTATGGTAGTTGATTCCTGAGAAGAGTGATCAGAACGATGTTGTAGTGAGGAATTGATGCTACGCGCGCACTATTTCAGCTGTCAGGGTGCCACCCCATCCCAGGGTGAGTCAGCGAGGGCTCCTGACAGATCATAGGCTGACTGATATATAGATACTGAGGCTGAACCGACATAGCCACGCTGCTCCGGTCAGAGGACCAGTTATTAGTGCTGACGATCAATCCTGGCCGATATCGTTTAAACGTGTTCCCCAGATCACTTGCATGGAGAACGTGATGCTGATCCTTTGCCTCCATAATACGGTCCCGCATTATAATGCGACGGAGCCAGCACACTCGGTCCTCAACAATCATTTTGGGGTGACAGACATTTAGCTGCATATAAACGCCGACCGAAAATGGTCTTTGCCTTCGGCCGCGACTCCAGCAGAGATGGCTTCTGTACCATCAGAACAGACATGGACCGGCAGCCGAAGTGCAACGGATGCCGCAGAGTCGAAGCGCTGCTGCGCTACGGCAAAGAACACGTCCCAGTGGGATCGAGTTCGAAGCCAGTGCTGTTCCACAGCGACTACCGGGAGCTCGAATACTGCGCAGAGAAATGCAGCACTTGTCGCGTCTTTCGCCGTAGCCTGATACTCAACCAGGCCACCTTCGCGCAAGTCGAGGCGCTGGCGGCGCCGGCGCAACAAGTCCCGGTGTGGGCAACCATCGAGCACGGAGAACTCCGAGTGAGCTTACAGGAAGGTGCGCGATCCTCCTGTCGGGCGAGCATGAAAGTCAAAGCAATATTGAGTGAGCCAGCTGAGATGGCAGAGCGCTCACTTCCGACCCTCGCGTCGGAAGACCGAGTTTCGGCGCAGATCCAGGCCTGGGCGAAAGGCTGTCAAACACAACATTCAAACTGCGGCAACCTCAATTGGTCTCATAGGAATCCCACGAGGCTGGTCCAGATATTGTCAGGTTCTTCCATCAGGCTCGTTGACACTCGGGAGGTGGACTTTTTGCCATATATCGCTCTGAGTTATTGCTGGGGGCCCGATCAAGAGCCCGAGAAGGAGTCCGGTGCTGAAACAAAGACCGTAAAGACAAACTACACCCAACGCAAGAAACCGTTCTCCATAACGGACCTCCGGAAAACCCTTCAAGACGTTATCCTTCTAGCAAGACGCGTTGGCGTACAGCACGTGTGGATCGACTCCGTGTGCATCATTCAAGACGACAACGAAGACTGGAGGACCGAGGCATCGTCAATGGCGGAGGTGTACAGCAACGCATATTTCACACTATGCGCAGTCGCAGTAGACAACGCTGACGCAGCACTGGACCGACCCCGAGAAGCCTGGAGATATCCAACCGAGCCGTGCCGGCTCGACGGGCGGAATCTCGCAGCTTCAGGTCCGCCTCTGCATGAGCTCAAGCGTCGCGCGCCATACTCGACCCGGGCGTGGATCCTGCAGGAAGAGAAACTCTCGCCCAGGATCCTGTACTGGACGCCACAGCGGATGTACTGGTCCTGCGCAACGCAAAGGTTCGAGGAGGGCGCGCAAAGTCGGAGACGACGCCCTGAAGTGGCTGATGAGAAGAGCTCTACACAGGCCTTCCTCCGCGCCTCGCGCGATGGCGTGAACCTGCACCCGTATTGGAAGGATATTGTAGAAGACTATACAAGAAGACTGTTAACAAGTGCAAAGGACAGGTTCCCCGCCGTGTCGGGTCTTGCCGCGAAGTACCAACTGCTGCAGGACGAGGATGAATTCCTAGCCGGCCTCTGGCGAAACACCGTGGCCGAAGACCTTGCCTGGTCCGTTGAGTCGGTTCCGCCGCCGGACCGGCAGCGGGATCGAATACAAGGAATTCCTTCCTGGTCGTGGGCATCGCTCCGCTTGGGCACACCAGTCAAGATGAGTCGCAACTGGCTTGCCTGCAACTCGTTCATCTTCCTAGAGGCTCAGAGCGGACAACAGGATCTGGTTGTACCTCTTCCGCTCGATGGAGTCGCACCAGTGGACCGTGCCATCCAAAGGATCCAGATAGGAGCCCACGTCACGAGCATTAAGGTGCGAGGCCGAATGCGACCTCTACTGCGGGCAAGCTCGGAGCAACGCCTCTGGTCAGACGTGAGTAGTCGTTCGGCAACACAGGAGGGGACTTTCTCGTTTGCGCGCTTCGTCGACCGGAACATTCACTGCATCGAGCCGAGTAGGGGACGGCTTCTAGTTTACGAATCGCAGAGACGCGAGACGGTGTATCAGCTGGACTATCTGTCAGATACCGAGCGGGTGCTTTCCCGGATGGGCCACCTGCAGTGCCTCGAGGTGGGTGCGCATACGATACTGCTTGTAGAAGAGTGTGAAGGTGCTGAGGAGCCGGTGAAGTCGTGTCGGCGACTAGGACTATCTTTGGGCTTGACAAGGCAGGATTTCTTTGGGAGCGCTCTCTTGGGGACGTGTCACTTAGTATGAGGCACGAAATCTGGAAACAGACGAAGTGAATGTTCGGAGGGGTGAGAGATGGCACAACATCTAATGACAGCTACTCCGCGACTGGGAGACCCAGACTCGCGATCCTTCCTCGGCACCATTGACACCGGGGCCGTCAAGCTTTTGTGCGCCGTGATGTCAGTACCAACCTGTCGTGTGACCGGATCATGGCATGATGCGAATAGGCGCACGAGGGGATGATATTGTATTCATGTTCCCACTTCTCATAAAGGGTCCATATATTCCCGATTTCTTCGACCTGAAACCATCATTCCACCAGACTAGAACTGGCGCATGTCGACGAACGTGGGCCGTAGGGTCGAGAGGGAGATGGGAGACGAGGAAGCCGGTGGTTATCTCGAAAAAAAGTTACCAGCTACGACTAGATTACAGTTACGACGAAGATGTCGAGCTTATGTACCATTACCAACACCGCCAAACCCACTTCCCCTATTACCCCCCTATTACCCATTATCACCATCATATCCGCACCACACTCTGTGCATCAGTAGTATACCGCAAATCATCCTTCATAGCGCTCTTCAACCAGCAATAATTCAGATCCGTCCCCTGCGGCCCGACATCATACCAGATTGCGCCGTTGCACTGCTCGTTGTTCGCGCACAGCGATACGCACTCCTGCATGGTCTGCGCCTCGAGGTTCTCGATGTCTGCGCCCTGGTGCGCAACGTTGCACTCGACTTTGAATTGATCACCTGTTTTGGGGTCGGTGTAGGTGCTGCCGTCGTCGGCGAGGCACTTGGGCTTGGAGGAGCCGCCTGATGTGGGCTCGGTGGTGGGTGTAGAGGTGGCGGTGGTAGTTGTAGGGGGGGCAGCGGCTGTGGGCTGGGACGGAGTTGGGTCAGCAGTCGTTGGTGTGGGTTTGGTGACAATAACAGGGGGAGTGGGCTCGGTCTTCGCTTCCACCGTAGGAGTCGAGGTTTCAGACGGCAAGCTTGGTGTCGTGACCGGTTGTAAAGAAGTGGCGATGGTAACTAATTCCGAAGAAGCAAGAAGTGGGAGCTCGCTCGTCTTGAATGCGGATACGGTTTCGGTCGTGAGCGAGGGCAACAGGAGGGAACTGCTGCTTACTTGGTTACCACCACCCTGAGACATTGTCACTGGCGTCGAACTGATGAGTGAATACGTGTTAGCGACACTGCTGCTGGAATAATTCCTTCACGATAGAGGCGCTTACTGTACAGCATGATTACGTTTCGTCAACCCAACAGCAACCCCAATGACGACGCCCACAAAGACCAGCAGCACACAAGCCAGCACCACCCAGAAGGTCCTCCTTCTCAACCCCCAAATCGTCGGCGTGCCGTCGCCTACCGCAATCTTCTGATTCATCTCCCTATCCCAGCTCTTGCCCGTGCGAAATTTATCTGACAAACTGACGATCCGCGGTCCCGAGACCACAATGAGGCCTGGCTGAGACTTCCGGATATCGGGACTTCCGACTTCGATGCCCTCCTCGGGCGGGTGCACCTCCGGCGCGGACGACTGGCTGCCGATGACGGTACTGGTCATGCTCGAGCTCGCCGAGTGCGGGTGCTTGTCTCGGAACCTGAGACTCTTCCTGAACTTCTTGAAGCTCTCCCACGTGGGCGAGGCCGCTGGCGCCCCCCGCCCGATGTCGCCCTCCTCGGCGCAGTCCCAGCACGCAGGCAGGGCCTTGCGGTCTGAGTGTGGGCAACGTGAACCATCATTGGTGTCGTTGGTGATGTTGGGGTTCGACGTCTCGTCGGCGGGACTGCTACTATCGCTCCCCATCGTACGGACGTAAATTTTCGAAACGCGTGTATTGCGTAAATTTTCGATCTGGCAAACTGGCTATAACTGGCGTGTTGTGTTGGTGAGCACATCCCAATTCGGTACATATCCTAGAAAAGATAATCATGAGAAAGCAAGTGTACCAAACGAAGTCAAGATGAGGAAGTAAGGGTCAAACGAAGACAACCACCCCCAACAGGATAGGGCCGTATCAGCCCATGTCATCGTAGCTATCCTTGCCCGCCCCTATGACCACAAGGCGATGCTGATGCTATTCTTAAGCACGAAGCTCGCAGACAAAGCTGGCTTTCTCTTTGGGTGACAAATGGCGATCCCCATATCAATAGAGTCTGTCTCCGGGGGCTGAAAAGCTTCAAGGGGAAGACCAAAAGGACAATGGGCGGGCAAACAACAGGCGCACGAGCACTATAGCCTCATCCCTTACGTTGGTGTTGGGCGCCACCTTGTCCGCGAATAATGCCGGGGAGGCTTGCTCGTTCAGCAGACCATACGAGATCTATCTTTCAGTAGTGGGCAAGCCAGATGGGATGCTACAGTCACCCCTCATAAGTCTCCGCCCGTCATGCTCCTGTCAACTTTTCAATATTAGTGCTGCATTCGTATTAACAGAATACGCTCCCTGGAATAAACAGGTCTAACGCAATAAGCCATATCTAATGCTTATTCTAGACTGATTATTCCAGATTTAATAAAGACAACTTTTCGCTTGGTGCATAAGGCGTGTATGGAGACTTCTAGAGGTTTAGTGTAGCTTACGCGGATTCCCTGTGTGCCGAGATTGGCTTCGGCGACGCCTCGACGACTTCCCCCTCGGTTGAATCCATCAAGACAAACGACCCCGGAAGCACGTAACCCCCCGTAAGGCCCGTAATGACTAGCCCCCAATACCTCTCAGCCCCGAGGGGCAAGGACGAAGGAGGCTGGCCCGACGATCAGAACAGGTGATGGGATACAGATAGACGAACACTCGGACCGACATTCATCTCGAACCCGGTAGGAAGATGACGACCCCCGTAAGTATGGACGAAGGAGCAGATGTAAAAGGGCTACCTCGGTGACTAGGCCGCATAGAGCATTCATTCGTTGCGTCGCCACTCCAACGGGGTAGCCGCTTGGAGCAGCTGTTGCCTGCACCGGAGCACTTGAGAAACATGAGCATATTATTTGGAATTACCATGTATGGCTGATTAGTGATTATATGGCAGTGCGGATACTAGGGAACCGTCTAGCCCTAAAGTTCGTTTGCACAAGACACTTCCTGTACGGCAGGAACATCCATCTTCGTCGTGGGGTATCCGTATCTCGTCCTCAAACCAAGGATGGGGGAATCATGAATAACAACCTGTAAACGCCATGCTTGCCATGCTTCACAGCACAAAAGAACCATCCACCGTGAAGACTGAAAAGAACAGCTCTGTCTACAAACGCGCAGATTTGTTGGCCAAAATCATGATTTCTGACGACCAATCGGGCCCAACTCTCCCGTGGTGCCTCCGTGATGGTCGAATGCACCGTACGAGGGGTATTCACTGTATCGGCAGCATCAATCATGATAAAGGCCATTAGTTTGCAGCAGTCGTGATTGGCAACCGTTGGGCAACATCCGAACTGAGTGACGGCTTCTTCCACCCTGTGGTGCCGTTCGTTCCAGCGCGTTTAGTGTCGGCTGCATTGGGCTTCGGGGTATTGTGTCCATCTGTAAAGTCATCTGCCTTGAAGTTGTCCCGACTGCGAGTGTCTTCGCTCTGCCTGCCCGTCTGGACAGATTTCCTGGACATCTCATGGCTGACTCTTTTCTCCATGCTCTTCCTTGCCTCTTCGGTGCTCGGCTTGTTATTGCCCAGCACAACATCAAGCTTCTCGCCTTGATTGATGGCTTCAATGGCCCTCTCGGCAATCTCCACATTCTCAAAGGCACGGCCTTTGCCCCATTTGCCAAGTGACTTGCTCTTCTCACCTTTCTTTCCAATGCTACGACGCAAGTGGCCCTGGAGTCCTCGTTTTCCATTCTCGCTCATGATAACGTCCGCCAATTGTCGCATGACTCGCCAGCCTTTCTCGATGTCTTCTAGAGCAACCTTGCGCTCCGAGTCCGACAGAGCCTTCAGCTCGCGTTGCCCATGAATGATGCGAGCACGACGGAGGTATTTGACCTGCTTCTTGCCGCCGGATACCTCTTTGGCTACTCCCTTGAGGGTGTAACCCACAGGAGCGAAGATCGCTGCAAGGTCTTTCAGGACGAATCCCATAAGACCCATGCCCACACCGGCGACTGCTCCTTCGACACCGTCCTCCTTTGCACCACGATAAGGCAGTCGAACAATTCCTGTAACTCCATCGTATATACCATACATGAACTCTGAGCCGGCCGCCCTGAGTCCAGACTTGATTCCAGTGACTCGAGTCGGACGTCGGACAGTCTCGTCACCGTACAAGCGAGGCGCGTTGTGGAAGCCTTGAGCTATAGCGAGCGTAAGATCAACAGGAGCACGAACTAAAGCGCGTCCAGACCTGCCGACGCCTTCCTGGACGTCGTGGAAGTACTCGTCTTGAGCAGGCTCAAGAGGGGCTGTTCCTGGAGTCCCGGCAGCCAGCAGTGAGGCATTGTCAGGCTGGTCAGCCATGCTGCCGGGAGTAGCTCCTCCATTTGCACCATTCGCCGCTGGCCCATACTTTCCGTTCGCTTTTGCCGCCGAGCGCTCGGCTAGCAATTTCTGTCTTCGCGTCTTTCTTTCCTCCTTCTTCTTCTTGCGTTCGGCACGCTTGTTCGATGTCTTGGTCATGTGGTACGGTACACCGCCAATACCGCCAAAGAGGTCGCCAACAGTGCTCATCAAGGCTCCCGCAATGCCAGTGATGGGCTCGCCGGGGCCCTCAAAGTCGTTCCACTCCTTGTGTCGGATAAGACGTAACCTACGCCACGAAATGTAACCTCTGTCGACTGCCACATCAGCAGCAAGGGCACTAAGCTTGAGACTCGTATTCTTGACCGTCCATACGGCCACGCGATCGTCCAGAATCGAGCACCGCATGGACTTCTCTCCCGAAAGCGTGAGGGAACGGTGGAAAGCTCTCACGGCATTTTTTGCGCCGTCACCTTCAGCCTCGATGCTGCGGGCGATTTCCTGGGCGGCCTCTAGTGCCTCGTCTGTCAAGCAGTATTTAATACTTTCGGCCAGCCGCTCGGCGTTCAATTGCTTGTAAGGCACGGGGTCAGGTCCCGCGCCGGCATTGGCGACCATCGAGCCCCAAAAGTTCTGGTCACCAAAGAACGGCACGATGGCGGTCGGCTTGCCGCACTTGAGAGCGGCGGCGGTCGTCCCAGCACCACCGTGGATAACGCAAGCTCGGACCTTGGGAAACAGCCAGTCGTGCGGCGTATTCTCGAGCATGTAGATGTTTTCAGGCACATTGTCTTGGCCCAAACCTCCCCAGCCTTTAGAAACTAGAGCTCGGACTCCGGCTGCCCGTACTGCTTCGAAGATCATCTCGGTGAAACGGTCAGCATCGTCCACGACGATGGACCCGAAGCCGATGTAAATGGGTGCCTCTCCGGCGTCAAGAAACTTGACGAGATCGACGGGTGGCTTGAAAGTTGAGGCAAGGTCAAGGAATACGAAGCCGCTGATATCTACCTCTGGACCCCAGTCTTCAGGTTTGGGTACTAACGCAGGACTCCACAAGTAGGTGAATGGGACGTGGAGGCGATAGGTCGCGCCGGGAGCCCAAAGGGTGGAAACGGGATCGAGACCCAGCGTCTTGATGCGAAAATCGTTTACCAAATCTCCAAGTCCCTGCCAGACCATCATCTCAACTAGCGGATATGAGATGAAGTTGGTGTATCCGGGGTCAACGTTGGACTTATTGATGCTTGCTAAAGGGTGGGGAAAGGCCTGGGTCGGCGTGTAGGGAAATGTGAACATGAGGTGCAGTGGGATTCCGAGGGCTTCTGCGCAGTGGACGTGCGCGAAACTAGGCGGATTGGCAATAATGGTATCCGCAACGAACGGATCATCCTTGCCCATCATCTTCAAGTTCTGAGCGTCTTTCTCGTTGTCTGTCGCATTCACACACGCTCGCCAGAACCCCTCAAACATCTCGGCCATGGCAGCGCGCCTCCTTCCGATGTCGCCGGCCTTTACCGTCTCCAGCTTGGGGATCATACCGGGATTCTTGACCATGAAGGCCATAAGCTCGGAAGGATCACCACCAACGGAAAAGAACTCCAACCCCGAGTCTCTCTCAACGAAGTCTCGGAAAGCGGGATGAGTAGCGATCCTCACGCGGTGTCCGTACTCCTCTTTAAGTAACTTGCCAATCTTCAAGAAAGGTTGGGCATCACCGCGTGAGCCGATTACCATGATGACTATATTCAACTTGGGCCGTCTCGAGGCTTTCGAAGTGGCAGTGGTAGCCGAAGATAGGCGCGACTGCGCCGACCGTTGGGTAATCTTACCACCCTCGCCTGGCCCGATGACGACCTTCTTAACTGCCGTGCCCAAAGCCTTGGCGAGGTAGCCCGTATTGCTGGTGTCGTTGACGGTAATGTTCAAGCGCCCATCTCTTTTTGAAACCTTGCCCTTGGTGTGGTAGTTGTCATTCTCTACTTGAAAGCGGCGGCGGTATTGCTCCTGAGCCATCTGTCGTTTTGATCGTCCATGTTGGCTGGCTGGGCCATTTTGTTCATCATCGTCAGACGATGATGAGCTAGATTCGTCTGCCTGTTCTTGCTGGCGCCAAAGGGCAGTCTGCTGCATGGAGAGATTTGTCCCTGCGCGCCTGAAGCTTGGTGCGGAGGGAAAGGCAGAAGCGTCACGATGATTTCGACGTGGGGCATCTGTCTGGAACTTCTTGTCGAATGTCGGGCGTTCTTTCTTCGGACTCTTGACTAGACTCGTCGGTGGTTCGTTCAGAGGCTCTGATCGACTCTTCTGGTCGCCGGTAGCAGGGTCGGACGTCTTGGAAGAGCCGGGTAGGGTGTCGGAGGAGGTGGTAGTTAGGGGTGGGTTTGGTGATTCGATGTCCGGAGGCATATAGCCTGGGAAGATAACATTGCCCTTGGGGTCTTGAAGAAGAGCGCCATGATCGTTGCCCTCTTGTACCTGGACCACATCCTCGTCGGGGCTGTTGCTGTCGATAGGGGCCGTTGACGGCTTGTCGAGCTCGATAGGCATGCTGCTCCGTGCTCCAAGGTCGGGGTACCGTAAACAGCGTGTTGGTGTGTTGAGGTGTGGAAAGCTGGGAAAGAAATTCAGAATGTTAGAACTACGATGGGGACGATGACATATTAGTGTGGACCCACGTCGTAATAAAATCCCACACCTGTCAAGACCAATACGGATAGTCTAGTAATAGTTGCAGTGGGTTGTAGGGATGGGGACGGGGGGAATGGTCTCAGTGGGCAGTGGCCCGTGGGAGGTATTGCTCTCAGACCAGACTCGACACGGTGTGACCTGGTGCGTTGGCCCTAAACAGTGAATAGTATGTCTCGTTCGGGACAGCCAGCATGTTAGCATGAGTCGGCAGCCGTCAAGGTTTTGCTGGACCTGCCGCGGCGTCAGGGCTGTCAGGGCTGTCAGGGCTACGCCAGTATGCGTGCATCATCGATGCTCAATGTGACAGCGACACACATAAAGAGGTAAGGAGGAATAAAAAAAGGGAGAGAGCGGTGGAGCAGAGTCCGGCGGTAGGTTGCCGAGAGGAAGACCGAAAGGAAGCCCCAGAACGGGGCCACATGGGAAACAACCTCCATGGCTGCATGGTGCATGGGAAAGACTCGACAGCTATCGGCTTTGGCAGCAGGTATCGAGCTCCAATTTCTTGGGCATCTCGATACCTTCGCACGCTTCGGATAGCCTGCCAGTAGCGGAAGGTTAGCCTCGCTATCGTGACATCATCAATGAGGGATGACAGCTGACTGCCGGTGCAGGTGGTCCGCCTCCATTCAAGGTTGGATCCATGGATGAATGGAGATTGCCCATCTCGACATCGGACGGACCCCGCTCATGCGCCACAAGAAGCCGACTGGTCTCGTGTGGTCAGCATGTGGACGTGGCGGTGTGACCAGCTCTGCTCAGCCACAAGGTACGTACACCAACTGAAGTTAACGGGCATTTACTGAACTCAGTGCGACTTCGTTCCCTGTTTTCACAGCCGACATGAGCAATATCCGGTTCTCCCAATGCCTACCGAAGTCTGTAAGTTCACCGTGATGACACGTTCAAGATGTCCTCGTCATGTTTCAGATGGCAGAGCGTGTCTCATCGAGTATCTAAAAAGAGACAATGCTCTGAGTGTGTGCACAGCACCTGTCATCGAATCAGGAGTCCTGGGTTCAGGACTGTCGCGATGCTCCCTACCAACCCCTACCTCTCACGACCCGGCTCTGCGATGCCGATGTTGCTCTCGTCGAGACCAACCTGAATGGTGCCCTGTCTGTCTATCTCGCGGAGCCGGACAACGAGACTGGGCACGGGACGCGGAACGATTAACACATCTGAGTAGATCGCTGTAATCACGCGGCGCGGTTCGTGACCAGTCGAGCCATGTCCCAAGCCCTCGCCGGGAGTTTCAACTGCACGAACCCCGTGCATGAGGTGCCGTCGTTGTCGTGTGTGGTTTGCATTTGTCGTACAGTGCAGCGTTGAGCTTCTCCTCAGCGCCCCACGGCCCCGGATCGGGATACGGTCTCATGCCTGATGAACAGGTCGACGGTCTCTACCACGGTTAAGGTCACAATACCTGGCATGATGCTCCCCTCCTAATCCGCGGGTATGGCTGTGTATGATCTTTCATGGAATGTCCAGCCTGCGGTGTCACTCTTCAGGTGCATTTGCTACACTGAACCCTCATAAGTCTTCGTACGCCCCCTCCCCCCATCACCAAGCGAAAGGTGCATTTATGAGAGATGGAATAAACACCCTGGAATAAGCATCGAAGATGACGTTATAGCCATGAGCTGCTTATTTTTGTCTGCTTATTCCAGTATTTCCGAAACTACACGTGTGATCTGGAATTCTTCCAACGTGGCGCGTACGCAGACTTATGAGGGCCGAGTGTAGCAAGGCGGTGCTGTTGACCAGACGTGTCGTGTGGGACTTGCTGTTAGTAGAATTAGTAGATAGAGTAATGGACTTGAGACACGTATTGGGCTTGGATGCCAGGTCTAGACTATGACAGCGGTCTGCTGGTGCATATTGAAACGGTGGATGTTGTGATCGTTGTCAAAGATACCACGATGTATATTTGAGTATCACACTGTGTTTGCTGTCCGTACAGGGTTACCGTTCATGGTCACCGCCATGAATGTGAAGGCCATCTTGAGACCGCAAATGACATGCTTATCTATGTAATATATTCATCTTCTAGTGAGTAATGGGTATTGGCGACAGCACGCTTGAGACACTCGCCAGCTTGTTCAAACCATTGGTACTGTTCTGAGGGCGCGATGGTGCGGCGACATCGCGAAGACGTGGGCACTGGGTTGGGATCAGAGCCGACATTGTAAAGTCGTCCAAGATATGGGCCGCTTTCTCTTCAGCTTCTGGTGCTCCCCGGAGGCCGCTCTTCCATACGGACCAGGTTCAAGGCTTCTCGAAACACATCACTGCAAACCGGAACGTCCCGTTGGCGTAGCCTCGCCTCATGGCCCTGAACGCTTGCAGGAACGCAAGACCATCTCGTCCTTGGGCTATCGCGAAGGCCCACAGGGATGGCGAAGAGACTAGACTCCACGAAATATCCCTGGAACCCGTTAGCTACCTTACGATCGAAGTAAGCCCAGAGGCACGAGACTCACCATGTCTTGGCAACACTTTTACTGATGTCAATTGGACCACTCTTGACCTTGAACCCAGCGGCCTCTGCCATTCGAACATAGTCATCTGCTGTGCAAAGCTTGGGTAGAAGCATGCCGTCTTCAATAGGTTTGACGTCTGCGTTCTCCTGCTCGGGACTCAGGCCCGGAGCTTTGAACCAGTCGGCAATCACGAGACGACCTCCTCCTGGGGCAAGAAGAGCCTCCGCCGAGGAGAAGAACAATGGCTTGTTGGGAAAGTGGGACAGGGCCTCGGAGACCCAGACACAGTCGAAAGATGCCTTCTTCGTATCACCGGAGGAGAAGTGGTCCAGCATCTTCTCCGCGTCAAGCTCAATGAACCGAACTTTGCCCTCCTGATAGCTGATGAAGCCAGATTGGTCCTCGATTTCAGCCTGCGAAGTTTCTGCAAGGGTCAATCGCTTGGCGATCTCAACCTGTTTCCCGCTGATGGTGATGCCGGTGACTCGGCAGGCTTGCTCCTTGGCTAGAAAGCACGATGTCCCGCCAATGCCGCAGCCGACATCAAGGACCTCGCTTCTATCTGGCAGCGCAGAGATCTCTAGCAGATACTCAATGAGGTTCAATTGAGCTTCCTCCTTGGTCTCGGTCGGCGACTTGAACAAGCCGTGGTGGATATGCCGTCCCCTACGCAGGCCTCAGTGAATGTGCCCCAAGGCTTGAGGTTTGGGAGTCTCACCAGAGGGAATAGTAGTAGTCCGATGCGATCTCATAATGCTGCTTGATCCGATCCTTCAAGGTGGCGGGCGAAGCGTGCGCCTCATAGCCGGGAACCTCGAACTGGTCGCCTGGGTGGGGTGAAGTTGCCATTGCCCGATATTCACCGCGGGGGTTACAGATTCGATTGGTGTTCTTCTGGTGATCGGCTGGACCTCCAATTGGATAATGGTCTGAGGCGAGGCGAGGCGTCGTACCACTCCAGCTCAGCAGTGGGCAGAGTAATATTCACAGGCAAGCGGACTGTTGGATCGCGAGGATGTTGTGGAAGAGGTGTCACAGTGGACTTCCACCAAACACAACAACTGCAACCATGATGTAATTGAAGGTAGATCATGAAACGGTGCAGGGGACAAGTATCAGACCGTAGCTGTCAGGTGGATACGGCATCCCAGTACTGTAGTCCCGCTCAGTACAGATTACTAGAGAGCCACCCCGACAGGTGATAAATAACCTGTAGTCGGACAGGTAAGGATTTGTGCCTGTTCGAAAGACGCCATCTCTCAGAGAGGAACTCGCTGCTCGTTCCAGGAGTTTCCGCCTGAGATAGTCCACTAGACGGTGTGTTTTACACAGTGCAAGACAGTGTATACACTGTCAGTTCCTCCAGAGTACGTACTTAACGGTGACCATAAACCGCAACGTGATGGTTTGCACTACTGAGGAGCGATCCCCCACGTTAAATACAATCAATCAATCAATCATAAACCGCAACGGCCATGGCTGTCTGATGGGAGTGTTGAAGAGCCTGGGGCTATGATTTACATTATCCGTTCTAGATGTTTGGCTTGCGTGTCTTATAATTATCAGCACTTTTGAATTCATTCGGAAGGTTATTTGTGAATGAATAGTTGAGGCCCTTGCTACATAGCTACACTCCCCGGCCATAAGTCTCCGAGCATCCCTGTTTTACACCAAAACACCCCAACTTTACGCGATCGTGATAAATCGAGCAAAATAGATACAACTTAAGTACTTATAGTACATATAGTTAAATTTACCGGAATATTGAAATGGTTTATTTAAAAACTTTGACATCTTAAAGATAAAGGTCGTAAATATTACTTTATTAAAGGTTAAATTATTGATAAAAATGACTTTCTAACATATTTAATTTTAAAAAAACCTATTACATAAGGTTTTTCATCTTGTACGTATATTACATGGTATTTAATATTATGTAACTTTATTACAACTTATACGACTTTTTAAACATTTCTTATAGCTTTATTAAGATTTAAGATTTAAGATTTTAAACTTTATTTTTATATATCTATTTCTTACTATTTTAGTCGCTAAGAAAATGAATATTTAGTAATTATCTACGAAAACTTCAGCATTTTCAAATATAAGTTCCTTATAATATCATTTTAAAAAGCTTTAAGTTTTTAGTTATAAAAGCGTAAAGGTAGGGCATTTTGGTGTAAATGCGGGGATGCTCGGAGACTTATGGCGGGTCAGTGTAGGTAGACGTATACACACAAGCAAGGACACCTAGCTCCGTTGCAGTCCGGTACGAAAGATCTTCTAGTTTGTCGTATGGCGAGTTGTCTAGCCTATCCTCCCTATCCCACAGATAATCGTCCATTCTTTCTTGCAAGTCTCTAACCAAGTCAGTCGCATCGTCATAAGCCCCCACGGGGTTGTGGTATCGCGTAGCCCAGTGAACTTGTTCACTGGATACGTCCACGAATACTTTTCCGTTGCCGTGGAAGACGGCACCGTTTGTTATAGCCCAAGGCTCCTTTTGAGCCGCCCGGGAACTCTGTTGTATGCGGTAATCGATGATCCAAATCTTGCGGGCATGGCCTCCAGTGACCAGATCAGCAAGGCTGCGAGTAAGCTCGTTCATTCCGTCCGCTCGGTACGCTAGCGAATTTCCATCCCAGCGTTCTGTCAAGTCGAGCTTCCACTTGGGATTAAACTCGATCGCAAGGTTCCCATGATCTATGTACGGGTATTGAGAGCCTCCCCAGTTGAAAGGAGGAATGCCATCGAGGGCACCCCATTCGATATGCTCGATTTCTTTCATCTGAAGGCAAATCAGGTCATCTGATGGGAAAAGCGTGAAACACTAGTGTTCACCCGTCAGAGGCGAGCATCTGGTCATCTTGTAACGCAAGGGCGGTTGGTCAAATCCAACCGTCTCGAGGTCCGTCTCGAGATCCATCTCGGAGTCCGTCTCGAGGTCAAGCTCTTGTGTGACCAATAGGCGGTACGCTTCGAACTGACGCTTCGTGATCATCCGGGATTATGTGCACGCTGTCCAGAGACCGCAATCAATAAGGTAGGTCGACGGGTTGTTCTTGGTCCATGACACAGTACCTGACGCCTTGTTGGAGCAGTGCGGTGCGGTCAGCTTTAGCAAGGGCTTTTTCGCCCTTCCACGTGGACGTGGTCGCCGGCAGGTGATAGCATGGGCCCGAGAGCCTTTCCAATTATTCGCAGCTGGAGACCGAGAGTAGAGTGAGAAGAAATGTACGCCGGGGGAAAAAGACCGTATTGCCAAGCGCCAAATCTCATCCCACACGCTAAAGCCAGCTTGACTCGGCCTGATAAGGACTCCATTCAGCCGATCAGAGCTACAAACTTGTGATGAGAGCCCGACTTGCCGCCACCAGTCTTCCAATACTCGAACGCTTGCTGAAGGCTGTCTTTCACCAACACCACGTCGCATTGGTCTGCGTACCACGCAGCCATGGCATACCGGAGACACGAATTTCCCTTCGTATGTACGACGACGGGCATGTCGGGGTACTCCCGCCCCGGAGTGACCAAATGGACACGTCCAACATCGACAAGTTCATCCAGACTGCAGGAGTATGCTGGTCCAAAGGTTATGCCCCGTGGGGTTTCTTCCGGACTGGATGGTATGGAACCAAGGCAGAAGATGATATCTGCCTGCACGGGGTTCAGAGCCCCGGTCCGTCGCCCCTTGTATCGAATGCAGAGCAGCATATGCTCGGGCAGCCCGTCCCAGTTCGCTTCTATATGTCGCGTACAGTATTCTTTCGAGCCCACCAAGACGACGGCCTTTTCTGTCCCGGGACTCTGTCCACATTCTTCCCAGGTTGGAACCCGGGGTGGGATACCCGTAAGCACAAGGCCCTCCGACGTGCGAGGAATACCCCCAGCGTCGCAGTCGAGGATCACAAAGCGAAAGATGTCTTGAATAGTCTCGCACTCATTGATTAGGCTGTTCAAGAGGACGATGCGCTTCCCGACGACGCCCGCACAGAGCTCTTGATGGCTCAAGGACGGTACGAACCCACCCTTGGGTAGTTTGACATCAATGTTGGCATACATCGTCGCTATGAATGAGAGGACGTCCGTCCTCGTCATAGAGAATTGGTTCTTGTCCGAGCCAGAGATGAGTCCATTTGTGCGTTGGAAAGATTTGTGTATTCTGCGCAAGAAGTCGGCTGATCGATATCCCCAACAGCCAGCTACTGTCTTGACTTCAAGTGTTGAAGTGTCGACGATGCTCGAGAAGATCTTGTAGTAGTATCCCATGAAGAATGCTTGGCACACGGTGAAAGCCTCCAGAACTGTTGGTTCGTTAAGAGCAACTTCAAGACCTGTTTCGCCTGACATATTGTCGCTCGTGATTACTTCAGCGATGCGTGAGAGTGAGCCTGGTGAATCAAGACCAAGAACTACGGATAGTTTGCCATTGACCTCATCCGTGCTGAAGACAGCTAGAAGAGAAGCGATCCGCCATGCACCAGATTCTATTCGACGTTGGTTGGCGACCGATTCTCCTTTGTTCCTGAATGTCATGATCAGGTCGCACGTGAAGCCAGACTCAGCAGACTCGCCCGGCCCAAGTATGATGGGTTTGCCAGCATCGATACCCTGCTGCCATGCGTCACGGCACCTGGCCGCTGTGTCGCGGCTTATAGGAAACGTCGAAAACGTTTCCTCGGGCTGGGTAAGGGACACGGTCGTGGATAGCTCTCTAGGTGCGAATCGCTGGCGCATGGCTGTAGACATAGATCCGGTTCCAGCTCCGGTATAGATCGGTGCGTTATCATAGATCAGACAACAACTTGTTTCTCTGCCGGAAGAGGGGCAAAAGTTCTTGACTGTCAGGACCTCGAAACTGAGATTGGTCAAGCAGTATGCGATAGCAGCGATATCAGACGAAGTTGTCCGGTGAACTTCAGTCTTCTGGCAGACGAGCCAATAAAGAAATTCGACGGCCTCAGCAGTCTCCGTTGACGGCATGAAGCCCTGCACCATCAAGCCCTGCTTGAGGAGGTCAATGTGTATTCGTTGACAGGCGACGTTCATCTCCCGAACCTGGAGGAAACTGCATTAGTCTTGCTTCCTTGGAGACCAGTACCGCTCTGGAAAGTGGAGTGTTAACTTACCACTGCTGCAGAGCGCCACCCATTTATCCTGATCTGAAGGCTCGAGTCCAGCAGATCCTGCGTGGTCCTGACTCCCTCTTCGCTTGAGAAAAGACGCCGGAGGAACTCTTTGCAAATATTTCGCACAGTAGACGATGAAGCAAACTCGTCGAGGACGGCGACGATGCAAGTCATCATGACGGTCCAATGGCAAGTGCTGCTCAGCAAATTCTTCACTGGTGCGCCCTCGAAGTGTTGGGGTACCCCGTTCTCGAGCAGCCTCACACGACAGCTCCAGGTCTTATCGAACCGCTGGATATCAATGACGCCCTGGCGCTTCAAGAAGTCAAACTCGCTCTCCTCAATCAAGGCCAAGAAGTCGACATCCCCTTTCTCCGCCGTAAACCAGTTGCCTATTCGGTACCCCAGGCTGACCAGTGTTGCAACATCGCCCACCCCGACTCCAGCTGCCACCAGACCACTGCTCCCAATGTTTCGTTGTATTGACATTGGAATCGGTAGTGCAATCCTGATGACCCAGTTAGCATGATGCAGCAACAAGACTGCAGAGGACGCTCGGAAATCTCAGCTACGGGGAGGTTTGATGAGTAGTTGATTGAAGGAAATAGCAATATTTCTCACCTGTGGGCCTCGCACGCTATTAACCACCCCAAAGTCGGGCGTATTGCTACGTAACTCCGGGTAGGCTTTCTTTGGGGCTTCCTGGCGGGCTTTCTTGCTAGGTACCGGCGACCACCAGGACTTCGGGCAAGCTGGTGATGCGTGATTGGGAGCCCGCATATTGCAGATGGTAGAAAGGGTGTGAAGCTACCACCCCAGGTTCCAACGAGGACAACCGCCCGCAGCAGGGCTGTGTGCAATGGTGCCATCGACATGATCAACCCAGAGCTACCGCTGTTCATCTTTCCCCCTCTCGTAAAGCAGCCACGCAAGACAAGATGGGTAAAGGGGCTAGGCCATTATCCCAGTTTGAGGCTCAATCGAGGGCGATTATTGAGGACGCAGGCAACATTGTCGACAAGTCTCGTATGGCTGGTGCGACTTGAATTCAAGGCATCCGTCCGTCGTATCGATGTTGATGGGAACCATCGCATTGCAGCCTGATTGCCGCGAGCCCGACCTGAGAGCATGTCGTACTGAATGTCATACTCCAACCCCCATTGGTTTGCAGTCACCCCTCATAAGTCTCTGTCCGTTATGCTCCTGTCAACTCGTCAATATCAATGCTGCGTTGGTAAGAATTCGTATGCTGGACTGTGAACGGAGCCATACAGGGCGCCCTGTTGTCGTATGACTGCGACGCTGTAAGGCATGGCCACGCTTGGAGGACCTCTTCAAGGCTACAACTTTCATCGATCAATGTCCTTAACTCATGGGTGTTAGCCTGAGGACCACGACGGATTGAACGTATCTAGCGCTTGGGAGTGCGTTGAATGCCGACACGGGTCTGCTTCTTGAACACTACTACTTCATGTCACAAGTCACAACTCTGTCATGAATCCTCATAATTGCCACACATTACCCCCTATTTCACTCCGTTACCAGGCACAGTCACCCCACTCCTGTTGGTGACGCTTTCCTACTGTGCGTTGAGACTCCGAAGCCGATCAATCAAGATGTCAACCTGCATCTTGTCTCCTCCTTCCACCCCCTCTATCCGTCCCAATTTCTCCGCAGCCAGTATCAACGGTTCCGAGAAGCGCTGTTCTACAGCCCCTTTCATCCCCGACGGAACAAGGTCTTTGAAACTGGCAAACAGGAAGTATCCAAAGTTCGCCGCCTGTAAGAGAAACGGGTTGTTCTCGACCCAGAACTCAAGTAGCGCTTCGTCGTCCATATCTACTACCGACAGCATGTCCGGGAATGCGGCGTACTGCAGTCGCTCGATGACTTCCGACTTGGAGAATAGATTCGTCAGCTTTTCTTGCCTTGCGGTTATAAGCTCCTCCTTCAGCCACCGAACTGCGCATGCTTTAAGTGACGCGAACATGCAGTTCTCCAATAGGTCTTCGAGTATTTCCAGGCGGTTGTGATCGTCGGGCTCAGAGTGAAGGATGGTACCGGCGAATCTCGTGGCTGCATTTCTGGTCTGGAGATCAGGGTGGAAGACCGAAATCAGCGTTAGATGGTGGTGGTAAGTCATGAAAGATGCGTCTTCCGTGGCAACTACCAATTTTCGGTGTTCGAGGCCGAGGCCGATAGCAAGTACAGCATCAGCAGTCCCCGGGCTGCTGACCACTTGGGCTTGCGCCTCGTCGCCAAGGAACCGCTCAAGAATAGTAAAATGCTCAGGGAAAAGGTGCATCTCGGGCTCCGGGTTGTCTGCCCCGAAAACGTCGGTGGAAAAGAGCCAATAAGCCATGAGGCTCACCGTTCCACCTGGTGATAGATGGATATCGTCAGGGGAGGTGAAATCCTCGAAAGCAGCGAGAGGGTCGATGCCGGCCGATGCCTCATATATACTCTCAATGAACGGTCCCGAAAATCCGTCCAGGCCCAAATCAGAAAGTAAGGCCTTGTGCTCCGTTAGTACGACGTAGGTTTCACGGGACTGAACTATATCGAATACTCACGACTAGTTGGCCAACCACGGAATCTCGCTGCTGGAGCACCTCGTTTTCCCTAAACGCCTGTGCCATTGTTTTCTTACCCGGAACGAGCTTCTCGGGATGGTAGATCTCAAGTAGGCGTGGCGACCACTGCATCTCATGCGCGTTGACGTATCGCTGCAAGACGCACGTGGCGAATGACTGCAGTAGTTTCCGTTGCAGTTCATCCTCGTTCGAGTCCTCCTGTTCAGCCTCGGGGTCTGGTGCATTCTTGGAGATATCTCCATCTTTGTCGGCGTTGAGTATGTTGATGCTGGACGAACGCTGTGGTAGAGGCGGCCGTTTCCGGCCTGATAGCGAGCGAACCAGGTTGACGACTGCTGCTGTCATCTCTGGAATCGGCATGTAGGCCTCGAAGACCTTGACCAGTGACGGTCCCAGGAATCGGGAAGGGTGTTTTGTCTTGATGCGCCGGTGGAGGATAGCAAGCATGCCAAGCAGGGTGATGAACCTGTCTGGTATCTTGGAGTCGGATGCGACAGCCTTCTCCTCCTCGGGCTCGTCGTCGACGTCGTCATCCTCGGCCCCAGCCAACCGTTCCAGGGCCTCCATGACCTTGATCAGCACCTCGCGCGGGTTTCCCAGGCGGGCTACAGTCTCAAGACAGGTCTCGGAGCCATCGATGGTCACAAGCATCTGTACCAGGTCCCAGCCAATCTCCTGCGTCAGGCCGGCATCCTGGAGCACCTCGTTCAAGGCGGGCAGGACGGCCGGGGTGGTGACATGGTACTGGAGGATGGTGAGATAGGTGAAGCGGTCCTCCTTGGCGCCCTCGCGGATGGCGGTGATTGAGTCGGACAGATCGGGCATCTCGGCACAGGCAGGGTGTGTGCGTGCGGTGTTGATCAGAGTCGGTAAAAGCGCCTCACGTACCTCTCTCTGTCCATGTGCATGTGTGAGTGCCCAGGTGCAGTGAGTGAGTGGAGTGGATGCATGTGAGGCATAATGTAAGCAGCCCGGCCAGCTGGAGGGGCTGGCAAGCAGGCTGGCAGGTGTGTGACGTGATGAGGGGTAGTGGTCTCCAGGTGGCCCATGCAGCCCATGCAGCCCTATCTGAAGCTAGTAAAAAACCGAACCGTTCCAGCTCAAAACCTGTTCGGCGGCGGATAATTAAATTATGATTCCGGTCTGTGCTACCCTTGTAGTATTTGTTTTAAATTGCTTATAATTATAGTGGCTGGCTTATTTTCTTAGAATGTTATAAAGATTATTTAATATATTAAGGCGTTTAACACGTTTATTAAAGGCTTTATTAAACTATTTATACTTACTTTTAACCTTTACTTTTGTAAAGGTATTATTAATTTTATTATTATTAATTAAGTTATTATTGATTAACGAGATAAATAAATTAAGTAAATAAAGATATTTCAAAAATCGTAATATATTAAACCGGGTTATATAATAACGCGACGGCTTTAATAGTTACTTTAATAAGCATACCTTAAAAAGCTTTAAAAGATAGTTATCTTAATAAGTATGTCTTAAAAAGCCTTAAAAGATAATCATTAAAAAGTCTAATATTTTAACGGAAATTATAGCTAATAACTAGCTAGGAATAATAAGACCTTAACATAAAATAAAGTAGGAATTATAATGAAGAAAATATGCTAGATGCCCCGAATAGACGGATTATAATTTCGATTACGCCCTATAAGTTGTCGTCTGATTGTGGCCCCGAACAGATTCTCAGGAACCGAGCCATACGCCCGGCAACCATACTGTCACCGTCCTCTACTGTACTTAACCACCTACCATAAAGTATGTGTTCCCCCAAGATTGTCAAGCCAATATGTGCAGCGTATCATTCCCGTCGTGACACCACGGAGGAGTTGAGGAGAGCCACAATCACGAGCCGTCGAGCAAGAGAGTACAAGTATGAGCGCCCGTGTTCCTCTGGTCGCACGGAAAGAACATCAAGTACAATAAAAGGTTCAACACGGTGGATAAATAAGGTATACCTATATCTCCCTATACAGTAAGGTACGTAAGGCAGAGTGCAACGGAGCCTGGCGGACACATACAACATGACAAGACATGTATAGGGTAGTAGATCCTACCAGCGCTCGCTTTTGCACTCATAGCTATCGTTTGTGTTTGTTCATCCATTTGCCCCTTTCTGGTAGGTACAGTACTAATGCCGGCTTGCAGGTACTGGAACCGTCATGTATAAGCCTGTCCTACTCCACCACGGAAACTCGTGCTTTCAACACTGCTCTTGAGGGCCATCATCTCATCCAGTCTCCGTACACCATTCGTCCAGTAATCAACGGTATATCTATCTAGCTTCGAATCGGAATAAGAACACTGCAATAAGCATCAAAAGTAGCCTATCAAACTAGAGCTGCTTATTCCTGTATGCTTATTCCAGTATTTCGGTATTTCAACAGGTGATGTAGGAACTCATTAACATGGCGCGTAAGAAACTTATGAGGGCTGATTATAACATCACAAGCACTCCTTTTCTTGGAGGAAGAGTTTTACCAAGGTCAAACCCGCCCAAGGGGTGAAGATGAGCTGTTGACCTCGCTATCAAACTCGAGTGCCATGCATGAACCTGCCAGGTATCCCTGGCGTCTCCTTCACCGGTCCATGCCTCGCAACGTGCTCCATGCCTCGCAACGTGCTCCGACACCTCTTCTCTTGTGTATTTGATCCTGAAATGCTTCGCTTTCTTGTCCTTCTCCCGCTTGCAGCCAAGGCAGAAGTACCCCCAGTCGACCTGCAGGCCAGAATCAAACAGATAGGGCGCGGCGATGATGGGCAAAAATGACAGAGGTTCCACCCGCCGGCCGAGAGATTGAAGTCGCTTTTGTGTCAATTCGGCGCTCCTTTCACGGGCACAGACGTGAGTGTACCGCGCGAACAGACTCTCAACTCACTCTTGCCGGGGCGCGCATCGCGTCACTGCGCAGCTGCGTCTCGTCGGGCTTGAAAAAAACCGCTGGGCGACCGATTCTGAGCGGAAAGTACTCCAACCTGTGGGTGAGACAGGAGTAGCAGACTCTACGACAGTCGAGGAGGTAGAGGTGGTCGCCAAAGCGCTTGCACGTGGAGCATCGGGTTGAGCTAAGGGTCGTGTACAGTGAACGGCAGTCATACGTGTCTGCCTGGATGCTGAGGATGGTGCGGATGATGTTGGACAATGCTTGATGATGGCCTTGTACTGGAGGACCAATTCAACCAGCTCCATTGCACGGCGGTTGACGTGGCGGAAACGAGTCAGCGACAGAAGGTCACTGTACAGCAGGACCTGGGTGAGAAGTTCTGCCGGAAGATGGTCTAGTTGGCCGGCGGAATAACGTGGGGTGGTGGGCGCGTTGGTGTATCGCCCATTGTCAAGCGGACACCATGTCACCAGCTGCGCATCGTCTAAAGTTTTGTCGACGATGTTTTGCTTCGTATAGGCCATGAAACCTGGCAGATCAGGGTGTGTTTTCCTCATGGCGGGCTCGCATTGAGACCAAGTTTTTCATGAGAGAGGGAAGCTCAAGTACTAATAAGACACGTACTGTTGACAGAAGGGGTGTTTGGTCCAAATAGTGGCTGCGTCGGCTGTGTGGCTAGGAGAGGGGTTCGGTTATGTCTATATTGTCACATGTGAGCCCTGGCAAGCATATTTAGGCATGATTCAATTCAAGTCTATGGTATATCCCCGATTCCCCAGATGGTAACTTTCATGACGAGAACGCTCGCTCCGTTGCCGACTCCAGTCATGCCCCCAATGCCTCCATGTGCGCCTAGAACAAGCGATGATGTCTGTACGACAGCATATATTGACGCTCCCGTCCCTACCAGGACGTGTGGCCGCCATCGATGACGAGGTTGTTCCCCGTCATGAAGCTGCTGGCATTGCTCAGGAGAAACAGCGCGGCGCCCTTGAACTCGCTGGTCTCTGCCAGTCGGCCCACTGCGGCAGTCGAAGGTCAGCAATGTTCGCTGACAGGTTATGTATCACGGTATGTGGTAATAAGTGATGGACTTACTCATGTTCTCGCTCTCCCATTTCTGCTGGAGCCCCGGCACCTCCTCGAAGTTCTTGCGGACCATGGGTGTCAGGATGTGGCCAGGGCTGATGCAGTTGACCCTGATCCCCCCTGTGCCGTCTGGTCGAATGGGACTCCATTCCATTGCGAGGTTACGGGCCAGTTGAATAACCGCGGCTTTGGAGGAGTTGTAGACCTGTGAACTACACGTCAGTGGCTTGGAATCAGACGGGCGAGTCTATTTCCGTTGGATGGCGTACCGGTGATATTAGGCCCTTATTCGCAACGCTACCCGACATGCTGGCAATAAGACACATGCTGCCATGGCACTTGTACTTGAACATCTGCCTAGCCGCGCTCGCCGCCGTCATCATGACACCGGTGTAGTTGATGTCCATCATCCGGGCCACGTCTTCTCGGCTGTACTCCGCCGCAGGGCAGAGTTGCTGGACTCCAGCGGCCGCGACGACCCCATCGAGTCGGTGATGCTTGTCCGCAATTTCTGCTATGGTTCGGTTCAGCCCGTCCGTGTCCTGTACGTCTTGCTGCCTGTAGTGAAGAGAGCCTCCCCACTTTGCGGCTCTCCTGGCCGTTTCTTGCCAGCGCTCATCTGCTTGTGGCTCGCGGTCGAAGCAGTATACTAAGAGTTGTCAACCGGCAGTCCATACACTATATATGTCCTTGTAAGCTTACCATTGCCTCCTGTCTCCACCAGGGCCTCTGCGAGCGACAGACCCAGACCCCTCGCACCGCCAGTGACGATAAATACCCTGTCTTTCAGATCGAAATCTGCGAGTCGCATTTGGCCAACGGGTGCCTCAGTGTCTGGCCCAATGCCGACCATAGGGTTTTGGTGTGGCTCTGGAGGGGAAGGGACTGGGTTGCCTATTCGCCCAGGATCATGATGTGTAGTTGGAACGGCCCCAGCAGGGCGTGAAGACTGTATGCTCCTGTGTTGTATCGCAGTTGGCCTTGAGGATGCCTTTGTGAAGACAAACGGTGCCCGGGAGCATCGTCGCGCGATGAATCTTGGTGCGAAAGACATAATGGTAGACAACAAGCGTATACGTCAAGTATGAGTGAGTTCACAATAGGAATGAGCAACAAGCCAAGCCAGCAATATCGTGAGAAAACCCCACGACTTTCCTGGCGTGGTTTATATACATATGGAGAAGTCCGCCCCATATAAGAAAATTCTGTGCCATCCTGGGATTATGGCAGTGATGAAACTGGCCTGATGAGAACTCGTAGCTTATACGTCATGAGACATTATCGCTTATCGTGAGGTTGGACCTCTCTCGTCTCGTCTCATCTCGTGCCAGGCTCGCAGCGGAGGTATTCCCGGTCGGTCTCCACGAGACGCGAGGGAAATGCTCCGGCTGTCTGGGCATAGCTGGTTTCATTATAAGAATTTTCATCTGCAGGCTGTCGTCCTCGGTCCAAACCGTCGGTATGGGGCTGTGAATGGCGGTTGATGATCTTGACGATCGGTACCTGCGCGGCGTGAGCCAGAATCTGGTTTGACGTAGGTATGATAAGACGTCAGAATTATGGCGGTCAGATTTTGCCATCTTGGGCAGTTGTTCCCCCTTTGTTCCCCGCATAATTCCTGGGCATTACTTCTAAACTCTGGAGTGATCGGCAAGAACGCGGACGTCTAGTCCGGGGAGCTCACCGAGCTGACGACCCACCATGCCGGTCAAGGCCTAACGGCAGGGATGATCCGACAGGGCTAGGTCCCTGTCAGTCACGATGTTGGCATGTTTGTTCCGACCCTGTCATGTCGAGCATCGCCAACTTGAGCTTCGTTGCATCGTACTGCGGTTTAGGTGCCCGACTCTATTGCCTTGAAACAACATCGTCGCCTCCACATAATCTGCCCACTTTCACTTTCGACTTTACTATTAACCCAGCACAGGACACGCTCAAGGTCTCTGCTCAGACGTCGCACTAGGCCAGTTCCCTTCCAAAGATCAAGGTGCTGTCCACCGTGGGCTCGTGCGGTATGGTTCCATAGCACTGCAGCCTCAAGGGGCGTATTAACTATGTCTTTTGGCTTATCCTATAGTTATTATAAGCCTATAAGAGGCGATTAATTCGATTAATCATACAATCATATCTCATAGCTGATAGTCGTGTCACAGCTGGTACTTCATAAGCACCACTGGTCGTAAGCACCAGTACCTCAAAAGCACGAAGCCGCAAGCAGAACACCACACCACAGCAGGAATCCTCCACTGACCATCGAACTAGCAGCCCCCGTCGCTGGAGCCGAGGTCTCCGCCGCGCTCGAGCTGGAGCTGGTACTTGTACTGGGCGCGACCCTTGAGCCATCATCGCTCGCAGCAGCAAGCCCCGAATGAGCGGCCGGCGTCCCGCTCGCCGTCGCGAGCGCAGTCAACGTGCTGCCAGACTGGGTGACCGTGAGCAGCAGGCTCGATGTTTCGACCGTGGATAACTTGATGGTGTTGCTGACTGCTGCTGACGAAGAAGCTGCGGACGTGGGCGTTGTGATAGTCTCGCTCGAGTTTGCCCACGGCGCAATGAGGCACTGGGACATCAGCTTGGTGTCGACGAGGGCGCCGTTCTGCTCGGAGGGCGTGAGTGATAGCACGTAAGAGGTGTCGAAGCTGCCGGCGCCCCAACCGATCAGACCCACGAAGACGTCGGAGTTGGCATTGATGAAGGTGTTTTGGGCGCAGAAGGACGTGAAACACTATCTTTGGTGTTAGTACCCACGAGCAGATGTGCATAGACATGACGTGGAGGAGTAGAGCTGTCGACTCACAGAAGCATCGCTCGAAGACCCCGTCTCGCTCACAAACCCCTGCCGCCCCCTTTTCCTTAGATACTCGGCCACGGCCGTGAAAGCGTCAACATTGTCCGTTGTGCACTTCGCATGAGTGCCGGAGTTATCCTCGTCGAGGTACTTATGGATATCCAGTAATAGACCATCCGTCTTCCCATCCGGATTCGTGATCGCCATGAGGGCGTCGGCGCTCCCGTCCGTGACCAGCGTGGCCGCGCTGTCGAAGTTATTGCCGGATAGCAGGATCATGTGAGACGCGGCGCCCGCCTTCCGGATAGCCGTCACAGCCGCCTGGCAGGTCTGCGCCCAGATTCCGACGTCGAGAGCGTGTGGCTCGTTCATCAGCTCGAAGACGACCTTGTCGTTACTGGCGTACTTGGTTGCGAGCTGGCTCCATAAGCTGGCGAATTGGTCGTCGGTTGGGCCACCCTGCCCGATGATGCTCCTGTCCCAGCGTGCGAAGTTGTGTATATCTATCATGCAGTAGGCCCCTGTGTCCAGACAGGCTTGCATCAGCTGGTCGTACTGTGCTAGGTTCGAGTCGTTGAGGTCGCCGGCAAGCTGGTTGTTGACAAGGAACTGCCATGACGTTGCTGCGCAGGGTTATATTAGTATGAGCGGCGCAGCAATGAGGCACTGGGGGCCGTACGGAGCCGCAGTATATTCATCCCATCATCCTCCACAAAGTGTTGCATCTGACCTGGACCCTTACCCAGCGCAAGCTGAACCGAGCTCGTGGGACAAGAACCCTGAACGACCCATTAGCAGCGGATCTCATGCAGCAACAGGTTGCCCTCCGAACTTGTTCTTACATCTGTTTGGCAACCAAAATCGCCTCCTGCTATAGCGACTCCCTATCAAGTACCCTCGTCAGTGTTAATGTTCTTGGACTGGTAAGGTAGTGGCCTCCACGCACCAGAAACTGGACCTTAGCCACGGCAGCGCGAGCAAGTCCGAGCAGAGTGAACGACTGAAAATACATGATTAGCAGGAAAATGAATTAACCAAACGAGCAAAGAAGAAACGAATGTGCCTAAAATGAATTGTACAAAAGTACAGTGGCGAATGAAAGCCCTGCCAGGGACGAGCAATTGGAGATGGAGGCACAGTCGAGCAGAGCAGAAGCTCTCAAGCCGGGAATGCAAGGGGACGATGCACTGGCACCCGGGGTTTTTAAAGACTTCGAGTAATCGGCCCAAGGATTATGGATGTGTTGCAGGAGCTCCCGGGCATTCGTGTCTTCAAGGCCACAAGTAGAACGGACTAGGTAGGATGGGCTTGATGGGGTGGGATTCGGGCCACATCAAACTTAAAGCGTCTCATATTGACGACAGCATACCCAGGCTCGTACAGGCGCATCCCAAAACGTCGGGCCACGCGAAACCAGGTTTACGCGTAGCACCATCTGCCGCTCAGCGTCGTCGCCTGATGATGAGCTCAGTTTGCCTGCTCCTGCTGCAACATGGTGGTGATACAGTGTAATCGGCACAGCTGTGTCGCTGTCCGATCTGTCCACAAAGGAGGGGGAGGCAGACGGATGGGCCAAGGTGGCGAAGGGGGGCGCGCGAAGGAGGCGAAGGGGGGCGCGCGAAGGATGCATACTAAGTACACTATTGCCGAATCTACCTACATCTTCCAGCAGAAGCACTCCATCGCAGCGTCGGGCACGTCACATACGGCAGAAAAGGAAGCCCATGCCTATCACGATGATAAAACAACAGCTATGTATCCCCTAGAACTCGAGGGGATGATGCATGGCAACTTGCAGATGATGAGTTTGAGTCTGTGTAAGGTCTATGGTAGCACATGGAAACGAAACGAGGTGAAGGAATGGGATCAGTCTTCCCATTCCTCATCGTATTGATCGATCAGACGATTCTCATCCTCCCGGTTGCTCCTGCCTCCCCGGCTCGGGGAGCCCGAAATGTAATGATATCCTCGTCGATTCGGAAGGAATCGGGCGCACGAGGAGGTAGCGATCACGAACATATCCTAGAACAGAAGACTGGAGTTAGAAACAGGGCACAATATACGAGGAACATAATTAATGTGATGGACTTACGCATATGAAGCTCCACACGCTCGCCCAGAGTGAGTAGTTGGGCAGCTGTTTCCAGCCTCTGGCATTTGCCACGGCCCGTTGGTAGAAGATTCCACCGAGCAAGTAGACAAGGATGGCGATGGCGAGGATGATCAGAAAGACGGATCCAGGGCCTACGCTTCCCGGCTTGTGCGGTTCGGCTCCGGCGCAAGCATGTCGCGACTTGACCTTGAAAATATAGGAGCATTCTTCTGGATCGGTAGCAATAAAGGCGACCTGAGCCGACGAAGCCGCGGGATCCCGGTCGCAGCTGAAGAATATTGTCGTCGACTTCCTCCGCACCGGCTCATCCGAGTCTCTAGCCGTATCGATGCCGGTCGTGTTCGTTGCTGATGGCGCCTCGTCATCGGTGTCGTAGTCTCTGTAGGCAGCACCTTTGTGCACGGCGCTTCTCCCGGCCAGGCTCGCGCTGCTTGACTTCTTCTTCCCACAAGGAGAGCCTCCGGAGTATTGCAGAACCAGCTCCTTGCCTCGGGTTATCAGCTCGCCCGACTGAAAACCCAAGCTGTAGTAGTCCCCCTGGGATTTGTAGTAGGCGCTGATGTTCTGCCACTTGCTCTCCTCGATGCCCTTGACGTCCTCAATGTGTTCGGCGACTGGGCCGCATATGTTCAGAGTGAAGTTCGAGCCGTAGTCGTAGCCCCTTGCCTTGTAGTCCTCCAGGGGCGCACCGTTGGTATTCGACTTGGACCCGTCGGCCTTGGGCTTTACAGCTACATCGGGTCTCAGATCGAAGAATGCGCCCGAGGTGGAGGAGGCGGTGCAAGGTGCCGTCGATGTCGTCTTGTCTGAGTCGGAAGCGAGGGTGGTCGAGGCGAGGCAGAGGAAGGACAGCAGCACCGGGTAGGCCGGGCAGGATACGGAGGAGAAGCGCATGGTTCACAAGGTGGGATGAGTATGTAGGCGTTCTCGCGCGTTTGGTGATATTGGTTGAAGGCAGGTGGGCTAGATAAATCATCCGCATAGGCCCTGGATAATACAACACGGTTGAAATGAATAAGAATAATGATACAATAGTTGAAGCGAAAGGGCCAGTGTCAGCATTCACTGGTCTTCTTGGGCCGGGACGCAGTCTGTGGACGAAGCTGCGCAAGACCACGAAACAGTAAAGGACGATAACTGAATGAAAGATACTAGGTAAGAATAATGAAACGCGGCAGAGAGAATAAGTTGAAGTTATGCCAAGGTGGCCGTAGCCGTTTTGGGAAACGACCCCTAAAGGAACATTAGATGCCGCCCCTGGCCCGCCGGTACGTAACCCCCCTTACCTAATAAACCCCCCTGCATTTCTCCAGAGGTTTGCTTCAATCGCATTTAGAGAATGCTTTGAAGTCAACCGATCATCGCGTCACCCGGGTGTCTCGTCGTACCACACGGAACGCCAGAGAGCCGACGCGGTCGAACCTCTGCATGTCATTTGGAATTACCCCAATCTGACTGACGCTTTGCTTTTGTCAGCTGCCTACAAAAGCCGCCCGAACTGCCTACGACAGACTCCGTTGCCGAACTGTTCAGCGTTCAGCACTCCAAACCACTCGAGTCCCTCCCTCACCATGGCGTCCAAAGCGAAAAGAGCAGAGCCTGCGCATGGCTACGAGTTTGGCGGCCCGTAAGGTTGACCCTTTCTGGAAAGGAAAGAGACTGGTGTGGCCACAATAGCTAACATGTTGCCCTTTCTCTCTAGGCTCGGTGCTTCTGTCATCACCTTCGGCCTGCCCTTCCTCTGCTGGCTCTTCACCTTTGCCTGCAACGACATCTCGGGATGCCCTGCGCCCTCGCTGTTGAACCCCAAGACCCTGTCCATCAACCAGCTGAAGACCGAGGTGGGATGGCCCGAGGATGGCATCATGGGCCTCGCTAGCTGGAAAGCTACCGCATGGACTGTGGCCTACTACCTCTTCAGCGCCCTCTTGTACCGTATCTTGCCCGCCATCGAGACCGAGGGCACCGAGCTTTCGTCCGGTGGGAGGCTCAAGTACAGGTTCAATGGTGAGTCAGTCCCCCGATGCCTACCCCCTGATTTGGACTGACTCAAGCCGGGCGTAGCTTTCTCTACAACCGTGACTACGCTGGTCCTCTGCTTTGCCGGCACCATCGCCCAAGGCGCCGAGTTCCCATTGTGGACTTTCATTGCCGACAACTACCTCCAAATCCTGACTGCCAATATCATCATTTCCTATGCGCTTGCCATATTCGTCTACGTCCGCAGCTTCTCTGTCAAGCGACCCAACTCGGACTTGCGTGAGCTCGCTGCTGGTGGTCATTCCGGTAACCTCATCTATGACTTCTACATGGGACGTGAGCTCAACCCTCGCATCACTCTGCCTTTCATCGGGGAGATAGATGTCAAAGAGTTCATGGAACTGCGCCCCGGCATGCTCGGCTATATCATCCTGAACTGTGCATTCATCGCCAAGCAGTACCGCAACTTCGGCTTCGTCACGGATAGCATCGTGTTTATCACCCTCGTGCAGGCCATTTACGTGCTGGATGGTCAGTTCATGGAACCCGCTATCCTGACTACCATGGACATCACCACGGATGGATTCGGGTTCATGCTTGCCTTTGGAGACCTTGTCTGGCTCCCCTTTATCTACTCCCAGCAGACGCGATACCTGTCAACCCACCCTGTCATGATGGGCTGGTTAGGTACTGCCGCCGTCTCTGCTGTACTAACTGCCGGCTTCTCTGTGTTCCGTCTGAGCAACAGCCAGAAGAACATATTCCGGACCAACCCCAATGACCCGCGTGTCGCTCATCTCACCTACATCGAGACCAAGACTGGCTCGCGACTCATTACATCGGGCTGGTGGGGTATCGCTCGACACATCAACTACCTTGGGGATTGGTTGCAATCATGGCCTTACTCACTCCCGACTGGCTTTGCTGGCTACGCGATCCTGACGGCAGGTAGCGGCGTGGACGGCTCAGTCAAGATGCTGGACGGAAGAGAGGTTGTCCAGGGACCCGCCAAGTACTGGGGTATGATCTTCACCTACTTCTACGTTCTCTACTTCGCGGTGCTGTTGATTCACCGCGATGGCCGAGATGACGAGAAATGTGCGAGGAAATATGGCGAGGACTGGAAAAAGTACAAGAGCATTGTCAAGTCCAGGATCGTGCCTGGCATCTACTAGAAGCTCGTCACAAACATGCATCCCACGATCACTGTCGGGTTTGGAAATCAAATGTTATTGGCGACTGGTGTATTGTGTAATGGAAGTGGCAGAGGGCATACGGAAACTTTGAAGGAGGATGTGTACCTACAGTACAACCGTCGAGAAAGCTTCGATACAACGAGGAAGTAATACAACCGAGCCCACTGGCCCTGACGACTTGTGTCTACCCTGCCCTCGATGTACGAGGCGCGCAGCTTCCCCCGACCTGGAGGCAACTGCTCGAAATCAACACAACAGCGCAGACAACGCAACAAGTGCTTGGGATGGGTTAGCAGCAGTTGAATTACGTAGGCAGTGACTCTGCCCTCTGGCATATGTGCTTGCTGTACACTGAACCCTCATACGTCTCCGTACACCCCCCCGGGCCGTTCTCAGGATCTTGAACATTGGGGGGTAATTTGTTATCCGTGGAATAACAACCCTAGAATAAGCGTTAAGCATGGTCAATAAAGACCCAACTGCTTATTCCGCTGTGCTTATTCCGATTTGATTAATATACAGTTGTTTGCTGGAAGGGTCGTGTACGGAGACTTGTGAGGGTTCAGTCTACGCACCTTCCCATAGACGTTAAACACTGCAACACTGCAACCCCCATCTTGGCCATTTCCGAACTGCCACGTTCCCGACTTGACTGTCTCCTCAACATCCCCCATTACATCCCCCATCATAAACGAGGACTTGCATCTTCAGTCACGTTTCCGAGTTGCCGTCGCCTCAATATCCCCCATTTTAAACAACCTGCATCTTCAAGGTAGCCATGGCCGGCGGGGGCACCAAGCGATCCCGGGACACCGAGTTGTCATGGGACGATTTCGAGGAGAGCACGACCAAAAGGCAACGGCACTTGGGCCCCAGTCCAAGCCAGATGCTGCAAGAAGCCCCGCCTGCATATCATCAGAGACCGGGAACCGTCGACCGTCTTACCGACCAGAACTACATCGCATGGCTCAAGAGCATTGATTTTCGCCCGCCCAACGGAATGCAAGCCTGGATGCAAGGCAACGGTTCCGTCACTGAATACACGCTGTTCACTCGGGACAACGGGGAGCGGTGTTTCATCCAGATGATGCGCGACCACGTCTTTGTTTTTCAGCACAAGGACCGCGGCGAGGAAGACGACTCGAGGCGGGAAACGGACCCATAGATCTGGGCATACCGCAGTCAGGTCGTCGAGCTCGAGTTTCTTGGCGTTGGAGTGCACACTGAGAGGCAGAAGAGGCTGCCAAAATACGCCGTCGTACTGGGACATGTCTACATCCGCCAACCCTACGCTGACGGCCAGCCGGAGCGAGTGCTGAGGACCAACTACAGTGTCGTTATGGACGTCACCAAGCCAACCAAGTCGGTATGTACAAAATGTCCCCTTCTCCCTTTCCGAGAAGACCAGATTTTGATATCCCCGCAGCTGTGGATGATATACAACTACGGATACGGCGAATCCTTCGCAGAAAATCTCGAGTTCTTCAAGGGCAATGCCCCGTTCGATATGGCAAGAATCGCCGACAGCCTCGAAGACTTCGTTGAAGACGAATCCATCGGAGAAGGGCTTTCTCGCTGTCCTCCTTACCTGGACGGCAGCAGGGTCATTGAAATAGTGCAGGCGTCAGCTAATTTTGTGGTGCCCATCTTCACGACCCCGAACCTCGATTCGCTGCTGAAGGCTATTGAAGACGGTTGGGGTACTATGAGCTTCTAGCTCGTGGCTTGTCGCTTGTGGCTTGTAGATGCGGCGTAACGGAAACAGGCGTGTATTGTAGGGGTGATTGAGTGGATGGAATAGCGAATGGCTGGTTGTTTTACCACTATAGACGTAGCGTATTCTAGAAATTGACAGTCTTGATTCAATGAACAGATTCGCATACTGGCTCCAGAGTGCCTGTTTCAAACATTGTAGCAATCGACATCTCGATGATCTACACTGGACCCTCACAAGTCTCCGTACACCGGTAATATCAAGTCCGAATAAGCACCATGGAATAAGCATTAGGAATGGCGTATCAAACTAGAGCTGCTTATTTCTGTATGCTTATCCCAAAGAATTTTTGCTGTTAATCAAGATACTTACCAACCTATGCGTACGGAGACTTACGAGGGCTGAGTGTAACAAGGCGTATAAATGAAGACTTACGAGAGGGGACTGTACACTCAACCTGTATAAGTTTCTGTCTGGCACCTCTCCATTAATCGTTGGATCTCAATGATACGTTCATATCAATCGAATAAGAATCCAGAATAGGCAGGTTTAATCCAACAAGCCATCTTCTATGCTTATTTCTGAACGATTATTCTACTTCCGATGAATACACCCTTCGGTTGCCGAACAAGGGGGTACGGGGACTTATGGAAGTTCGGTGTAGCGCAGCAGAACAGCACACCTAATCGCTGTCTTCCACCTGCTGTCTTCCATTCGATGTTTGCTGTCACAGAAGCTCCTCGCTTCTGGCGTTCCACGGCATTACCATCCCTCATATTCAGGGGCGGCTGTCTGTACCTGGAGTGCTTGTCGCGGGGTAGCGCTACAGTCACCCCTCATAAGTTTCCGTCCGTCATGCTTCCGTGATCTCTAAAGCACGGATGCTCCATTCGTATTAATGGAGTAAATGCCCCGGAATAAGCAGGTTCAATCAAATGAACCATGTTTAATGCTTATTCCAGGGTGCCTATTCTAGTTATAATAAATATACCTTTCGCTTGGTGAACGAGAGGTGTACGGAGACTTCTGGGGGTTCAGTGTAGCGAGCCCACCCCGCATTGGTGAGGTGGTTTACACGAGCAGGAGGAACGTCGACTAATACGGCCAGAGGATTCGGGCGGTGCGGCTTGCCGATCATCAGGCAACCGCCTGCACCCTTCAAGATACTCGTCTGACCTCATCTTCCCTCCATCTTCCCTCCATCGTCCTTACATCGTCACAACTTGGGGGTTGAGTAGGTATCGTTCGTGTATGAGACCAGTCGATAGAACTCCATCTGATTTCCGAGCTCTTGCCAGTCACTGCTTTAACTGGAACTCGTCCTTCCCTCTCATCGTCTCCCATACCTCGCGCAAGGATGAGTGCACATGCGGACGCAGACGCAGCCGGCCTCGAGCAAGCAGCCCGCAGCCAGACCGGCGGCGGCGAAGATGAGACCACGCAGACCTGGTTCGAGCACTCGACGGCGAAGCGCATCCACACCGACACGCTCATCGCCCAGACCCTCGCCAAGCAGTACCCGAACCTGGACCTGGTGATCGCGCCGCCGACCAACGGCCTCAACCTGCTGGCGTACGCCAACTCGGGCCACGCCAGCTACGATGCCGTCGAGGAGACCGGCACCGTGTTCCCGAGCACCCTGTCCTGGACCATGTACGCGGCCCCGGCGCGGCGGATCGACGGCAGCATGGGGCGCCTGATCGAGAAGCTCAACTTCGGCAAGTTCGTCTACAAGTGGAAGGACGAGGAGTTCGTCCTGTACATGGCCGACTGCCGCGACGGCACCATGTCCTACCCGCAGCAGACCAACCACTACATCCTGACGGCCAAGCGGCAGCAGGCCGAGGCGCTCATCCTCGAGGCTGGCCGGTGGGCCACCGAGCTGCACGGCGAGCTCTTCGTCTTCGACCAGGGCGGCTGGCAGAAGAACGCCGAGCTCTACCGCAGCGTCATGAAGGCTTCGTGGGATAACGTCATCCTCGACGCCGACATGAAGAAGGCCATCATCGACGATCACCTCAACTTCTTCGAGTCCAGGAAGACGTATCAGAGGTTGCAGGTGCCCTGGAAACGCGGCATCATCTACTATGGCCCGCCGGGGAACGGGAAGACTATTTCCATCAAGGCCATGATGCACACGCTCTACAGCCGCGACGAGCCTGTGCCGACGCTGTACGTGCGCTCTTTGGTCTCTGTGAGTACCGTATCTACTGGGAAATGACGAGAGTGTTGCTGCTGATACCTTGGACTCTCTTCCAGTATGCCGGTCCAGAGTACTCGTTGAGGATCATATTCGAGAAGGCGAGACAGTTCGCCCCATGCTATCTGGTCTTCGAAGATCTCGACTCCATCGTCTCGGACAATGTGCGGAGTTACTTCCTCAACGAAGTCGATGGTTTGAAGAACAACGACGGTATCTTCATGATTGGCTCCACGAACCACCTTGATCGCTTGGATCCGGGTATCTCTGTAAGTTTAGCACTGGCAACTGAGCTGAATGGTAGCATACACGGATGAGCGGGCGACTGACTATCGCGTAGAAACGGCCCTCGCGCTTCGACAGGAAGTACCTCTTCCCTGACCCCAACCTGGGCGACCGCATCGCGTACTGCAAATTCTGGCAGTCCAAGCTAGCCGACAACGACGACATCAAGTTTCCCGACAAGCTCTGCACGGCCATCGCCGAGATCATGGACAAGTTCAGCTTCGCCTACATGCAGGAGGCCTTCGTAGCGGCGTTACTCGCCATCGCCAGAGAAACCGAGAGCACGCTGCCCAGCAAGGAGGTGGTGACGCGCGACATGGACGACGGGTGGCTGGGAGTGAGTCTCGTCGACGGCGACGATGGCTTGAACGAGCTGGTGCTGTGGGTGGAGATCAAGAAGCAGGTTGAGATTCTGCGGGAGGGCATGAAGGAGAAGAGAGCGGCTGCGATGGGCAGGCAGAAGCCCAACTGGGGTGTATCAGTAAAGGGATCTTTCACTTTGAAGAGGGGTTAGGGATCTACCTCGCATCCTGGTCTTTTACAAACTTTACTCCGGCTACCTGGTATCTTACAAACGGGTGCGGCGAAGACCCAACTGCGATGACGAGCTGAGCTTCGAGACAGGTGAAGTTGGAGGAGCTCCTTCTCAAGAGATAGTGTCCCTTGGGTGGCCACAATTCATACTCATGCTGTACCTAGGAGCGCCGGGAAGTGTCAGTCACAAAGAGACCAGTATCAAATAGTGCACCGAGAAAGCCAGATGAGGGCTCATACTCTTTCATACGTGGGTTGAAAGTGAAAGGCGTAGGTAGCGAGGGCGCGTGACCTCATCAGTTTCGCATAAGATCGTGATGGAGTAGAACGATGTTGCAGGCTACCGGAAACTGGTGAAGATGGAGACAGAACCCACAGATGGTTGGCGACAGATGGTTGGCGAACGTAGGATGGATGAAGGATGAATGATGCGTAAATGAACGCTTGATGGGAAGTACAGATCGTGACAGCCAGCGCGACCTGAACTTGCTACCAGGGGCAGAAAAAGGAAAGGCCAGGTTGTTCCTAACGATGGCACGACAAGATTTTCGTCGTGTCTACCTACCCCCATGTGTCACGCTTTGAACTTAGAACACGTTCGAAAGGAAGATGAGGTTGATAATAAATGGAAAATGTCTTGCTCTTCATTCTAATACACATGGCAAGATATAAGCTGTACACTGGAAGGCCCCACTTAAACATCAGCGCCATGTTAAATACCAGCAAAAAGCACCAACCATACCCGAGACATGTCATACCGGGTCGCCCTAATGTACACATCCCCAGTTTGCTTGAGTGCTTAGTTCCTAAATAGTGTGTGGACGCATGCCACTTCTGCCCGGTCATCTCAAGCATGCCATTCCCAGTCCGTTCACTCACTTCAAGTACGTCATGATCTCTTCTCTGTCCCTGATTGGCATCATGTGCAGCATTTCCTTCAGGCCCTTGAGGGCGGCAGTCTTGTCTCCTGACAACAGACTGGCCATCTCGCGGGAGACAGATTCCGCCTTGATTTGCTCGACCTTTGTCGTTATATCCTTCGCATTCTCCTCGTACCATGTGACAACAGCCTTGTCGTTCCGGTCGAAGTCAGCGATGCCCGACCAAGCCGCCAGGAGGCGCAAATGTTGCTGGCGGATCTCGACTGCAGCAGGGTTGGTCGAATCTGTCGTCTTGGTTGAAGCAGTAGCAGTTGCCGTTGCCATCCGCTTGAGGATGTACTCTTCGTTCAAACGTCTGCGTACACGCCAGTAGAAGAAGCGGCGGGTGTTCTTCCACTCTAGGGCTTCCCGGATGGCGCCCTTGGCCTTCATCCGACCGGCACGGTCGTGCAGATCAGCGAACTGTATGCTGACTTGGGCGTATATTGGCAATAGCTGCTTCTCGCGAGCGGTCATCTTGGCCTTGACTTCCTCGAGCTGCTCCTTGGACAAGCTCTGATCACTAGCTTGCTTCTTGAGGGCGGCGTAGGTAGGATCCAGACGGGCCATGGTCTCGAGCTGCTTCTCCTTCTTGTACTTGATACCGATGATACCTTCGGGCTCTAGGACACCAGCACGGGCTTCGACATCGGCGTACATCTCCATGGCCACGGGGTTGATGGTAGGATCGACAACGACCCAAGATCCACCGCGCAGTTCACCATAAGGTGGGATGTAGACAAATATGGGTTGCTCGAATTTCACCAGGGCGTCCACGATGTATGAACCGTACTTCAAGACCTCATTGTACATGTCTCGCTGGCCACCAGAGAAACCTCTCCAGTTGGCCAGAATCATGAGTGGCAGCTGTTCACCGTGGTTGAAGTCGTTGATGGCCTGCGCAGTCTTGAATGCGGAGTTGGGGTACCAGACACCACCGGCTTCGTTGATGACCTGCTCGACGGAATCTGGGTTGGCAGGATCGGCCGGGGTGACGTTCTCGACGGTTCGAGTCTCGACGGCAATGACACCCATTGGGATACCACCAAGACGAGCGCGACCAACAACGACAGTGCGGGCCCAGCCACCAAGGGTCTCGACGAACGAGTCTTTGTCGAAGAGACCTGGCTGGAAGCCATCCTCGTCCTGCTTGCCACCGATGAGCCACCTCACATCGTGCGGTTGCTTGTTCGGCGGCGTGTAGATCACCTCACGATCCCAAGTGTCAACGCTGGGAGTAATGGGCACGGGGAGGTTGCGCTGAGCAGGAACAAACGATAGCCACTCCACAATCTTGGAGACACCAGCAAAGTCGTCGTTGGCAGTCATGTGGGACACACCATTGCGGTACATGATCTGGGTACCACCGAGCTGAAGGTTAGAAGTGTAAACTTCGCGTCCAAGAAGGTTGTTCAAAGCATTAGCACCGGTGAGGATGATGGGTTGGCCCTCAATCTGGACGGCACGCTGGCCAAGACGAACGAGATAAGCACCGATTCCTGTCGAGAGTTAGCTGGAGTGTCTGATACGGTTGGACGGGTGAGACTTACCAATGGATCTGCAGGTAATGAGGGTGACTGTGAATATGTCGTTGTATGCGCGACTTGTGGCACCTGCAATAAGACCAGAACCTCTCAGGCACTCGACACCAAGACCATCCTCGGCACCAACAATGGCGACGATCTTGTGACGCTTCTCGCCTTCCTCGGTAACTGGCTCAGTGATGACATCGCGTCGCGAGCCGTCTTCGAACCGCTTCTTAGCCTGGTCGTCCAAGTACAAGTACTTGAAACCAAGTGTCTGTTGGGACGGGTCGTTCCACGCCACCTTGAAGTGCGGGATGAGCTCGTCAGCGACGCCGAGGCGAGCACCAGAGTTGGCCGAAAGATAAATCCGCGGGATTCCCATGCTGCGGGCTAATTCTGTGCATTTGTGGAAGAAGTGATCCTCCTTAGGCCCAAACGAGCCGATCAGGTAGGTAATGTCGTTGGCAACCACGACAAACTTGCGACCACTGGGGTATTCAGGAGTGCGAGCATTGATAACCCAGCCCACCATACCACAAGTGTTGGTGCCAGGCTCTCGGGACACCTCGATCAGCTTGTCGTGATCATCAAGGACAAGTTCACTATAGTCAATGCATTCACCCTGGGCGGGCTTCTTATCGGCCCAGGACGGCTGTTCCTTGACAAGTTTGGTCCAGCTATTCTCCACGGCCTGGCGGAAAAGCTCTGGGAAGTCGTAGACGAACTGCGTTCCCATCAGGTGCGCCTTGTACCGCTTGGGCTGAAGCCAATTCTTGGTTGGATATGGCGAGTTGACTGGCATCAGATGCATCGATCCAATCTTGTTCGTCCCACCAATGGAGTGGAAGATCATCTCACCCTTCTCCGACTTCCGTTCAGCATAGATCTCGACCTGGATGACGTAGCCGGATGTGTTGATAATGAGCACACGCAGGGGATATGGCAAGCCCGTGGTGGCGTCGGTGCAGACAATGCGGATCTCAACTTGAGACACACGAAGACGCCAAGCGCGAGGGCCGAACCTGTCGAGGAAGCCCTGGAGGGAGCTCTCCACCTCTTGGGGATTCAGCTGGAAGACGGGTGTGAAGTTCAAGAACATGTGATTCAAATCAGAATTGTTGTTTCCGATGATCTCTAGGGCGTCGAATATGTCGTTGATCACTCTATCAGCCTCAGACACGAGGTACTCGACAGTCGGAATATCATCTCGAAGGCGTCCGGGTCGTATGGCAGCACGAGTGAAGTATCGCTTGTCAGTCTCGACACCCTTGCCAAAGGCCTCGTACACGTGGATGTTCTTGTTTTCGGTGAAGACGGGTGTAGTCTTGAACTTCGAAAGGCGTCCCAGCTCCAGTTGGAAGGCCAAAGCCGGCTCGCTGTGACGAATGCTGTCGTCTTCTGCATAATTAGGACCACGGAACGTGTAGTAGCGGGGGTATGAACCGTCGTTGTGAGCGCAGATAAAAGTCACGCGGCGGACCTTGTGAGCCGCCAGTTCGGCCCTGGAAGCATCGATCAACGCGCGGATCTTGCCCAGGATCTCTTGGTCATCTCTGGATTCAGCGTCACGAACAGCAACGCTGATCACATTGGACAGCGCTTCATCCTCAGACTTGCTACCAAAAGTTTTGCGCTTGCCGCTCAGATCCGGGATGGTGCTAGGGGCTCGCGACTTCTTGGTAGGTAGCTTCTCTATCGCCTTCTGCAACATCTCTTCGGCATCATCCAAGTACCTGCAGGGCACAATGACACCCTTTCGAGAAGCCTCAGCTTCTGTCTGACGGGTCAGATATGACATGTCACCCACAGAGCTAATGCGGTTGAAGCTGAATTCCTGAGTGGGGGTTCCAGGAGTGGATGGGTTCGTGGACTGAAACGGCAGAGAGAACTCGGACGACCCGACCTTGCGGAAAGAGAAGTCCCAAGAGAGAAAGGCAGGCGCGGTATCGGACTCGTCAGTGATGTACTCAACCCGCGTCACGTTGTATGCACGGTATGCTCGACGAATGTACGTTTCGAGGGCAGCGGCTGAGACCCACGGATCATCATGGGCGAAGAACGAGGTGAGCACATCGAAGACAGTGTACTTGGAGTCGACCACCTCCTTGATTACATCGAGACTTGGCTCTCTGTGCTCCCAGCCGGTCTCGCCGTACTTGTTCTCGACGACTGACGACCGTAGAATATGCTCCATCTGTGCAGTCCGCTCCTCGAGAGACGGCAAGGCACACTGGATCAGTATTTCGCGCGCTTTCAGCGATACCTTGGCAGTTTGGCGCGAATCGAGCTCCGCAAGCTTGCGAAGTACGGGTCTGAGGTATTTACCAATGTTGCCCACATTGGGCTTGTTGGGACGATACTCATCGAGAAGAGCCAGGACCAGGTGGTTCTTGGATCCTACACGACTGTGGGAGAGCACGATCTGAATGACCTTGGGGTAGTCTTCCCTGTTCTCCTCGCGAAGCTTCAGAACGACATCCTCGTCCTGAGAACGACGACCCGAGAAAAGTGCCTCAACGTCGGCGTATGTTGAGAGCAGGCTCGAAATAGCCTTCAACTCACGAACCTTGGGGCCGTCGACATAGTTGTCAAGAACTTCAATCAGTGGTGACAGAGTATCCCGAATGGCGTTCGCCTCACTCGATGAAGAGTTATCATCCAGAAACTTGGTGAGAGTCCTGGCCAAAGTCTTGGCCGGGAACTCAGTGCCTCGTGCTTTGGCCCGTTCGATGACCTGAGTGAACTGGGTATCAAGCTTCTGCGGCATCCTCGAGTGGAGCGCCGAGTGGTACTGGGCCCACTCGCTGTAAGGAAGCTCTGGATCCCGCAGAACCTCAACCATATCTTTGAGGGTTTGCTGCATGATGACTGAGTTATCGAAGCCATTCAGAATATTGCTCAAGGTCTTGTAGAGCAAATTGAACCTTTGGGCGGGCTTGTTACCAATAACCTGCGGTGCGCGGAGAGCAGGAAGTTGGCCAACGAACGGCTCTGCCTGCTTAACGCGGGATGGGTCGTCAAGAGCGAGTATACCCAGGATGTCGCCAGCTTCAATGGTAACACCAGGCTGCTTAATCAGCTGGACGATACCGTCCTCCTGGGCAATCAGGGGCATAAACATCTTCATGACCTCAACTTCGGCGAAGGTCTGACCGGCGCTGACGTGCTCGCCATTCTCAACGGTATATTTGACCAATTTGCCAGGGCTGGGTGTGCGCAGCTGAGTAGGGTCATTCTCCTGCTCAAGGAGGCAGGTCTTGCTGTCGACAGATACACGCGTAGCGCCGACTTCTTCTTTCCAATAGACGCTGTGACTTCGTCCGTCTAGGAGGATGAGGAGACCGCCATCACTGAGAGCCCGAATGCCAACTTGGCATTTCGAGCCGTTAATGAAGAGATGGTAGCTGTCAACAGCCGCACGAGTCGCAGTGAACTTGTACCGGTGACCCTCGTAAATGAACTCGATGGGGAAAACAGTCTTGAGGATGTCCCTAGACGGGACCTGACCTCTCTCGAGGCCAGATCGGTACTCGGCAATATGAGCCTCACAGGCAATGTGGGCCTTGGTGATGGCGCCACATATGACAGCAAGGACAGGGTCCGGGCGCTCGGCGGTCAGCTTTTTCGAAATCAGTTCATCAAGCCAGCCGGTGGTTATGGTATTGTCTTCGAAGGCTTCTGTCTCGAGGAGCTTGATCAGATACTCGACAGTAGTTCTGAAGTCGCCACGGATGCTCAGTTCCTTCAGGGCAACGACCATGTTCTTCCGTGACGCCGCTCGATTCTCTCCATAGGCAAAGATGTGGCCAAATTGACTGTCGGAGAAGCTGTGAATACTGGATGATGTACTGACGGAGAAGTAACCCCAAACGTTGGCACTACTTCGGAAGTTCAGTTCGTGCATGACACCGTTTGACGGCTTGAACCCCTCACCGGGGTCTTCCGACGTGATGCGGCAAGCGGTACAGTGACCACGAGGTTGAGGCCGGCGTTGGGTCTTGTCGCTCTGAGGGCTCTTGAACTCGAAGTCAATCTCGGTGGACGACTTGGGATCTACACCATAGAGTAGTCGGATATCGCTGATCCGGTGCAGGGGAATACCCATGGCAACCTGGAGCTGGGCAACGGGCAAGTTAACGCCGCTGACCATCTCAGTTGTTGGATGCTCGACCTGAAGACGAGGGTTCAACTCCAGAAAGTAGAATTTGTCGTCGTCGTGCGAGTAAAGGTACTCAACGGTTCCGGCAGAAACATAACCAACCAGGCGACCGAGGCGCACAGCGGCATCTTCCATGCCCTTGAAGGTTGGAGGCTTAGCGATGGTGACCGGGGCCTCTTCGATGATCTTTTGGTGCCTTCTTTGGACGGAACAATCTCTGCCAAAAAGCGAGACGTTGTTTCCATACTGGTCGGCGAGCAATTGGACCTCCAGATGCCTCGCATTACCAGCTAATTTCATGATGAAAATGGGCGAGCCCGGGATTTCGCTAGCAGCAGCATTGTACAATGCTTCGAACCCGTCCTCGGACAAGGCTTTCCGGATACCTTTACCACCACCACCCTCGGATGCTTTGATCATAACTGGGAAGCCAATCTGGTTGGCCTTCTCAAGACCCTCTTGCCAAGAGTTGACGCATCCCTTGAGGTAGACATCATCAGCGACTGTGACGATACCTTTGTCATCAAGCTCGACCTTATCAACGCCCGTACCCGACCACGGAATGCAAGGAACTTTGGCATGTTGTGCGACGATGGTCGAAGAAATTTTGTCACCGAGTGATCGCATAGCCGAGCCTGGAGGACCGATGAAAACGACCTTCTTGGGCGAAGCTGCGAGCGATTCGGGCAACTTGGGGTTTTCTGAAGCGTGGCCCCTGAGAAAAGCGTCAGCATTCAGCCATGGGACTTCGCAGCGCTTGCGGAGAACTTACCATCCTGCCCAGACGGCGTGTACGTCCATGCGCTCGGCTATGTCGACGATTAACTCAACGTTAGCGTAGTTGTGATTGTTTGTGCCGCCGGGGACTTCGACGTAGTGATCTGCCATTCTGATGTAATCCGCGTTCGCTGCCAGATCCTCTGGGGTGGCCATGACGGTGAACTGGATAGCCTTCTCGTCGCCGAACGTTTCGTAGGCCCATTTTCGTACTGATCGAATCTCCTTGACGGCGGCGATACCGTTGTTGGCAATCAGAAGCTAGTAATGGCCGTCAGCGACCGCCCCGAGCTCGTGCACTCGTCCCGTGCAGTCAAAACCGTGCTTACATTTGTGATGACGGTGTGCCCATCGTGGGCAGCGACGAAGTCCTTGACCTTGGACGGCGCGGCATTTTCCAGCTTGTTACCGCCAATGAAGTGGTCTGCGACCTTGCGCTGCTCGGCGTAGGATGCCTTGCCATTGGTCACAGGTACCGTCCGGTTGCCGTTGGCAGGGCCGTGGCCATTGGTCTGAGACGGCATAGTGTCGAGGGTGTTGGGGTGAAATCGGGAGGTTTCGACGGCGGGAGAGGATGGGGGCAAATTGATGACTCGGAACAAGACAGTTAGGGGGTCATCAAAGTATAGCGGGTGCCCGAATCGAGCTCCTACAAAGCCCGAAGAACGAGCAATTGTGTTCCTGCTGCGTGGTGTTTTCAAGGATCTCGGAAAGGTTGCAGGTGAGCCGCGTGCGGACTTCGGAGCTGCAGTCCGTCTTGCAGGGTGCGCGTCGACTCTAAGTGGTTGAGTCGGTGCGTCTGAATCCTCTATGCAGAAGAAGACGAGGGAAATCGCTGGAATCGAAAAACGGCGCGGGTAAGAGAGAGATATCTGTTCAATGGCATAAGCACAAGTTCACAAGTTAGCAGCCAGCCAAACTTTGGGCTATCCGCAGGAGGCGGCGGTAGAGCTAGCGGAGGGTGGGATATATGCTCAGGCGGTTGGTACCTGGCAAGCTGCAACATACACAGTGAGGGTGAGCTTCCCGGATGAGGTGTCTCTAGCGGGATGGTTGGAGTATGGTTACAATGCTGGCTCTAGGAATGAAAGCGGCAGCATGAAGGGGTTGCGACGGGAAGGCGCGGGAGAGAGGGAAGGGGAAAGGAGAACGAGCAGGATGATAAAAAATAATGGAGGCAGCTTCACGGCCATGGCACGCACTAGGAGGGCAAGGAGGGCACCTTCATCATTTCAAGAAGCCGACATGCCCTTCGCCTGCCGACGAGGCTGATATGGTGAAATTAACGAAGTGGACGGGCTCTGATCGACCCCTAACGCACCGCTAACAGGGGCTTTGGGCCAATGGCCGGTCTCCCCGGGGTGTTGGGGAGATCCATCCCACCTGCGCTATTGCCCACCCGGTCCAACCTTCAAGTCGCCCGGCGTGCAGGTGCTGACGGGAAGGATCCCCTCCAAAGTCCAGGGAGGAGTCCACTGTGAGGCCCCTGACGGCCCTTGACTTCAGCGCAGCGCAAGGCCCGGAATCCAAACCTCCATCTCAGAGGTACCGGTACCTGCGCAGAGCTGCGCTACCACAGCACAGCACCTGCCCGCGGCATCAGATGTGGACTGCGGTAGTGGCCCGGGAGGCAAAACAGCCGAGAGGTACGGACGGATACTCTGCACGAGTCCACGACAGCCGAATGACAACGGTTTCTGGATCTTGAATCAATCTCTGGAAGCTTCAAATCCTCCAATCCTCCAGTCCGCCGAAACGCCGAACATCTACGGACGGTTTGCGGGGGCTCTGGAGGGAGTCGTGCTGTTGCGGCCGGGGAAGCGGTGTCGCAACGATTGTATGCATGGCTCGGGTCAAACATCGAAGTCAGCAACTGCTTACCTGGACTTGTACAAGTACCCGACCGCCTCGTTGCGACTCTTCGGTTGTTCGGTCATATCAGCCAGCTCGGCCCGAGAGGTATATCTACCTCGCACGTGTGTGTGCACCTGTGTGCGTGCTTACCTTAGTTTACCTTCGAACCAGCTACAATAAGTTGTTTCAAAGGTTGTTGTTTTCCTCCTCCGAGACTCATCCTTGGAATCAATGGACGTCCCTACGAGCAGTGAACATTCACATTGGACTGGTTGGACTGACTGGTTGGACTGGTGAGCTGGAGAGCTGGAGAGCACCAAGACCTCAGAGATCCGGCAGCTCAACGTAATGTTACTCGATTAGGCAAGGTCCAAGCAGGGGAAAGAACGAGATTGGGTGGGGAGTGGGAACCGTCATGAAGAGCTGAAGTTCATCTCCATGAGACTCGAGAGGTACCTTGTCTTCGGCCACTGCTACTTGCATCATCGCTTACTATGCGCATCCAATTGGAACATTGAGGTATCTCATGGTTCTCGTCCCACTCTCGTCCCGTCGCAGCAGGTATGCATCTCCTCGGTTTCCATTGCGTGTGGCTCTTTGGGCATATGTCTTGTACTGTAAGTGCTAGGATCGTGAAGTTGTGAACTCAATTGTTGGGGTGATTTCGGAAACATTGAAGCGAGCTTGGGCCCACCATATGTACATGTACTTCCCGACGGCGGGACGGTGGGACTCCGATGTGATATCCCCCAGCCCTTGGACCCCTTGTGTTGGAATCAATGAAGGGTCTTCCTCAAAAGCTTTCACGATCCGTCAATCCCGCAGTGCCTGGCATCCTGTCATCCGCGTCTATTCTATCAGCTGGGTATTCGGCCAAGTTGATCTGTTGTTGTCTCGCCCACGGAGCGCAGGTCGTCCTCGTCATTTTCCCCCTTTCCCCTCGAAAATTCCCTCCACTTGAATAGTCCCGCCCGTCCGCAAGTCCCCAACACCCATGGATCTTGTCCGGACACCCTCCGATCAATTATTATTGATAAGACCGTCGCACTATATGTCTTGTCTCGTCCCAGCTCACGCTTTTTGAGTTGACGCTTGGGGAATTCCCGTCGGATCATGTGAGGTGAGAACCTCATGTCAGCGGATCAAGTACCATCTGAGAGTGCATTGGCATGATTCGACAGAGAGCATAGAGAACAAGTGTCTCTCGGCATTCATATCCCGAGTTCGTGCTAGCCGAATGAGAGCCTTGGGATAACGACGAGGATTCCCATACTTGTACCCCTCGACAGCAGTGTGGGCTTGACCGGGCAGAGATCAAGATCAGCTACCCTCCCTCCCATTCTCCGGGGCTAATGCCCGGTCATCATCACTTCCAGACGCACCCGAGTGTGTCAGCAGTGTCAGCAGTCAACAAGCCCTGGTAGGGATGACTGCAGATAGCCCGACGCCTCGTGCAAGGTAAGCTCGGAGTCCGGCCGTGGTCAGATAGCTCCCGGCGAGTGCCTCCGGCTATCCAAACTCCCAGTTCGATCGAAATAGAGAACCTCGGAGAGTACCTTGCAGTCTGTAGGTAGTTGATGAACCGAGTCAAATGGTCACTCTCTTCCAGCGTCCTCGTTCACCGAACACGAATAGGCGCGTCGTCTCTGGCAATCGAGCCCATCGCTGACCGGCCGGCTAGCGTTGCCACGTAGTCTTCATGCTGGTGGTCCATTGGCTCAGACATCAGCACCAACAACGTCGTTGACTGAATCTGAGCCGCTTTGCATCACGCAAGAAAGACTAGATGAGGTAAATACATGATATCCTGTATATATGTAGAGAAAGGTAGGATCGAATCGATTACCAATACCCACGCCGCACCGTAGGGCTGGCTCGGGTACAACCGATGACGAACACGTGCGCCCCCTGGCATCGTACGATGTTCGTAGATTGGCTGGTAATGATCTACACAAAGGTCAGCCCTATCTTCTGCGCAAGACAGGACATGGCATCAGCGTTGGAAGCCATATCATCAGCCATACTGACACTCGCCCGTTGCCGACGTGTTCTGCCCACGCGTGGCTCTGTGTACCTGGTAAGTAAGTTAGCTCAATGTTGAACTGCCGGAATCCCGACCCCGTAAAACAACCACCACTTTCAGAGTCAGTGACTACCAAGGTCGCGTCTTGAGACTACCTACGCGAGTAGCGCGGCTACCAGCCATTCCCAGAAAGAATACCCTACCTACGTGGTTCACATCCACTACGAGGCTCGCTTTCAGCCAGAAGACGTTAATTGGTGCAACTAGTAGTTAGCAGGCTCATCTCCTGACTCGAAGCCGAGTCCAGACGTAGAACCCCATGCCTGCATAACTTACCCAAGAACCTGCGAGCCACGTGATCATTACGCCCCTTGACTTCACCTGCCAACCGACCACTTCAGTCATTCGTTTGCGACCGTCGCTCCTGCTTGGGTTCACCGCGCAGCTCACCTGTTTCGGTATAACAGCTGGAGCTCTCGAGGTCATAACTTGTCGATGCTTTCCTGGCATGGAAATATCTTCCCCATCCCGTCTGGCCATATGGCATGGTGTCATTCTCTTCCACGAGAGAACCCTTCTTTCTACTGGAAAGCATGCTCCTCGCCATGAAGCATGGAATATGTTGGTCATTCGAGATATTATTCGTCGAACCCACTGGTAACAAGGCAAAGACAGGACTGGAGCGTTGGGGCAGGATGGAATCCGCGATCTAAGCTCATTACTTTCTGTCGTCACCAGGACCTAGTTGTAGCACGATTCAACCGGTTTCCAAGTAGGATAGCAGGTCCGTAGGGGCATCTCAAGCCTATGTCTTGCAGTACTACGTGGGTAAGGCTTTGGCATATCGTATCTCTTCTCGGAGCGAAGAACTCATACGGAAAGAGATAACGTACCATGCGAGAAGCCGTGCAAGAGTACCTCTCTAACACAGTCGCCATATAGGATCCCAGGAACAGCCCAGTGCGTAAGTGTGTGAAGCGAATTCGAGCATGAGGAAAAACTCTCCCGTTCTTGCCCAAAGACCCTGCATCTTGAACCCACCTCGCCAAACCGACAGCCACACCATCAGCCAAAACACAATTTAATGCAGATTAAAACAATAGGCTACTAAAAGTGAAAACGGGTAGATATTCACCAAAAATTTGAACCCAGTGTCTTGTACTTGAAAAGATGCTTGAAGGGCGGTCCGAGAAGCCAATGTGCGTAGTGACTACAATCAGCCCTCATACGTCTCCGTACACACCATGTTGAGAAGATTCCAGATCACACCAGATCAAATGGAAATTTGGGAATACTGTAGTAAGCGGACAGGATTAAGCAGCTTTGGTTTGATACGCCACTTCTGATGCTTATTCAATGGTGCTTATTCCGAATCGATGAATGCACCGTTTACACGTTTGCTGGACGGATGGTGTACGGAGACTTATGAGGGCTCAGTGTACCTAGGAGGGCATTGCTTGGTGTGCCCAATGTCAAGCCGAAGTTTTACTGCGTGACAGGATCAGTGCATAGTTTCCAGAGCACCATCATCAGAAATGATTCCCATATGGAAGCCGATGTCTAAAACATGGGCTTGTCTTGGAACGCAGGAGTCTTGCACGGCTACAAGAGGTCCGCTCGTCTGTACGAGGCCAGGTGGTATCGAATCGTGGACTTCTCTGCTTTTTATTACGGCGTGCCCAGACATACCTGTGATTATCGAATGTATTTCATGTAATCTAGGTTACTGGCCTGTATCTCGAGTTGTGTTGTTGGGGCATGGGTAGCGTTGTGCACAGTAGAGTCAATATAGGGGTAGGATGCACCACCGTAGCTGGCTGGCTGGACGGAGTGCACCACAGCCAGTACGTGAGCCTCTCTACGGAAGTTACAACTAAGTAAATGATCTTCTACAGGAAAGGAATCATGGTGGATGTAGCACAGGGAATGACAGGAACTTTGGTTGCAACCGGTGACCGATACTTTACGGGGGTATTGATTTCGAATCGCATGCCCTCAGGTAAATAACACGCCCAAATCACAATCAGCCTCCCTCCCCGGCAACCATAAATATCAGGCGCACCACCCACCTCCGCCCTCCTCTCTCTTCCCTTCATCTTCAACAACAAGACCTTGGCGACCTTGCCTCGGTAGCAACCTCCTTGGAGGGCAATTTTGGTGCGCGTCTCCCCCCAGCTTCCACTTGACCGGCCCCCTACTGATGTATCACGCAGAACACAAACCAAGTCACCTCGACGACCCCATTCGCACAACCCGCCGGGAAACCCGGGCACAACCACCACGGGGCGCCGCGCTGGAAGATATTGCCATCGCTCTCCCACAATGCCCACCGATCGCTCGCAGCCGCCGACGAGACGACCCGGTGCTCCGCGGCGTGGGAGATACGTCCTCCGAGTCCGCAGAACGAAACAAGAAAGTTATAGAGAAAGCGCATGTTACGGTATTACATAATACCTCCACATATTTATGTACATATATACCCCTAGCTTCCCCGTTCTCTTCCGACCTTGCCTCTTCTTCCTTAGATATCGTTGAATCTAGATATTTCAACCCATCAGCCCTGACCAGCGCAGCTGCAGGCCTGATTGTCACAGCGCATAATGAACACTGAGGGCCTCCTTTCGGGGCTCACAAATCGGCCGGAATATACACACAGACGAGGGGACCGATGGTACAAATCACCTTGTAGACCGAGCTGGGGGGGTTCGGTCTGCAATTGTGACGCGTGTGAGAGCATCCGGGCTCCGGCTCGCGATACGATCACGAAGGGCTGGGTTTCCTCGGACGGATGCCTCTCGCCAGGCTCGCTATGTCGGCCTGGTTAGTTGCGGACGTCTGGTGGGTTGAGTGGGAAACTCGAGTATCTCCTTTCTGGTTGTGGAGGCCAGCCGGAGCGGCTGGGGCGCTTCGCGGATGGGTGGAGAGCAGACGACGGTTTGATGAGGGCTTTTGTGGATAAGAGACCGGAACACAAGGACAGGGAGCTTTGAGGTTTGTGATCCTAACGCTGGAAACTGAGGGCTGGGGACTTTTGTCTGGATTACGAACCACTGACTTGGTGGCCTTTGCATCTCCATGCTTGGGTCTCTGAGTGGTCGTTCTCCTATACTGATCCTGAACCTCAACCCACCTTGCTTGCTGCGTTTGCTGGGTGATTCCAGTATCGCTCATAGAGCATTGGTGCAAGAGCTTCATACATCTATTCATCTCATATACTTCTCGTGTAGTTAAACCATGGTTCTAACCACCTCAGCTTTGATTTGAGTACACATCGTGAAACCAAGAATATGAAGCCCGGAACGACATGCTTCGTCAGATCGTTAACCCACCATCCCTTGCAGGGCTTATTGCTCGCACTCGGAATTCCAGCACACTGCATAATCATCCACCTGCCTCCATGATCAACAGGGTAATATGCTCAACCCCCAATGCCAACCCATCTTAATACCTTGGGTAGGTAGGCATGGTGGCTCAGGAGATGGCGTCGACCATCAATGGTTGTACACGAGGAACACGCGAACTCGTAACCCATAACAAAGCCCTAACCAAGCTCCTTATACAACCTCACTTCGTTGGAAGATGGAGGTTGGTGATGACTCTGAGTGTTGCTTGCTCTATCGTGATCGATAGCCAGTTGAGTTCAATTTACTTTACCGCTGAACTTTCATCCGCCTGTCCAAGACATGACATCGGGACAAGGTGAGTCGTAATACCTTGACCAACTTTGGGCAAGGGAGCTAACTTGACTCAACTTGTTCACAGCGAGCACAGGCAGGCCCCTTGCATCACATCTGTGTCAAGCCAAAACATCACAGCAACCAAGGGAGACAAGTTTCATGTGCACAAAAGGAATTGTTGCCGTTCAGGCGGGTATTACTACATCGTACATCCCCATCCCCATCACCGCGCTCTCTCTCTCTCTTCCTTGGTCTTCCAACTAGGTCTCCTCTCAGGAGGCATATATGTACAGTGGCCCCTTCAATACCGCAGCCTCCTTGTATTAATCAAGGGAAACATACTCACAGCACAGCTTCCAGCTCCGAAATGCCCGCCTGCCAACACCGTCAATCATGGAAAAAAAGGAGTGCGATGCTCCAAACCCACCCGGCCATCCAAAACGGAGTATGCTCGCCACCAACACCTGCCAGCCCTTTAGTCCTACGTCATTGAAGCAAGCCGTGGGCCAGCGAGAACGATATGCAAATCCATGTACGTAAACTTCGTAAAACCGTCAGCACCCTGGCCAGTTCGAACACTGGGCAGGGCCGTTCTATAATGGGACGCGATTCTTCAAGTAGAAGAACCGACGGGAAATATAAGCGGCAAGGACTAGTACGTCTCTCCCAAGTCGCTCAATTTCCTTGCCCTGCCGTTCTCGTTGACTCCACCGCTAACTCGTCGTGACGGGTTCATGCTGCCGCTTTGCCGCCGCGTAAAGCCACTGGGAGCCGGGATGTTGCTACCCGTCCCCTCAGCATCATATTTGCTATACGTCCCCCGCCGGCTCGGCGTACGTTCTTCGAACTCTTCGGCTTCGATATGGGTCACACTCTGGGAATGCCCGTGCAAGCCGCCTATGGAGCTCCTAGGTCGTACTCCCATCGGGGTTCTCGCACCCGTAAGACTAGTACGGGATGCGGGTCGACCGATTTCGCTACGGCTCGCCGGACGATCGGGTTTCACGAAGCTCGAGATACTAGCTCGGCTACTCGGTCGCGATATGGACACGGAAGAGCCGTCGGGATCGTAATTAGGGTTCCGATTGGGCAAAGGGCCGAACGAAAGCCGCGAGACGCTGGACGTACTAAGTCTCAATACGTGCTTGCCGCCTCCAGTCGTAGTCGTAGCCTGTGTCGGGGTGTCGTCTGCTACCGACGGAGTCGCTGTCGAACCCGCATTGCGTTTCCGGGAGCGCATCGTGACCGTAGATGGCACCTGGCTGGTGCCGTTGACGGATGATCTGGGGGATGCTCGCGGCGGTGTGTGTACGGGTGCTGGTAGCTTAGACCGTGCCGAAGCGACCCGGGCCTCAAGTTTCTGCATCTGCGCAGTAAGAGTACGAACATGGCTCAGAGAAGCTGAGGCGGGAAGCTTGTGGGATGAAGCGCGGTTGGTGACCGTGCGAGCTGGCGCTGCCGTGCGGGCGGTAGTAGCAGAGCGCATGCCAGGCGGGCGGATCCCACTGGAGGCGGCGCTTCGTGGCTTCGGTGTGATGCTGTGGTCGGCGGAGGGGATGCGTGATTTCTTCTGGCTTGAGGGCGCTGGCGTCCTGAGGTTGGAGGACTGTCTCGGTATGGGAAGGGAAGCGTCGGACATGGGAGGCGATGGCGGCTCATGTATCTCGGGCGCAGCTTTGCCAGTGGACAGCAGGGCTACCTCGTTGGGAGGTGTAGAGATCATGGGCGAGCTCGCTGTCGACCGAGGGGAGTTTTCGAATGAGGGTGAGTCGGGAATGGAGATGTCGGTGGAAATGGTGGACAGATGGCGGTTCTCTGCCTTCTTGATCTTGTCCTGCATGATTTCGGCCTCAACCTTAAGATCGGAAAGCTCTTCGCGCAGTCTCTGGGATTCGATGCGCAGAGACTCTCGTTCCTGCTCGCCAATCTTGATCTCCTCCTCCATCATGACGGTCCTCTCGATGGCGACGTTGTACTTGGACTCCATGTCCTCAAGAGAGGAGGTGGTGTTTCTGGCCTGGCGCTCGAAGTCATCATTGGCCACCTCGATGTCGCGTAGCCTGAGTTGCATGCTCCGATTGGCGTCCCTGAGGGTGGTGATCTCCTTTTCTAAAGCGTTTTGAGCGCTGTTGGCCTCGGCCTTGGCCTTCTTGCATTTTTCCTGGGGACGTGCAGTCAGAATCTGGATTGGAGGAATACTGCAGCGAGCGCGGGACGGATTCTTACCTTCCACTCATCGACCTCGAACTGCAGGCTCTCGCTCCTCTGCTCCAAATCGCGCTGTCGCTTGTCGGCAGCATCGAGATCCTTCTCCAGCTCGGCTTCCAGTTCGTGACTGGACTCCCGAAACTCGGTCAGCTCGTCGGCAAGCTGCTCATATTGCTTCTTGTACCAGGCCAGGGACTCCTCGGGGGTGGCAGCCGCGGTGGGAGGTGAGGAAGGTGTTTCGGCCATGTTTGCCGGCGCGCTCGTACTTGTGGCTGCAGTATCGATGATTTCCGCGCACAATGAGGTGGCCAGATAGATTGCTCTCCTCTAGGTGCAGGCGCGGTAGAACATTGGGCGATGTCGAGAGGTAAGTGATTAGGCGGTCAGGCGTTGCGACGTATACGCTTCACTGATGATGAAGCTGCCCAAGTTGCGTCGGAAAGGGTAGCCAAGCCGATAGAGAAGGTGTTGGATGGTAGTAGGCGTGAATAGGTCGGAATAGAAAGGAAACTGGTCGCGTTGGATAGATGTATGTACAGTACTCAAGTATGTATGTACATAGACGTATGGATGAACGAATGAAGGAGGGTTCGGGTCGTATGGCGTCTACAGAAACGGGTGTGAGCACTCGTCGTTCGTCCCTGTTGATTGCACTTTGCGTTGCTGCGTACCTACCTCATCCGAGACCTGCTGTTGTTTTGTTGATTGCACTGGGGGCTCCGATCGGGTCGTCGATTGGCTAGTGGCGGATGGGAGGCGGGCGCAAAGCGTTTATCGAGTATCCGTTGGGGTTGTTGTCGTTGTCGTTGTCGTCGTCGCCGCTTTCCGAGTGTAAACTTACCGTTTGCCGCGTCGTGTGTCGTGTCGTCGCCGTCGGTCGGTCGGACGAAGGGTTGGGCGTGGGTGCCGGAGATGGAGTTGGACAAGCAGCCCTTTTGTGTTGTCAACATTCAACACACCAGTTGAATGGCGCTGTGTTTGCTGGTCGCAAGCCACGTCCACCCCCCTGGAAGCGACAGCAGCGCTTTTCCCCTTCAGGCTTAGCGCGGACCTGTCGCAGGTGCCCGGCGAACTCTGGCGTCTGGAAGTCACCAAGTGCCCCGCGGCTACCATGACAACCCGTGCCGCAGCGCTCCAAATCCACGCCAGCGCCCGCTGCCCACTGACTCGGGTCCACTGCTTACCCAGTCATGCAAGCTGCCCATTGTGACCCAATTGGAACCTTATTACCTAATCTTCATGTGACAACCTCCCGATGTCATTGGATTTGGCATGTTGACTTGAACATCTCCATCGACCTCATCTCAGCCGTGACAATACGTACTCGCCTAGGTACAACCTGATAATGATGGAGTCTGCCCATCACATGAGTTCAAATGACAAGTCTTCCAGGTTGGCGCCTCTCGCGCGCATCGAACAAAGGCCAGCGGCCCTGCCATGACGCCCTCACACCGCCTCCATCATCTTCATCATCTTGCCTATGCTCTTTCGGGCGCCTGATCCAATAGTCAGGCTCTATGATTGCCAGCCCAATGCACTTCCCAGGAAATCCGTAGCATTGAGAAATGTGTCACCCGTCCGAATTTTGGGACTTGGTGTTGAAATGATCCCACATTAGCCGATTTGTGGGTCGTCGTGTCTTTCGTGTTTCAGCAATATCCAATCCAGATTCATGGGAGGCTGGCAGTCAGCAGTCCGGCAGCTGAGAGAATCACAAATAGCTCCATGAATATCCCCTCGTTCCTTGGAGAGCGCATAGCCAGGCTAATGCAACCACTTTAACAACGAGAACGCCATCCGATACGTATTAAAGTCAAGCTTTGGCACGCCCACGTGGCGAGCAGAAGATGACCGCGTGGCGTCATCACAAGGGGTTCATTGCTGAGAGCGTCGCTCTGACACCCTCGAACAACCACCAAATACTCCAGCTACAAGAAACAACTCCACCTATATACCTTACCAGGTAGGCTGTATGCATCACTGCCTGATGGGAGGGAGAAGTTTGCCGGCCAGTAGTGCTTATCCCCTTAGGATCGTGGTGTGACTAAGATCTGAGCTTCATCTCCACGTCTCCCGCGATGTCAGTTTCCTCACCCGTTTGCTTACCTTAGGTCGTGTATCTTACTTACTACTAGTGTATGTTTATATACGTTACGGCTGGATATTTATGCCGAGATTGAGTAACGGGAAGAACTCGGCGTCTGATCGGATTCGCTCTGAAGGGAAAGCTCAGACCTTGGTCACATCACGATTCCAAGGGATACCAGACATCTTGGAACCGTTGGTGTACATTGCGGCCACTGTGGCCCTTGCATGTGGCATCAAGCAGCCGAATATAAATTTGGCTTTGGAGTATTGGCAATCATCGTCTGCAGTCGGGCTGTTCTTTACCATACTCAACCTCTTCCGCTTGGGCAACCCTGTGCGGAAACTCCGGTATCATCATACGCAGTCTCGACGCTTCGGAGTGCCAGACTGTGCTGCCCACGCAGCTAAGCCGGCTCGAAACTGTTGCGACTGTCGCGGCCGGTCACACGTGACTATTGCGTTTGAAGGCACTCCTGGGCGACTTGCACTGCCCGCGAGCCTCCATCTCTCATCAGCGGTGCGTTTCTCGTCATTCAGCCTATCAAGAGAGTGTACAATACCTTCAGGGGTCATACTATGCAGGGTGATTTATCCACAGTCTGAGTTTGTGACTGCACTGCCGTAAGCAGGCACACCCCATGAAGATACTTCAGTTCCGTGAGCAAAACTGCTGAAACTCCGACGTACGACAGGCGATCCAGTCTTCAGGGCCACATACTCGATGCTGGCAGCTCCGTCCCTGGTGCGCTGCTGAAGAAAGATGTTGACTTCGGCCTGTTTTCCAGCGCCAGTGGAGCCAACGCGGCAACAGCAATGAAGCTGCGGCTTACAACAAAATACGAGGACTATAGGTGTGCGAGACATCGAGCAGCCTCTGGAAATGGTTCAACTTGGGTAGCGTGGTTATAATGCGAGACGGACATATCGATTCCCGCGAAGCAGCAACTGTTCGGCTCAACGAGGATTTCCACGGACTCATGACTGCCAACTGGTCAGTAACCAAAGAACATCAATACAAGGGCGGTGTAGCAATCCATCATCAGCCAGAATGATGAAACCTTCACTCTGATGGGGGACGAGATCACGAATTGCGGCCGGCCTTCCATCCGCGCAACCCGAGCGGCGATGAAAGCATTCCGCCTTATCTTCATCCGACCTCTATACTTTCCAAACATACCTGACGCGACCCGGTCCGTCTCAGGGTCTCCCATGTATGGCCGTCTTCGCGTCTCCGGCGCGCAGCTGGACCCAGCTCGGCCCCTCGCCCTCTTCGACTCGTTACTCATCAACTTCCTTCGTCGGACTGGACGAGTCTGTACTGCCAAGGTAGAGTCACTGTGTGAGTGGTGACGCAACCCGTGTTGTGACCGAAAGTCTCGAGGGTTATTTTAGCAAGAGGGTACAGGCCTGGAATTTGCCCGCGGGACGCAGAAGACAGCCACCGGTTTCAACCGCTGCCTCAAATATGCTTATGGGTCCAGCGGCTGCGGCAAGGGTTGACGGTTCAGAAGACCAGGCGCTGGGCCCATGAATTGGTCATCAAGTCCTCACGATGATATGTCTTCCCTCTTATGACGTTGCATAGGAATAAGAATTCGACACTCCTTGGATACGAGCTCCAAGGCTTGACAGTCGTCGATGTTTGACTGTCATGGTATCGTGTTGTGAGTGGCTCTGCAGCTTTCTGTCAGTCAGCCGAGTGGTAAAGTTGCATTCATGGAGACGTCAGCGCTACAAGTGTCTAGATGCTCCTGGAGCTTCGGGCTACTGACTCTTTATATATACTCACATCTGGTACTTGTGACTTGGTGGTGCTGGTTTCTGGTGAAAGCCATCGGTCTATCTGGACTTGCCTGTCACCTCAACAAGGAAACTGCGTGTGGGCACAGACGGACTTCGATGTTGTTCTGATTCGCGATGGTAGTCCATTGCACTGGAAGATGGAATTACGCTGACTGTACTTGAAATCGGCTAGTATGGGTGCTCTCTTGAATAGGGCATGCTGTGCCCAGTGCGTTCCTTCTAGCTAGGATCGGGTATGCCCGGGTTCAGGTCAAATGTCGGTGACCGCAGGCGCTGTAGAGAGATTTATTGCATAATTGGTAGCCGAAGATGCGGCCGTGATTATGCTGGAACTCCTCACATTAAGGAATACCGTTCTGTACCTCTCGGTTGGCCCTAGGTCTATACCCCCAGGCCCTACCGACTTATTGTGTAATAAGTAGCAACCCCTTTTATTGTATGTGTAGTGATTGAGTTCTGAAATAGAGTTTCGTTATGCAGTCAAGGAATGGCCTGCGGTCTCATCCTGGTTGATCGCCCCTTTTCGCTTGCTTCATAGAAACACGCTACGTTTCTTAAACTCCAAGTCGTGCCCTTGCCAGAAATATCGGTTCTTTATTGGCGTATTAGCTTCATCAATAATCATTCAATGGTCACTGCCTAGTTCATGGCATTGTAATCATGAAATGACCTGGACTTTGCAATGATTATACAGGCAGTTGAGTGGGAACAATCGAATCGCTGTTCATTCCGGGGCAATAAGATTGTGTACAGGCCCGATTGGTTGCTCCCATGCAGGCTGTACATAATTAACACTTATAGACATAAAGAATAATAAACAGATCTTGTGGAAGTGGTGCTGTCCACTACCTAATTTAAGGGGTCTGGAGTTGGATAGCCGATCCTTATTTTACCTACCTTTGCCCCCACACAATTGGGAAATTTGAGCGAATGCGTACACGACTTTGCGGAATAGTGACTGATATGGCCGTGTCTTCCTATCTGTTATTTCCTCGCTCTTCGAGAAAAATATCAAAGCTGGTCCACTACACCAAGCTTCTAGCGTGCCATCTCGAGGTGCTCAAGTTTACACTTTGGGGGCAAAGGCTACACATCTAACTTACCACACCAAATCGCCTACTACAAATGTAACAACCGGTCATGAGGCAGCCCATCTTCGTTGGGTGGCTTGTAGACTCTCATCGGGTGATAGACGGGGTAGGCAATTTGGAACCTTCACCGCATGGAAAGGGCGGTTTGCCACGCCATCTTGCCACTGGGTAAGACCACAGGAAGCAAGAGTACAGCCAAATCCCGCCTTGCTCGTCCTGAGTGAGAAGCATGAGTAGAGTATGGAGTTTGAGGCTACAAGGGGTTCAAGAAGTTGGCTACTCGCTTCTTAGCATGCCTGCCAAAATAGCACATCGTGCATGCATCATGATGAGTGGCTTGTGTTGTCACACATGCGCATGCAAGCCATCATGCGGGCGCCAGACGCCCATAAGATCCGATCTAAGGGCTTGCCGGCTTGTTCAGTAATCAGAAAATCTCGCCGAATCCGACATCAGGACCAGTTGAGTCGCCCGAAGCCTCCTACTTTATCAGATGTTTCATATCCAGCCACATAAGTTATGTACAAGGATTTGTCCACTCAGTGGCTGGAAGGAGACAACGCGACATAAAGAACGACCTACTCTCCAAGAAAGGCTTGATCCAGGTATCTTTGTCTTGGTAAGTGACACCGCGATATTTTCGTGGAGTGCCTCTAGATCGAGTCATGATCTCATAATACTGGGAAGGGTATGTATTTGATGGCCTTTTGTCGTCTAGCGGACAACCAGCCGCCCGAGCAAATTGGCCTCGGTAAAGGTTACCAAAGGCAAGACACGTACGTAAGCGCCACAAATAAGGCCAAAAACTTGGAAGAATGAGACGTTGTAGCCGAGAGTGTCGACCTTTTTGCTTCACGAAGTGGCTTAACCCCTACCGCCATGTGAAGATACTCGGCTGACACCCGACTCAGCATAAGCGTCGGTGGCTCGACAATTCTCTATTGGGAGAGGTAGGCACGAATCCAAATGTGTACGAATACTCGTACGATTACTGTAGATCCCGATGCAGTTGTCCCATGAAGATGGAAGCTATAAAATAGTATCATGAACTTCAACCACGTGTGACATGGGGTCGGATCCCCCCTGCGGCTCCCAGCCTTGCTGAACCCTTGGTGGCGCTCATGTAGCCCTGGCTCACCTGGATACATACCCAATTGGGGAGAAGATCGCCGTCGTCAAGTTAAAGCCGTGGCTGGCAGTGGCTGCGTGATAGCAAGCCGTCAGCCCTGCAGCAGCTTCACGGTCTAGTCATTGGTATGTATAGGTCCAGTCCCTGATCTTTAGCCTCAGCCATTCCAGCCACGATCGGCTGCCGGCACGTGGCAGGGTCCCTGTGCCAGATTCGTGGAACCCATACAGGACCTGTAAATCGGCTGCAGGGTCCATCCCTTATGAAGGATCTGTAGGACTCGCACAGAACCTGTAGATCGGCAGGCGCTTTTCAAAATTGCCAGAGCCTTTTCCATTGGCGCTGGGTCGACTGGGCTTGACCTATCGGTTCCCCAGTTGCGACGCCGGCCGGGTTGGGGGCCCGAAAAGGAGCTGAAAACCCGTCGGAAGCACATCCCGACGTCCACATCCAGGGTGCCAGGTCCCTGCAACGTCGTTGATATGGGATACGAAAGGGCTTCAAGGCTTGTCCGTTTGTCGTTTGATACGACAACGATGCAGGCTCGTGTTATCAAAATTCCGCCAAGAGTCGTTTGCATGGAAGACCGCATTGTCGATCGAGCCACCACCGAATCTCTCCAGCATCGCCGCACGAGGAGCTGCAGGGGGGCGCACAACAAGGCGGCTTACAAGATCTTAACGAGTCGCCGCGACAGTCATTGAATCATAGATTCTCTCTCCAATGAATCATGAATTCTCGGCCTGCTTGACTCTCCTTCTTGGCATGTCCTCTTCAGAGACGAGATTAGACGGACACGCAATAATCCGACAACAACGGCTCTTCCTTTGACGTACGCATAAGGCGGCCGGGAGCAACAGTTGCCCTACGACCATGGAGTAATATAGAGACTATCTTTGTTTTCCAATCGAAATCACATGGGTTGCTGGAAGACTGCATCCATCGTGCCTACGAAGGTAAACCTCCAGGTATTGTACACCGTCGATATCATGCGCTGTGACAATGAGAGAAAACTAGCAACGTTGACTTGACGATTTGATTTGTTATTAAGCTCTTCGACCGCAAAGGGGAACCCATACCCAAATGCCTTACATCTAAGCTGAGATAGCAAATAACCACCATTGGTAATTTGGTACACTCTTCCCAACGCCTGAAAGCGCCGCGCTATGTATCAAGTCGAAATCAACACGCAGCCTCCTTCTCTCAAGTAAGACGCCTCTAGATAACGGGGGAAATATCATCGAGCCATTCTCAGCTATCTCCGGCCTGGCGGACGAGGAACGCCAAAACCACGACTGCGGCGCAGTCTGCTCAGTAGGGTCTTCTCTTCGCTGGCTGTCATATCAAATAGTGTGATTAGTGGTCTGCCTGCACTTTGTCAACCGGGAGATTCAACAACTTACAAGGAATTTCCGACGCCACGCGCTGATCATAGACGTAAATCTCGCGAGTCGTGACCGACATGACGATGACAGCGGCTGGTCCATCAGGGCAGCTATAGTCCATGCGAATCGCATTTACACGAAGTGTATAGCTCCCAGAATAACTCAGAGTCAGGTCGGGGAAAACCGCAAACTCCAGACACTGGCTGCTTCCGCCGACGGTCCCATCTTCCAGAGCCTTCTTGGATGTCGAAAGGGTGCCGTAGAGCTGATCTTCGAGCACGTGGCCATAGGGATCGAGCAGGATGACTTGGACGAAATCGTAGGCGGCGTCACTTTCGGAGCTCAGGACAAGCGGCGGGTAGAGAACCGCACCTGCTTGGACCTGGGTAGGAGGTTGGACTGCGATGTTGATCATGTTGACGGCGATTCTGCCCGCATACAGAGCGCCGGTCCGCGTATCTGCCGTGCTTGCGAGGTGGGAACGTGTTGCTCTAGAACAGAGGTCGGCCATCTTGAAGAATCAGTGTCCAACTTATAGTCCAGGCGGCCCAGGGTACTGGATCCTAGGTGCATTCGGTGCGACGGCTCTAGGTCAGCCTCGTATCCATCGAAGAATATCCCTACATTCTCAGACAAGATCCAAACAAGATTCCATCTTCATGTGTGGTACGTCTGGGTGCCGGAGCGTCTGACCGGTTTCGTCTGAATCTTCCAAACTGTCTCAGAGGGAATTCGATCGCCCAGGCCATGGGATTTCCCTAAAATCCCATATGACGCTCGCATGGTGAGCTTGGGTAGGTTGCCTTCTGGATTCGTGGTAGCTGAAGGGTGTGGTCAATAATCTGCGAACCAGTTGCAGGCATTGTCCCAGATGTTCGATGTACATCTAGAGGAAGAGTCTACCTCGAATCACAGACGTCATCACTATATACGTGCATCGAATGTCATGTAACTACCGCAGAGGGAGAATCCCCGGACAGTCTGAGCGGAGCCTAGTCCCTTACATATCCAAGGATTGTAGTATACCGACACAACGGAAATACCGGCACAATGGACGTCGTACCAACCAAGCCCCCACACCATATCAAAGGCAGCCGCTTCATTTCTACAGTACGTGAAGTCCGCTGAATTAGACTTCGACGGCACGGGGCCCTGACTCCGAGTAGGGAAACCCTGCCCATGAAGGCTTCCTAGGTGAACTGCCTGTTCGCGATCTCAGACATCGTAGCTCCATAAGATCCGCCGAAAAGTGTAGGTTCCGAAGCGATGGCCATTTGATAATGGTTACGTACAAGAGTATGAAATACATGCTCGCGAATGATAAGACCCCTGCTAAGTGGTACGTGGCTCCTACTTCGGACGAGGTTGCGAGATGGATGCGCATTCGAAGAGGGCAGTGGCGGCGGCGAGGCGCCTCGGGGTCGTCTCCCTCCAGCAGCATCAACGACCACCCATTATTCACCCGCCTTGCGCGGCGTACCACACCAACAAGGACCTGCCGCTTCTATCGTGCGGGATCAGGGGACTTTCGTGCGCAGCTGAACACCATGCCACCCCTTCAACTGGTCACCAAGTACGGCGTTGACCATCCTCTGCTGCTTCAACATGTTGGCGCCACGGAACTTGTTGGACGCAATCTCGATCCCGTACATCGACCCGCAGCCACCTGATATGTCTTGAACCATGAGCTCTGTCGGAGAGAACTCAGCCATCAGCTTGTCCCACACAGCTGACTCGGCCTCGTTTAGGTAGTCGGGCTTTTCGACGGCAGGCGGTGAGGCTGCCGGGTGAGCTGCTGCGTCGGAAGTGGTGGAGTAGAGTGGCACTGAGAAGGGCCGTCTCGCATGCAAAACAGGCGGGAAGGCAATGCCTCTTGCCCGGTTTGTCGAAGTCGAGGATGATGTTATAAGCCGGCTGGCAAGTGATGCGGTGGACCGAGGTCGAGTCGCGGCTGCGGCGATCCGCCGGCACTGGAAGCACAGCATGCCGATAGTGGGCGTGATGACTGGTGCCCTATCTGGGGCTTAGATATGGAGGTGCGTTGAGAATGTAGACTAACTTAATTGCTGGTTTGTAGATGGAGGAGATGTTGAAATTTAGATGGAGGGCTGCCGTAGCAGCGTAAATACTAAAAGGTAGCTCCAATGCACGATGACAATCTCATATGCATCATAATGCGGATCAGAACAGGGGATAGTTGCATAAACACATGCTCAAACAGCATTATCGGGGCCAATGGGCATTAATCGGGGTCTTGCCCCAAAACTAAGCTTCATGTCACTAATGAGGTATCACTCCCCCTTCTCCAATGTAGAAAGGGCCAGGAGTATCTCAATCCTGCCACTACAACAACGATACTGAACAACGATTCGGAGTATTGCCCTCCTTTCATATCACATCAATACCGTCGAAGTCTTCACTCTGTTGCCAGGATGTCGATGTTCATAGTAACATGTAGGTATCTGGGTCGTGGTGGACACCTTGTCCTGGCATGGGGTGCGGATAGCTCTGGCAGACTCACTCAGAGCTACGCGTATCTCATCAGCTTCAAGGACATCACGCGGTATAATTACTTCGAAGGTTTACAAGCATTGGCAGCTTGAGAGGCCAAACCCATTTGCTGTCTCTAATTCCACCACAATCATGCTCTCAAAACCCCGGATATGTTACACATAGCGAATCGAGAACGCAACACTCTCGGCGATATCATAATCCGCAAGGTCGCTGGCATCTCCGAAGATGTGAAGCGCCTCGATTGAAAACTTGTAATCGCCCGCCGGCGCGTACGTGCCATCCGCCATGACACCGTCAAAGGCCGTCGCATAGGGGTCGCGGGAGGCGTACGTGTACGGAGATCCAAAGATGTGGCCCAGAGCGTCCGAGGAGCTGCCAATGGCGGGCACGAGCTTGATGTTCAGCTGCGGTGAGCCGAAGGCCAGGAGCGCCACGGCAACGGGGTAGGTAGCGTTCGTGGTACCGTTGGTCTTTGGCAGGACGAAGGACGCGTTGCCAGTGACTGGATTGAGGTCTGCGTCCGATGAGATAGAGAGATAGCCGGTGTCAAGGACCTGGGTGTCGTGGAGGCTACCGACAGCGCCGTTATACGGCAATGAAAGGCTGTCGCCGTTGGTGCCGTTCAATGTGATATAACCCGAGTACACGGGGAGGCGAGAGCCATCGATGTCAGGAGGCGTAACCGTGACAGAGATGGTAGCATCGCCACCGGCCGGGACGGTGACTTTGGATTCACTCAGTGTGATGGTGGCGAACTCGTCAGTCAGTTCCAGGCCAGGGAATGGATCAGGGTAGATCGAGTCGGAGAAGGTGTATCCTGTAGCCGCGCCAACACTTCCCAAGTCGTACGTGACCTCCTCGGAACCCAAGTTCGTGATCGTGAAGTTCAAGGTATCGACAAGGTTATCCGTGTCGTTGTATGCGAGGCTGGATGCGCTGAGCAGAGTAGTTGCGTGAGCAGCATCATAGGCTTGCACAATTCCTGCCCCCAACTGGACTACCGGTGCTAGCACGCCGTGGGTGGCCGTGCCGTCGTTGAGAAGTTGCGGTTTCGCGGTGGCTACCAGCAGGTTCTCAAGCGTAGCAGGATCAAGAGTGCCGCGGACGTTGGAGACCAGAGCAATGATTGCAGCCACCAAGGGGCACGCCATCGATGTCCCTGAGAGCACGGCATAGGCCCCAAGGGGGACTGGGTACGTCGACAGAATGTTGCCACCGGGCGAAGCAAGCTGCGGCTTTACGTCCATTTCGAACGTTGGATTCCACGTGGTAAAGGTAGAGGCGAATCCACCAGTAATGTTGTTGGGCGAGTAGCTCAGGCTGAGTTGTGTTAGATGACTGTTGACCACAACGTCCTTGACGGACTTCCTTACCTGACAGGTGCGGTCAGGGGGTCGAGCATGTCGAGAACGACCTCTGACCCAGCTTCTAGAGAGGCAACCCACGATTCGCCCTGTTCCGCATCGACCTGTTCCAGCCATTCATCAGCAAATGTACGTCGATCATTCCTCATAAGACTGCATCCGTGTACCGTGATGACACTCTAAGGTACGTATACCAGAGAGCATAAGTACCCTTATTGAGTTTTATACCGCTATTGATTGGGGGCGGGGCGAGTGCACGGGGACTCGAGGGCTGAGTGTTGAGGAAAACCATTGAGGTGTACTCACCATGCCGACAGCTATGATTTCAGGGACGTCACTCGCGGAAGCTGCTATTGCGCCTGGCGAGACGTTGTAAAACATGACGTACTTCGCTCCGGCCTGTGCAGCAAAGGTCACTTTCTCGACGAAAGTACAGGTCCCACGCCGTATCAGCACGATATATTCAGACAGGTTAGGCGTGTCGGCCGGGAACGCTTCGCAGGCCATGGCTGGGTCGGTGACATCAAAGCTGGGAGTCCATAACGGAAGGGTGAGGTTTTTCCAGCCACTAGGGTCTCCGAGAGCGTAACCAAAGGTTTGTTGTTCTCCGCCGTCGACGGTGAAATGCGACTCGGTGAGAAGTAGAGGTGTGACTTCGCTGTCGATGGAGGCAACCGAGGTGACTCTCTTGCCGTTTGACGCCGTGCTGGCGTAGAACATACCGTATGCTCCGTCGTTACCGGCTGACAGGGTGCAAGGCACTCCCGCCTCCACGATTCGGGATACGGCGACAGACCACGGATCCTCACTCCAGCCTGAGGAACCACCGATCGAAGCTGTGATGATGTTAGAGCCCGCCTCGAATGCTTGCATGAAGGCGTCGATTAGAACATCATTAGCTGCGCCACCGGTACACCCGAAGACTCTGAACATTCCGAGCGTGACGCCCTAGGAAATGGTTAACATCGTATGGGCTTGGGATCCTTGGTGTAGTCTGGCTTACAGGAGCAGCACCCGTAAATCCCAGCTCGTTTGCCTGCGCAGCGATGATACCGGATACGTGTGTACCATGGCCGGCACACCCATCCCAGGGGCTGTAATAATATCAGCCTATATGTCGTTGAGGTTCGGCAATGACCAAGTCCCTAGTCACATGAAGACCTGGCCCTGCTGCGAGCTCTGGGCAGGAGTACAGCAGCCGGGACGGGAAAAACTTACTCGGGGTCTGGTACAGGCGTATTGTCGCCATCGTAGGCGTCCCCAACTATATCAGTACCGTACGCAAACAAGCAACCTTCACCAAAACAGCCACCCAGAGCCGCGTGGTTATAGTCAACCTAGAAGGGGTCAGTGTATGCCATATGATCAGTTTCTGAATGCGCTGCCTACACCGGTGTCGATGATGCCAATCTTGACTCCTGTCCCCGTGATGCCATTTGCTCGAAGCTTGTCTACCTGAGTCATTACGTGTGGCGTAAAGATGTCATTGACAGTCTGTCTCTTGATGTTCTGGACGATACTCTCGTCCCCTGCTGACCCTTGCCAGACCACCTCGTCGTTTGGGAGGTAGTAGACCCTGTTAGGCCATACCTGCTTGACACCGGCAAGAGCATTTAGCTTATCTGCTTCCGCTTCGGCTGTCTTGAGGTCGTTGAACTGGATGGAAGCTCCCTTGAACAACGGGTAGTCAAGGTTCATGCGCGTCTTCGCCTTGGAACTGATGTGGCTGAAGAACTCCGCGGGATCCTGCTCACATATTTGATTGATATCAAAGAATCGGGCGAGCGAGTGCTACCGCGCTGGAAGGCCAAATTACCTGGGAATCCTCGAATTCAATCACATATGACCCAGCAAGGTGCTTTGTTGCCTTCTGAGATACCTTTGCCTCGGCCGAGAGGAGGCCTAGGGCGCTGGCAAGCAGCGGCAGCCAGAAACCAGTCCGAACCATGATTGATCAAGCAAGTGACGCACAGTCGAGATAGGCTGGAAGTGGGAGCCAGGGAAGCGGCCACGCGAGAGACCGAGCAAGAGAGGGTTTCGGTGGGAAACGAGAGACCGAGCCGGGCCTCCCAGGAAGAGAAGAGAAGCCATGAGTATTTATATCTTGGACCTTGCTCCCCTGAGGTGAGCAATGCCGGCCTCCCATTGGGATACGGGTCACAGGCAAAACAAACCAGGGTGGGAGGGACATTGCACCTGGCTGCCTGCCCTTGAGCGCGATAAGGTCGCCAAGGTGGCCATTCTGGGTAGAAGCTTCCGTAGTCGTACTGAATGCAGGCCAGCAGCAGTATGTCAGGGTGCTCAGTGGATCGCTACAGGAAATCCAAGACCGTGAAGGCTTGGCAGAAGAAGCGGTTCGTGGACTGACATCGGTCAGTGTGGGAGGAAGATGGGAATTTGGCATCTTTCCCCGCCAATATCGATGTCTCATAGCCTCCTCGTTGATATATTAGGCGACCCTGAGCGCTTGGCCGAAGGAGGCAGGTCAATGACGCCATGACAAGCACATTTCGCGAGCAGAGACAGTAGATGCTGAGCTGGTCAATATACTCATACTCATACTCATACTCACAGGGCCGCGTGCTAAACACCACACATTGTACGCTCCGAGCCAGGTCGAATGCGCTCAAGGCCGGGCCAGCAGCTCAGGAACTCGCAGTTGTGACCGGCTCTCTGGCGGTGCAACATAGCTGACCAGCATACATGTACCGCACCGCAGGCAGATCCCATCCCTTGTCCCTCATCCCGCCACCCACTTCAACACTTGGAATACCTACTAGTGCAGAGATGAGGTGACTGACGCCAAGGTCGAGATTAGCTCCTCACCTGGATGGCTTGGGGCTAGGGATGGAGTCTGAGAAATACAAAACACGTATTGTATTGTATTGTATTGTATTGTATTGTATTGTATTGTATTGTATTGTATTGTATTGTATTGTATTGTATTTTTCGCAAACGTTACGTATGTTTCCTAGTAGTGACGTAGTAAAAGGTACTTAGCGGTACCACGGACCACCATAGATTTGGCTCGGAAATTGTCGGTGGCCGAGGGTTGACCCCCGGGGTGACTTGGTCCCGGCTACTAGTGGGTCATCGGTCGTTCCGGAGGTTGTTCCGGCCCGAATGATACAATACGGTATAATACGTATTGTATGCGTGTATTGTATTGTATAGTATTTTTCGATAAAACACTGTATTTTTCCACCCCTACTTGGGGCAGGACGATCTCCGATCAAAGGGCGGCAGGGATTATAAGCAGCCTGCGGGGAAGCCCATACAAGTAAATAGTCGACTCTCAACATTGAAGTCTCAAACGGAGGCACGTCTTCAGAAAACTTGAGAAGGAAGTCAGCTACTTCGCTGCTGAACAACTATTGACACGACGCTTCAGGGGGCACAAAGTAGTTGCACGCACCAAATAATAGGTACTGCGGAATTTGCCTCGGCGGTATTTGATCTTCCCTTCCAACCCTCACATTAGAGGGGGGTCGGGACGGGTCGCCATCTGCACAGCAATATGCAATGCAACCTTCAAGGGCAATATATATCTGAAGCCCTGCTGATAGCAAGCGCTTAAGACAGTGCAGCGCAATGGCAGACACTACCTGACTCTATGAGTGAATCAACTCCGTCCTCAATTCCACGCATCCACCAATGGGTGTCCAAAAGAGAGTGTTGGAGATGGCCAGACTCTCCATACAGGCCTTCAGGGCTGATCTCCCGCAGCTAAGTTGCATGGCAGCCTGCATGAGAGATGCGCATGTTGTATTTCAGTGTACCTTGCATATGTTGCAAGGAGAATAACGGCGACCTTGACATGCTTGCCATGCTTCTCCGATGGCCACTTGTTCAGAACTGCTGCACAGGTGCTGACAATGCATATTGTCTCTGAGATGAGGAACATCGACGTGATTTCATTCATAGACATCACATTATCAAGTCTTCTCAGACGGCATTTGCCGGGCGGCCGAATATATGCTTGGTCGTTCATCACAGGCTGGCCACATGTCGCAGATGGGAGAAAGGCGGCTTGGAATGGCTCCTGGAGTCAATATAAGTCGGCGGTGGCCAGGTTCAAATCATAAAATGTATACGCTGCTTGCGAATGACCCAGAGTACCTAGTGCAGTGGTTCGGCCAGCCCAGGGCGCGCATATATAACAGCAGAACAGAACAGGCCGGACTTTGGCTATGATTACAATTTCTATCTATGCTAAGGTCAGTCCGTTCCCATGCAGAAGCCTTCCAGGCTGATCAGCACCTTTCTATCCTCTGTATTCTGTGCCTCTAGTCCTTTATCCTGATCGGATATCTTATAAGACGAAAGGAAAGCAGTAGTCGCCCGTGTTGGCCCGCCGAGCCCGCGCGCCTGTGTTATGCTCCGAAGGAATGACAATCTGCTCAAAGGAACGAGTCTGGTCTATGCTGAATAGTGTGTTGGTGGTTGTGTCCTCTAGTGATCCTCGACGTCTTCGTCGCGGCCGGGATACATGATGTCTTGCTTGATGACCGCCCGGACGTGACTGTAGAGCACGAACAGGTACATTGCCAGGAGGCAGATCGACATGCCTGTAGCGACCCACAGCACCTGTTCGCTCTTCAGCTCGTTCCCAATGGTGATGGTAGCGAGGATGAACCCGGTGTTGGGGAACACCATGGCCCACCAGCCAAGGTGGAAGTATTTGGGTCTTGAGCTGAGGACTGCGATGGCGGCGATGAAGAACCACCACAGCGCCAACGCCCACAGGAAGATGGCGCCAAGAAGGGCCATGGTCCTGATCATGTCGACTTCCAGTGTACCTTCCATCCCGAGGTCGACGCTTTCAGGGAGCCCATTCGCCATGCCGATGAGTGCCAGAGCCGTGAAAGCTGGAGGCCCTACATTCATGAAGAGTCCTGGCCGGTGCTCACGATTCGGTAGACCTGTGATGGATTAGTTTTCGTTTTCGACGCTCCATGTTTCAACGTGCATGTGTGCTTACCGGCTTGCATCAGGCGTCCAACCATGTGAGCATACATCATCGCGGCAACCGAAATGCCCAGCCCCTGACAGGTCAGCCCGCCAACTACAATCGGCACGGCTGCAATATCGGGCTGGGTGTCGGCAATTACCGAAGCAATTGTCCCCGACAGCATGATGGGAAAGATCGGCAGGATCCACGTCGGCATCATTGTATGGAGTCCGAAGTTGTGTGTGGCGAACACGAAGCTGAACTGTCCGACAGCCACGATCAGTGTGATGACGACGTACCCCCAGTACGCCGTCTGTACGGCCCATGCCAGCGCAGTATCGGTTGCTGGGATTGCGTAGCGTTGAGTGCTTGTGATTAGGGTAGCGATGGTAAGGAAGAACGTCGGGAAGAAGAAACCTTCTCGTGGATGTGATAGAGACCTGTAGAAGTCGGCGTGGTGGAGGAAGAAGCGTGCTAGCATTGCCGAGGAGAGCAGTACAAAAATGATGATGTTGACGATGTAGACAAACAAGCCTATCTGCTTGAGTCCTGGAAACTGATGAGGCTGAGCAAATATCAGAAGCGACAGGCCGCCTGTGCTCATCGGCAAGGTGAACCAAGCCCAGGTAAAGTGGTGCATCCGTTGACGGAGCCCAAGTTTTGGCCGGTTCGGATCGTATATGTCAACACGGCCATTGTCATGGCCGCCATGTTCTGAGTCTTCGCCGTGTCCTTCCTTTTCGTTGTGCATCGAGGAGGCGGCCGAGGCCATTTGCTCGTCTCTTACATGCGTATCAGGTACTGGGTCTTTGCCGCGTCCTTCTTTGCCGTTGTGCATCGAGGAGGCAGCCGAGTTGGGTTGCCTTTCCCTTACATGAGTATCAGGTACCGGGTCTTTGCCGTGTCTGTCCTGGTCGTGGTGGATAGAGTTGGAGAGTGAGTTGACTTGCGTTTCCGTTGAGTCCATCTCGTATCTCTTCTCCCCTCTGGCGTAGCTTGATAATTCGAAAGACGTCCGACTTGACTCGTTGGAAGTGTAGGATGGTCCCGCGGTGGAATATTGGAGGGCGCCGTGGGCATAGGGTTTTGATATCTGAGCTTTCTCCATTAATCTGAGGCTTACCGGAGTCGTCGCTAGCTACGGTGTTCTGGAAGGAAAGAAGTCTACAAGATTATAAGGGAAAACGGAAAAGACATAGACTGAGAGAAGCGAGACTAATAAGAAACGAGTACCGGACTCTGAGAAGAAATATAACCTATGTAGAAGTGAAATGAACGCCACCAGAGATGGACACTTGGTCAGATGCTTTGGGTCCTGGAGATAAACTGCGCTTCATTACCCACTGTCAGGAAGTCTTGGTATCGTCAAGCCAAGAGCCAAGAAACACGCTGAGGATGGAAACACGGATTCCTAGCCAGGCAGGCCACCGAGTTTGGCCAAGGCTTCAGATGAGAGGGTCTTGATAAGGCATTCTGTCGAATGGCGACCGAGATGATGTCGGTTAAGATCCGTGCTCCCATTGGGATCTCCATGTCCACCTCACAATCGGGCAGTCGACAATGGATCCACGCGAGCCACAAAGGGCTTGGGCGAGCTCAGTCTGGTCCGCTCACTGGTCTACAATGGCTCTTCACTGTTCAGCCGCCGACCGTCCGAGTCGGACGGTCCGACGTTGTGTGGCCCCCACGCGCGGACGCGTTGAAAACATGGGAGCTTTCATATTAAATACAAGTCGAGGGCGATCATGCCGTCAGGCCGGGAGCCTCGGCGTCACGCGGAGGCCACGGGAGAAACAGAAAACCTCCGTGCTGCAGATGTCCATCCCCTACCAGACCAATCGGGGAGCCGGGGAGCCAGGGAAACAGGGCCTGCCTGGCACTAGATGATCGTCGTGGAGGCTCACAGTAGCATTTTCGTCGGCTGGGCAGCCAAAGTCGGGTGGCTCTGACTTGTTTCTCCCGGGCAGTGTCAAACGCGAAGCTGACTGAGCCTCTGAGGTTGGTGGGCTGAGCCAGACTCGCAGATTCGCCAAGATCCTTGATAATAAAGCACTGAGAGTCCCGAGATCGTCACTGACCGGGCGGCAAGACCCTAGTCCCGGCAGTGGGGACATGGGAGTGCTGCAGCCATGACAGCGGCTCTTGGCTGAATCCTAGTCCTGGTTTGGCGGCACCGTGGGGGCACAGAAAGGAGGCAGACACTCTCGACATGCTTCAACAAGTAATTGCACAAGCACGAAGATCCGGTCCCATGAGTATCCGACCATCTCAGAACAGAGCGTCGCAGTGTTTCATGCAACATCAACTTTACTCGTCACGAGGCTCATCTTGCTCGACGCTGTCTTCTGTCCAGCGAGATACCCCAAGGTGCCGTGGGAAGTTGGCAATGCCGATCGCGCATGCTTCTTAATGAGCCAAGATCTTGGGACTGTGAAAGGCTGGGTCTGTTTGGTCGCGCACTGGATATTGCTCGTCATCAAATGCCAGCTGTGAGCTTCCTGTCTCTTGGCCAACTCCATCACTGACGACGAAGATGGCGGAGTTTTCGGAAAGGGATGACGACCCTTTGGAGTTGTGCATCACATGCAAAACCGACTTGTGGGCATTGAAGCACTTGGCGGCCCAGGCAGTGCCAGGGGTATTTTTGATCTTTTATCTGTGATGCTGACAGCCTGACACTACCACACCTCTACCAGTCGCTGTGCTTTTCCATCCGCGACGATGGTGCGGAGGCCGGGAGTGATGCCAGTCATACCATGGATTTTTCCTGGGTCAGGAGACGATACTGTTCGATCGATAGGGTTTCGGTAACAATTGTACAGCGTATGGATGACATAACTTGGCTCGCTCTGCGCACATGCAATCGATATGGGGACCGTATATTTCCTCATCTCATTCGTCGAGAGCGCTCTTCCTGATCGGAACCCCTCCTGCTCGCCAACGAGATCTCTGTGTCAGTGGCTTCGTGGTCGGATAGCTGGCGGTTGATCTCGTCCGGATCAGTCAGTATCAGCAGTGCCCTCGACAGCTTGCAGCCAGTGAGCCACTCAATGTGCTACTTCGTGAATGCCACGATGCTCCCATTTGGCTCGAGTCCGTCGCGTCTGACGATGAGCCAACCGTTTTAAGATGAAAGGCAAAACAACGGGAGTTATGTTACACTACCGTCGTCTTCAAGATCGACCGTGCTTATGACCAATGGGCACGACTCTTTGTTTCAAGTATTGTAAGACTACAGGTTGCGATGGTGAGACTCGCAAAGAAGGTTCTTGCTGTTTCATCAACGAGGCTCGCATGGTCGCACGTCCTGAGTCGCTCGTCACTCTGCAGACTTCGCGATACCCGCGGCGACGAGTCTATCAGGCTTGACTGCCTTGGGGCCAGGAAAGCAAGGGAAGAGAAAGACTGGATGTCATCCATGGGATTCTCAGCTCAGCACTAAAAGATAAGCGATGACTTCAGTTCAAGACAGCAACTCCTTCTCCACTTCAGGAGTCATCATGAACGCGATACCTTCCTTCCTCCACGTGTCCTCCTCAACCCAGTTCTCGGTAGCATTCAACACCATATTCGTCGGCACCTCGAGATCATAAACAGGCCAACCGGGCAGCAAGGCCTCCACGTCCCTCCTCGCACCCGCCGCGGCGACCTCGTTCGGGTCCAGGTGGTTCACGAAACCGATGTAAGCCTGTCCGATGGCCTTGGCCAGCTTGGCGTGACTATCAAACTCCGGACTGGGGCCTAGCTCTCCCGAGATGTTCTGGAAACTGTACGCCACGTTGACGAAGTGCTTTACGCCGTCCCACTCGGACCCATTCCAAGGTCTCTGGTCAAACCGGTAGCTGTATACCGGCATTCCGGCCTGCGTGTACAGTTCCGCCATCCGCCGCCGGCCTGAGATCATGACCAGGTCGGACCCTATGGCCGCAGCCCGACGCCACATCAGTCCACGGGCGGCATCCCTTGTGCAATTGGTGATGGCATACGGCGGCTCGTAACATGGGTCGTCGGGGTAAAGTTCGAGAAGCTTGCGGACGGTCGGCGGCGTGAGGGAATAGCTGCGCCATGTGAAGATCGAGTTGAAAATGTCCTCCTCCGTGTTCGGGGTGCCGGAGATGGCAAAGCCCTCGTCCGTATTTGCTCCTATCAGGAGCGGTACCTTGACGTACTTGTCCTGCGCCATCAGCTGACTCGGGTAGCCAGTCAGGAAGTCCCCGTCGAGTAATGGATTCCAGACCACGCTTGGGTGCGCGGCGAAGAGCGAAGCGCTGTCGACTTCCCGCAGACAGGCAAGCTGGTCCGAGGCGTCCCAGCACCCGATCGTTCGAGTCAAGTTCTCGACTGCGGTATTATACCAGCTGAGAGATTCGACCTGGGCGCCCGTCGGCCCGCCGCTTTCCATGATCGCCCCACGATACAGCCCGTCATCCCGCCCATCGTAGCTGAACAAATGATAAGCAATACTTTGGGCGCCGGCGCTCTCACCCCACAGTACGACATTGCTCGGGTCACCACCGAAGGCTGCGATGTTCTCTTGGACCCATTGGAGGGCTAGCCGCTGGTCGAGCAGACCTGCGTTGCTGGAACCCTCGGCCAGTAGTTGTGCTGTCTGGAGAAACCCCCACATCGCTAACCGGTAGTTCATACTGACAGCGAGCACCGGTTGGCCCGTCTCCTGGCCGACCTGGACGATGCCTGAGAGATTGTACCTCTGGTCGGCAGTGCTGCCCGTGGATAGTCCGCCGCCGTAGATCCAGACAAGCACGGGAAGCGGCTGGCTCGGGGTCCCTGCTGGCCGGACCACATTGATGGTCAGGCAATCTTCCGAGAGGGCGAAACTCTGTCCATATTGCATGCAGCTGCACCCGTACTGTGTCGCGTTCTTCACGCCACTGAACGACTCGTTGATAGACTGTGGCCACCTAAATCTCAGCTGCCCTACAGGTGGCTGGGCGAAGGGGATCCCTAGGAAAGCATCTTGGTCCCAGTCTGGTAAACGGACGCCCTCATATGTGCCGTTAAGTGTTTTGGCTGTCGGTACGGTACCGTTGACTACTCTTGCTCTTGATTCGACCACGAGGCTTAAAAAGAGCAGAATTAGAATCCGGTATAGAATTCGAGCCTCCATTTTGAAAGCCAAGTAACTCATAGCTCAGACATGCTCAGGGCACGTCGTGTCATGGAGTGGGGTGGGCTGCCATCTCCGTGCCTTTATATGAAGACCGCATGCCCACTCGAGCAAGCCCAGCCATGGTGCTTCATTGGAGGAAGAACAGTCCGTCTACCCGTAAAAGGTTGTAGCACGAGCACCTCTTGCGGGGTAGTCGGGGGGCTCATGTGGACAAGGGCTGGTTGAGAGACAGTATGGGGTTAAGGTAGTATTCGGAAGATGTTGCTGATAACGATGAAGCCTGCAAGGGGTATTACCGAAGAACCAAGAATGAGTGGCTTAAATATGAAGATGCCGGCCTACCTCACAATGGGTACGATCTTTTAGCACATCCAAAGGGAGAAGCGCATTGTTGACAGTTATCTATATTGATCCATCAAGTTTGGGTATCATGGATTAAGACTTGATCCGGTTCCTGGACGCCGATGAGGTCTGGTCCTCTTCTCCCACTTTTACGCTCTGCGGATTGTGAAATACGTCGTTGGGGTCGTACTTTGTTTTGATCGTCCCCAGCGTGTTGAGATTTGGGCCCCAATATAATTCCTGTGCGTTCGTTAAGGCAGGGTCGACATAGCCAGGATACGTCGTCAAGGTTTGATCGGTTGCGCCTTGGATCGTATCGATGATGCCGGTCAAGAAGTCTTTTGTGGCCTGCGTCAAGATGGGCATGCCGATGCCATACCCTTGACAGAACATGACCTTGTCCCGGTGAGAATATGCAGTGGCATTCATTGGGACATCGTTGATGGCACCCCCAGTAGCGTCGAATATCAAGAACCAGATGAAGGTGCCGCGGTCCGTATCGTCCAGATAGTTCATCACCTTGGTGATGGTGTCCTCGGAAAGCAGCTCATCCTTCCGAAAGGCCAGGCTGCGTGCCGTGAAGGAACTGCGAATGTCTGAGAGGTAAAGTCCAGCATCCTCGGCCTGTTGAGCGATGACGGCGAGCCAGTCGTCGACAACGACAGACACTTTACCTGTCGGGATCCTGTCTGCTATACGAGTTGCGTCCCATTCGTCTTCTGTCCCATAGAAGGTAGCAGTGATGATGACTCCAAGTTCGTGCGCGACGAACTCGGTGCCAAATCTTCGGTCGAGGTTTGGGTCCGAGACGAGATCCTGCCATTGTTTGAAGACGTCGACCATATCGGCGTGCTTGCCTAGCGTGATGGAGAACGAGTACTGAATAACGTTCCCGGGCTCTGGATGCGTTTTCATAACAAATTCAGTGACGATACCGAACCCTGCACCCGCCCCTTTCAAGGCCTACCACGATACGTAAGCGCCAACTTGCCAGTAGGGAGAGTGCCGGTGGACTTACGAAGAAGAGGTCATTATTCTCAGACTGACTCGCCCGCTTGATAGACCCGTCCGCCGTCACCACCTCAACTTCCATAACGTGATCTAAGCAAGATCCCCACATTCGGGATGAGGGCCCAAGTCCTCCCTATGGTGGCCCCGTCAGCATGGAACGTCTCGTACGGGAGGTATGCGCAACTCACAATGGTTGCATGTCCTCCAATGCCGACTCCGGGGCATGTTCCGTGCGATATGGCTCTCTTGCCGTTGTTGTGTAACTTGTCCGTCACGTCCGAAAGCTTTGTGCCGCCGCCGAATGTGGCTTGCCAGCTGTTAGTGTCCACAGAGAAATCTGTAAACTTCATGAGGTCGACGACCAAGGCGCCATCAACTCCACCGACACCTGTGACGACTTGTCAGTTACCCCCAACCAAGGCTGAGCTGCAGCTCTGGGACTTGCGCATACCATAGTTCCTGCAGGGCTGTCAGCAGGTAGCCCGTGAGGCTGGTGGGCGGTATGTACTCACGCATAAGAATGGCCACCGGACTTGGGTTGGACCTTGACGTTGTTTGCAGCAGCGCACTTGACAAAGCCCGAGACATCGTCGGCGGTCTCTGGCCTCGTTACCGCAATGGGCTCCACGTCTATATCGAGGTTGTATCGATTTACCCAGGATATCTGATAGAGCGGGTTGTTGGGATATGCAACGCAGTCATCGCGGCCGTTGCAGACGGCATTCAGGCAGTCGGCCAACGGGGAGCTTGGCGCTTGCCCCATGTTGCTACTGGGATAGAGATGTTGGTGTTTTGGTCTGTTCCAAACGGCGAGCCTGTTGTAGAAGTGGACAATACTAAATACCTCACGCAGCGATAGGTGGAATAGATGGGCGATGGGTGAGAGAAGCTGGAAGGAAGGCCGAATACCTTGGTAGGAAGCATGGAAGCCACAGCCCGTTGGCTACGTCGTGAATGAGCGGGCAGTAAGCAGCATTGTCAAAAAAGGTTGGCAGAGCTGTGACTCCTGGTCAGTCTTTTTTCTTGAGTCCTGAAGCCTATTGCCCAATAGGACTTGCACAAAGCGAAGGGCGAGGGGCATGCTCCTAGGCTGCTAGGGCCAGGCAAGGGAAGCAATAGGCAAATAGGGGATCAGTATCGATGCGCAATCATACGGGGACCCGCCTGGCGGTGACGATTGCTCTGCGCTCACGATAGAACCCATCAAAGTGCCGCTGGTGCGCTGGCCACCGAAGAACCCATGTTTGCTTCTCGTGGCCTCGTACGAATCGCCACCCTTCATGCACAAGGGAGCACCCATGCCGGGCTGAGTCGGTGAATACCTAGATACGTAAGGCGGGCGGGCATTGCTAGGTCGATGAGAAGCTTTGCCCCGGCATGGTAATCTCGCTAGGGGGTCACCTGGTTCGCCGTGTCGCCCGCCATTCATTCACCATTCAAGCTCCATCGGTGAATGGGCATACTGAAAAGTTTCAACGAAACTCGGAACATGTCACTGGCAGTGACTGGCGTCTGCCTTTGTCGATTGGCCGCCGACGCTTTCGTATCACCCAACGGGACCCAAGATGTTAGAAGTTAGAACCAGGAAAGGTAGCGGTCGTGGCGCTGGCTGGCTGGGCAGTCCAATGATGGACTATGGACCCCTAGAGGGCCCCTGTCACTCTGGGGAAGACTGCTCCCGCTACAACGGAGTTCTCCGCCCCCTGGGAGTCGGTATCTGCAAGTGCCCAGCGCAAATGACGTACTGTATGTTCGGTGCCGGTACGAGCTCTAACTTCTCTCTACCTCGTTGCCCCAGCGATGGCACATTTCCCGTCATCTCCTGTGAACGGTGGAGAGTTCCAATTATAGACACGGGGCATCAGTCGTTGAAGTCAGTTAAATTATCTTCCTGTCAGCCTGTCCAACACTGGATAGTTCGCGTTGTGTCTTGTGTCTCCTGGCTGCAGGATATGTATTTACGCCAATTCCTCCGTACCCAATACTGCAGTGACATGAATCCCATGCTACATTGTGGTATATTTACTTGATATATCATCCCCATAGCACAGGGCCGTGTCACCCAACTTTTTTGTCAGTACCCCAAGGCCGCCTACATGTGTAAACTTCGTACTTACATGGAGGTGGTCTACTGTTCACTATTTCCTTGCAGGTCTATGCCTTACATGTGGATTCAATATACTTTCCACTATCGAAGACATACACATAGCGCAATAGAGATTGCCGACGATAAGCGTGTTGCTGACAGTCAGTCCACAGGCTAGGGCAGATGAATGATCACCTGCATCTTTGGTGTTCAACTACACAACTACACTGCACGTCAGGTCCAGTTCTCAAACATTGCACACGACCTTGCTCGAAGCCGCTTGCAGAGGTTTCGGCCGGCGTGGCCATGTTGAGACTCTGGATTAATATCTTGAAGAGAGAGTGTACAGTATTTTTCCGCCGATGACCATCACCCACCAGTCTCGAAAAAGACTACCTTACCAGCATGCATATGAAATCAAGCGCGGAACAATACGTAGTTCAGCCAATCACGCTTTCCTCCGTCGAGCTGCCACCAGGTCCGACTCTAAACCTGTCAGCATGTCAAACCCCGGAGATCCAAGACAAGCCGAGGATACTCGACTAATCAAGACCCCTAACTTGAGAGCCCCTCCCCCGCTCTATTTCTCCCCCACCCCCCTATTTCCCCTCTGCCGGGTAGATGATGTCCCACTGGGCTTTGCTTCTCTCCCGCCTCTGCCCTCACTGGCCGTGACCCCAACCCGCCCCGTAGATCCGATGCCGCACCTCTCGCCCATACCGTATGCAAGCACAAGCAGAGCAGAGGAGGGGTTGTCTTGGGAACCGAGATCCCGTCATTGTTAGGTGAACAATTCTTCTAAGCGGCTGCCGGGAGGTACAGGTTCAAGTATGCTATCTACCCGCCCTTGCAGCAGCCACGGCTTCGGCTTTCACGCCATCATTAAAAGAGCTGCCCTTGCCTCTTGTACCCAGCCCAAGACTCCTCCTGCCGTTACGGCCAGGTCGTACGGTCTCAGACCAGACACAGCACCCAGTACCAGAGCCCCAGGCCAACGACGTCCAAAGTTCATCAACTCCACGGCGTCCCCAGACAGTAAACCGCAGCTTCTTTGGAACAACAGCCAACACACTACGTCCCGAGTATCTGGCTCCCCGAACGGCACAATGTATACGGCATCGTTCGCCTTCTTCGAGGCAATATGGGAGGCCGGCATTACCCATTGCTTCGTCAATCTGGGCTCCGACCATCCCAGCATCATCGAGGCCATAGTCAAGGGGCAGCGGGAGAACAGAGAAAGCTTTCCACGTATCATCACGTGCCCTAACGAGGTAGGAAAGACTATCTGGAAAGTTAGCTAGAACCAACCTAAGACTAATACCGGCAATCAGATGGTTGCCATGTCCATGGCGGACGGCTATGCCCGACTGACGGGCAAGCCCCAATGTGTGATCGTGCACGTCGACGTCGGAACCCAAGGCTTGGGAGCCGCAGTGCACAATGCAAGCACGGGGCGTGCGCCAGTGTTGGTGTTTGCCGGGCTAAGCCCCTTTACGCTCGAGGGCGAGATGCGTGGATCACGGACCGAGTATATCCACTGGATACAGAACGTCCCGGATCAGACACAGATCGTCGGCCAGTATTGCCGATATGCTGCTGAGATCAAGACAGGCAAGAACATCAAGCAGATGGTGAACCGAGCGCTACAGTTCGCAACCAGCGGCCCCCAAGGACCCGTATATCTGGTAGGAGCGAGGGAGGTCATGGAAGAAGATATCGAACCTTACTCGCTCGAGCAGGGTGACTGGAACTCGGTAGAACTTGGTGGGCTGACCCCGAAGGCATCGAAAGCCATTGCTGAAGCATTGCTGGGCGCCGAGAACCCGTTGATCGTTACGGGATTCGCGGGTCGTAATCATAAGATACCGGGCGCGCTGGTAGAGCTGGCGAACGCCGTCAAAGGCTTGCGAGTGCTGGACACCGGTGGCAGCGACATGTGCTTCCCGGCATCGCATCCCAGCTGGCTTGGACTCCGGTTTGGCGTCGAGCCCATCATCGAACAGGCCGATGTCATTGTCGTGCTGGATTGTGACGTGCCCTGGATTCCAACGCAGTGCAAGCCGAGGAAGGATGCGAAGATCTTCCACGTCGATGTCGACCCTCTCAAGCAGATGATGCCTCTGTTCTACGTGCCCGCCCAGCACCGCTACCGTGCTGACGCCCTCACCGCCGTGGAACAGCTGGCGTTTGATGCCAAAAACATGGCAGGGAGTGCCGACTCGGGGGTCAGCGCCAAGAAGTGGGAAGCACTAGAAGCCTCTCACAAAGAGCGCCTTGATACGATCGGATCGAAGACGAATCCTGCGGCGGATGGCTCTTTCGGAGTTGGCTATCTTTGCAAGTCGCTGCGCTCGCTGTGCCCGGATGACACCATATGGGCCATCGAGGCGGTGACGAATACGGGATTCGTGCATGACAACATCCAGCCCGAGCTACCCGGATCGTGGATCAACTGCGGTGGAGGTGGTTTGGGGTGGTCGGGCGGTGGTGCTTTGGGCATCAAGCTCGCAACGGATGTAGAGAGCGGCGGCAACGGTAAGTTTGTTGTACAGATTGTCGGCGATGGAACGTTCCTGTTCTCGGTTCCCGGCAGCGTGTACTGGATAGCAAGGAGATACAAGATTCCAGTGTTGACCATCATACTCAACAATAAAGGTGAGTCCATCCCACCCATACCTCAACCTCAGTGTGGGTACCTGTTGGCTAACGGGGGTAAAGGCTGGAACGCCCCACGAAAGTCGATGCTCCTGGTTCACCCGGACGGCCTGGGCTCGACGGCGACGAACGAAGAGATCAACATCTCTTTCGATCCGTTGCCCGACTATGCGGGGATTGCCAAAGCGGCTGCTGGAGGCGATCTGTTCGCGGCACGGGTCGAGAAGACTGACACACTGGAGGCGACTGTCAAGGAGGCCATCGAAGCTGTCCAGGGTGGACAGAGTGCAGTTCTAGACTGCAAGGTGACATTTGGTTGCTAAAACACAGCTTCACCTGACTGAGATAGTTGGCGTCACAGCTGGCTCACAATCTGACCCTTACAGGGTCGTGTAGGCGCTATCGTTCTGGAAGATGTATCCATATATGTGTGTGAAGAGCGCAGACCCCATTAGGAACGAACCCTTATGACTGTCTCCATCACTAAAGTATGCAGTGTTTGATGTCGCATAGTCTCCTCTGGTGCCCTCGACAGATAGCCCCAGTTGGAAATGAAGCACCCTCGCGAACGTCCAGAGTTACTGATACGATTTCCCAAACCAGCTGCCAGTCTGATGGCCCCGTGGTGCCGGAAGCTCCCGACGCGTCGGTGGAGTTCGAAAGACTCAAGAGGATGGCGATATAATATTGATCGATCACTTGCATTCGCCCTTGGCTGGGTCTGGACCATGGAGCACGACATGTGGCGAGCTCTAGCTACCTACCAGTGGCAGACTACCACGACCAACAGGCATGGAGAGTTGCAAGGGGCGGTTCCGAACCTGCAGGTGGTATCTGGTGGGTGCAAGCGAATGCATACATGTACTGTACCTGGCCTGCTGGCTCAACACACCGGTATACCATGCGCCTCTCCAGCGGCTCTGATCGACACTGCGCATAGGGTACTGACCCAACTGTCACTGAACAGATTCAGCAGCTGAGAGGGTGCAAATGGGTGAAGGGCAACCTATTTGTGATTGACTGTCAGACATACTTCGCTTGAACATGCTGTCTTCGTGCTGACCAGTTTCCCCTCACTTCCCCATGATTCACAATTTGGAGAACAAGTCCGCATCCCGCGCGCAGAGAAGCGAATGTGACCATACCTTAGAGTACCTACCCATGTCGGCATAGGTGTTCGCATCAAGAAGAGGCCTTTTCCAGCTTCCAGAATCCAGCATTGTGTTCTGTCACGGCGTTGACTAAAACACCACCTCTCTGAACCAACCTCTGAGCCAGCCTCTGAAGCGGCTGCTTGCTGTACAAGTCAACGGGTCGAGGCAGCCCGCATGCGCACCTGTCCCATAAAGGGAAGAGGCTGCATTGGAGAGGCTGGCTGGACTAGTCACGAGATGCTGCGTGGTACCTTTTGAATGTTGCACTCACTCCATGGACCATCAGGAGGTTGTGAATGCCAAGTTGAACCTGGCACCCTGGACCCCTCCAGCTGGGATGTTGGAGATTCGAGATGTCGCGACCCCACCATCGCCCACTGAAGCCAACTGAAGCCCACTGAGGATAGGTCTGTTGTAGCGGCTCTTTTCGGCCCATCCTCGAGGCATTTCATTTGCGCCCGAGCCTAGACCACTGGCGGGGTAGCTACCTCTAGCCTGGGACCACTTGGCGGCACTTGGCCACCTGCATTGTTCACGAACAGAGGAGCAGGACATGGACAAATGGAGACTGGAGGAGGAGAAGTGGTGGAAAGAGAAGAAAGAAAGCAGTCTGGTCTGAAAACAACCACCTCCCCCCCAATCCCCAATCCCCAATGCGCTCGAATACCTCAGTCACATCACGACCTGCCTAGATGGTACTATTGCTATCGATCCGACCACGCCCGTCTTTCCATCAATCCGTCTGTTCACCGGTGAAAGCCACTCGAATTATATCGATTTGGAACAGCACTGTGTTCGACCTGCTCCCGCTAGCTGTTTTCCACCATGGTCGCGCAATTCTTCCCTGGGCACATATTCCGGCTTCATTAGCAGACTCACTGTCTGCTAGCCATTCAGAGAAAGTCCGGAACCTATCCATTGCAACGGTGCTCGAAACGAACACGCGGGACCATGTGCATGTGCCTGCAAGGTTGATACCCAAACGGCTATTTGGTCGAGATAACGACACCTAGCCTGTTCAAGTCGAGCCGAGTCGAGCAACACAGAAGTGCCAATATATCCAAGCGAGTGGCGATACGACACATATCAGGATATCCTAGGCCCAAGTCATACCGCAAGACACGACACCGCACCTACCCTTCGACCCTTCGACAACGCCAGCACTCACTGCGGGTGACTACAAACTTTGAAGGAGAAGCCCGTCTAACGTCCAACGGCCAAGATAGCGCAATGTCAGACGGCAGCTGCCAACAGGAACAGGATGGTCTGGAAGTAGGAAATGAGAAGAACATCACCCCAACGACGCCTCCGCCGAAGCCAATCCCCTCCAAAGACCCGAAGCTAGCATCGCAAGCTCGAACTCCTCCACCTCTCCATGTCGTGCCGACAACCTCCTCTCAGGACCTCTTCAAGCTGTCCCCTCTGGCTGCCATGAAGCTGCTAAGTGGCGGCGTCGAAGCTCTCGTCCGCATGACGGGCGACATCCCACCCACGCCGCCTCCCACGAGCCCTACCATTCCTCATATGCGCGGTATGCAAAGAGAGAAGGCTGCTATTGTGCGGTCGCATTCGCAGAGAAACCTATCGCGCCTGCGAGAACAACAGGCTGCCGCCCCTCCCCATCAACAGCAACAGCAGGGCTTCTTCGACACGCCGCCAGCGACATGCCAGCCCATCGACGGTGTCCATCTTCGACAGACTCCCACGCCGCCGCCGCCGTCCACGGCTCCCGAGCCGTACATCGTCATTGGTGCAAATTCGCAACCCCTCAACCTCCAACATAGTGCCATCACGCGGAAGTTCTTTAGTAAAGCTCCTCCGCCCATCAGCATCGAGGACTACCTGCTGCGGATCCACCGATTCTGCCCCATGTCGACGGCCGTCTACCTCGCCACGTCGTTTTACATATTCCGGCTCGCCGTCGAGGAGCGTGCAATACCGGTGACGAGAAGGAATTGCCACCGGCTGCTTCTGGCTGGCCTTCGGGTGGCGATGAAGGCGCTGGAAGATCTTAGCTACCCTCACGCCAAGATTGCGCAGGTGGGCGGTGTCAGCGAAGTCGAGTTGGCCAGACTCGAAATCAGCTTCTGCTTCCTAGCTGGCTTTGAGCTGGTGGTGAGGGAGGAGACGCTCATGAAGCATTGGGAGACACTGAAGCAGGACCAGGGGCCGGGCGGAGTTGGAGTTGGAGGAACGGTACCGATTTTGAAGCTGGACGCACGACGGAAGAGGGCCTTGAGCCAGGCGGTGGGCTGATAACGAATAGGGGCTCTGCCCTCACGTGCGGCACAGCGACACATGCATACGGCTCAGCGAGATTGGACTGACACTTGATGGGCGCCTCGTTGGCGCAGGGTTGAGGTCGTACGCCTCTCGGATGGTTTCGGGCACTAAGCGACGGGGAAACGCTTCACCACGCGCGGGCCGGGGGTTGCTAGGGCTTACATGCTGGTTCTCGGGCGGTGGTGCAGGCCGATGATGCCAGTCCGTGTCATGGAACTACGACGATGACGAAGGACTTGGGCGGGGTTTCAAATGTTTCTCTCTACCAAAGCATACGAAGGGGGCATACTGGGCTTTGCATCTTGTTATGGCGGTGTTGTTGATGATGGTCTCAGCACACAAGGCAGACGTGGGCAGTTATGTTACTTGATACCCCCCAAGTCTCGCTTTTTGTAGTATAATCTAATGTTGAGTGACGTTGGATGGCCAATTGAAGACTGGGTCCGAGTCTTTGATCATCTAAACTCTTTTTTCATTTGCGATGTCAACAATTATGATTGCCCATTCCCTGAAGAGGCAGGTCTTCTCTTCCATGGATGTAAGCCGTCACTTGCGACGCTGAAGATGCGAAGGCTGTTTAACACAGAGATTGTGCAAGATGTATGTAATGGTCCTAATATTCGTGAAGCAGACTTGACATGTATACTGTTCATACTTTTACATAGGTCCAGCTGTGAGGTCGAAGATCAACTCGTGGTTCAGGGGTGATACTGTGATAGGGGCACACAGTAATAAGCTATGACACTATGCAGATAGCAATATGTCGGCTAACCAAACGAGGAAGGTCGACCGAGACCTCGGAACATCACCATTATTCAGCCGTAGCAACCCGCGCAACGAATGTACTACCCTCAAGGTGCACAGTTGCATCTCATGTCACAGGCTTGCTCGAGCTTCGTGGCCTGTACTCGCGCTACTACGACTCGCAGCAGACTACATCCACCACCACCACAACTCGCGAATAGCTTCAGACAGTTCAGACAGTTCAGACCGAGAGCTACCCCGCCCCCGCTTCACTCCAGCTGTCACGCCTCTATCGTCTACCGCAGATTCGCGACGACCAGCACACCGACGATAGTCAAGATGGCCGACATCGATGTCGAGAGTGTGCTGAAGGGCAAGTATCCCGCCAAAGCTCACGCGGAGCGCGTCGTCGAGTACATCCGCTCCAAGGTCCCCGGTGCGACTGGTGTCCTCTACGTCGAGGGCCGGGCCGACAAGCTGCTGGAGGACAGCGACGAACCCGTCCCCTTCAGACAACGGCGAGCTTTCATGTACTTGACGGGCGCTGACCTGGCCGACTGTTCCCTCGTGTACGACGTCGAAACCGCTCAATCCACCATCTTCATCCCGCCAGTCGACCCCGAGTCCGTCGTCTGGTCCGGTCTGCCGCCCTCGCCCGACCAAGTCCTCGCGCAATACGACGTCGATGCCGTTCTCCCGTCCACAGAGCTGAACCCTATGCTGGTGAACCTGGGCAGCCGTAGCCCCAAGTCGACCGTATTTGCCATTGCCGAGCGCGTCGCCGATGCTGTCACCTTCCTCGAATTCTCCCACAAGGACTTCACCGTCCTGGGCGAGGCCATCGACGAATGCCGCGTCATCAAAGACGACTACGAGATCGCCCTCATCAGGAAGGCCAACCAGATCAGCGGCGCCGCCCATCGAGCCGTCCTCGAGCAGGTCAAGAAGGCCAAGAACGAATATGAGCTCGAGGGCACCTTCATCGGCGCCTGCATGAGGCAGGGGGCGAAAAAGCAGGCGTATCCGAGCATCGTGGCGAGCGGACGGGCGGCCGCCACGCTACATTATGTGGACAACGACAAGCCGCTGGCAGGAAAGGACTTGCTGCTTTTAGACGCGGGTGCCGAGTGGACGTGTTACGCGTCCGATATCGTGAGTCTGTCACTGCGGCTATGACCGTGGGCTGTTGCTGACAAGCTTGCAGACAAGAACCTTCCCCATTTCAGGCAGGTTCACGGAAAAGTCGCGCAGCATATACGAGATCGTTCTACAGATGCAGAAAGACTGCATCAAGATGTTGAAAGGGGGAGTGTCATGGGAGGAAGTACACTTGAAGGCGCACAAGGTCGCCATCGATGGCCTGCTATCTCTAGGCATCTTGAAGGGTGACCGGAAAGAGATTCTCGAAGCCCGAACCAGCACCGCATTCCTGCCACATGGCCTAGGTCATTATCTAGGGATGGACACCCACGACGCGGGCGGTCATCCCAACTATGCCGACTCGGATCCAATGTTTCGGTACCTGCGAGTCAGGAAGAACTTGCCGGCCGGCAGCGTCATTACCGTTGAGCCTGGTGTAAGCATTCCTTCTGCGTCTCAAGCGCAAGCAACGATCCGTCATACTCATACTCATCACAACATAGGTCTACTTCTGCGAGTTTATCATCAAGCCGTACCTGAATGATCCCAAGCACTCCAAATTTATTGACGAGAATGTGCTCAACGGCTACTGGGATGTGGGTGGTGTCAGGCAAGTCACTGCAACTCGAGATATCTGTACACGGCCTCCTCGCTAATTGGAAGTATAGAATCGAGGATAACCTCTTGATCACCAAGGACGGCTCCGTCAACTTGACGGATGCAGTCAAAGACCCCGATGAGATGGAGAGGATCATTCTTGGCAGTTGATCACGCGTTGGACATTGACTACCTGACCATCGTAAGAGATTGAAATGAACGCGATGTGATTAAGAGCATATAGCTCATTGAGCTTCTGGGGTGTGTGCTAGCCCCTACCCATAGATATCCCCATGACTAGAAACTCCTCGGTTCCTTGTCCCCTACCCATATTCGACATACTACTGCCTTCCGCAGAATACAAGTGTCAAGCTGTGTCAAGTTGCTTCCAATTCACTTCAAAGCTTTTCCAACTTGGCGTTTCGAATTCTCACTGGCAGACGGGGAAGCCTCAATGATGATGATGATGATGATGATGATCCCATATGAGTAGACGTATATCTTGTATTTATTTTCTGACTTTCTAGTCCCCAACCAAGCTTGCCACTTACAACTCCGCTCAAACCTCTCCTGTCCTTGAGCTACTGACCTTTTACAAGACCATGCTATCTGATTCGGCGCTGCGGGCGTGGTTTGAAGCTCCTCTTCAGCATCACCTGCTGATCAAACACCCAGGCACCTCCCGGTTGATTTGTTATGACATTGTATGTGCTGTTGTCCGGCAGTATATCAAACTGCATCGTCGAGTTGCCCTCGCGATACGTGCTCTTTTTGGGGCCCGGGGTTAGGTATCCTGCGTCGACCTGTTGTTTCCCAGTCTCGACATCTGTGCCCTTGATGACTCGGTCGAAGAATTCCAGCGAGGCCAAAGGTTGATAAAAGGGTACCTCATGTCCACTCTCATAGATGCGCGTAAAGCTGAACTTCCCGGCCTGTCTCACCTGGCCGTGCACCACGCCATCGCTCGTGCATAGATCGACGAATCCCGCATCGGCGTATCCGGGTGCTGCGACCTCGTCCGCGACTACTTGGCCGCCCAGCCAGTTGCAATTGTAGTCTGCGTCTCCCGCGTACAGGGCGACGGTGATCCCTTTGGAGACCAGGTACCGCGTGGCCTCGATCGTGCCCATCTCCCGACCGTCGTCGCCGGTGTTGTCGAACGCCTCGCCCACGGCGCCGTTGCTTGAGAAGTTGGTGAACGCCCCGATGGCTTCCTGGACCGCCACCGTGTTCAGGTAATCATTGTAGAACCCGTAAGGAAAGGGATCGGGAGTGAGCTCCCGCATGTCGTACTCGTCCCGGCCGAGTACGTCGTCGTACACGGACTCGACCAGGTAGGCGCAGAAGTTGTCGGCATTCTTGCAGACTTGGTTGAGTCCGGAGGCCTTGCAGTCCAGGAGCCGGTCCAAGCAGTTGCCAGGTCCGTACAGGTTGTTGTAGAACATCGATGCGATGGACTCGTTGAACGGGGCGTAGTCATACGTATTCCCAGGGTAAACGGTAAAGTTATAGTAGGCCTGGTATTGCACGATAGGGTCATACCTAGACATGCACGTCAACTGCTAATACAAGGACATATGGAAGCGCCCGGTTCTTACCATCCGTTGCCTATGAGTACTGATTCCAGCTCGATGTGCTTGGCCCCTGAGATGTTTAGAGCGTTCTGCTCCTCAATGTAGGCGTTGAACACAGGTCCGTAGTGCCCACCATAGCTTTCGGTGGCGAAGTGAAACCCATTCCGCGAGTACTGCGGGAAGGCTCCCATGAAGCCTTGCAAAGTCTTCCAGAAGTTGGGCGCCGCGTTGGTGGTCGAGTTCGCCGTCAGCGTGATGTTGGGGTACGCATAGGTTCCACACGAGTCTGCCGGTGCGTAGTCAGGGCATGTTGCGTCCGGCAACACGACGATGCCATTGTCAGTGGCGTAGGCGGGTACCGGCGTAGAGTACGAGAACCCGACCTGGCTCGGCTGGTCGATGAACAGCATGTTGCTGACATTGGACCAGGAATACGGGTTGCTGTAGACATTGCCAAAGTAGTCTACGCGGCAGGGCCCCAGCTCCTCGAACATCCCGATCATGGAACTCGACCCGGGGCCGCCGTTGATCCACACGGTCAGCGGCGCCTCGGACGGGTCCTCGTTGCGCGACTCGAAGAACCAGAAGAATATGTGCTCGCCCTCGCTCACGTCGGCGTAGCCCGAGTAGCTCTTGACGTCCGGGTCCAGCTCGCAGGTCCCGGCCGGAACCTCCTTGTACCGCACGGGGACCCCGGCATACCCGGTGACCTCCTTGAGGGACGAGGGCGACGTGACGAACTGGGATAGCACGGGGGATGCTATCGCCGTGAGCGACAACAGCCAGAGTCCTAGCGGCGCCATTGGTGAGCAGCAGATCCGGAGCGTATGTAATTACGCAGGTCGAGGAACAGGAAAGGGACAAGGCGGCTGGCTGACTGACTCGTACACTGACTTATTTTATATCATTATGTCTGCAACTCACGTCACCTTGCTCGCTCTTTGCGACCCTGCCGCAGTCACGCAGTAGACCCATGTGTGTTCCACTACGGGGGTCAGTACGGGGGTCACCCCGACGATCACCGTGTATACTAGCAGTGGTAGAGCCGACGGGATTGGTCGTGACTCCGGAGAGCTCCCCTAGCTAACCAACTAAGCTACTTACTTATCTCGTCTCCTCTCGCCCGTCCCCTTGCAGCTGCTGTCCACGATAGGTAGCCGACCCGTGTCAATCCCGGTATTTGTTGAACGCCACCATGCTCGAATAGGCATGTCGCTGTCTTATCTGCCAACTTTTAAGTTATGGGATAGTGGAGCCTACTTCCGTTACTTCCAAGGTTGGCTGCTTGGGTCCGCTGTCCGGCCAATCCCTGGTCCTTCCTCCTTCTGGTTCTCGTTCTGGATGCTTCAATTTCGTGTTGATGCACAAACCCCTTGTTTGTCTTCTTCTTCGTTTCCGTGTGTCTTTTCATGGTGAGCGCTGGAACAAAAGCAGTAGTCCTCAAGTGTTTGTTCTTAATTAATTCATCAGATGCAACCTACCTATTATCTACCAACAAGTCCTCCGCTACCTCTATGTCCTTTGCTACAATAATCAACCATTCTGACAAGCTTACAAGGCTTCCAAAACACATGCGAATATATGCCCCAACCAATTTCCTCCCAGTCATCAAGAGATGTTGTGTAAGTTATCCAAGAAGCGCCAACATGGCCACAACCATCAAACCGCCCATGACCAGTGTGCCCGACGCTGTTCCGGCAGCACCATCCTCGGACGGTGGCCCAGAAACAGCCGCGTTGGAGGTTACCGTTGTCGCACTAGACCTCGGGTACCCAGCAGGAGGAGATGAACTGAAGATCGATGTATACGTGTTCGAGCCGTACGCGAATGTGACAACGGTCGCTTGGTCACTCGCAGAGTTCGTAGTGGGCGTCGCCTGCGAGTTCGGGGCGCTGTTTGGTCCATTTGAAGCCGAGGTGGCAATAATGATCCCGCCGTTACTCAAGGCACTGCTGGCTCCGCCGTTGTTGGAGCCGCCGCTTCCGATGTTCGAAGCCGAGGCAGCAGGTCCGCCGTTACTTGACGGGCTGTTTGCAACGTTCGTGGCCCAGGGGCTGCTTGCATAGTACATGCTGCTTGTATAGTACACGCTGCCTGCAGCGTCCGTGGACCAGGGCTTGCTTACATAGTACGCGCTGCTTCCAACGTTCGAGACCCAGGGGCTGCTTTTGCCGTTACTCCAGGCAGCCGAGTTGACCCGTGTGACAGTGGTGGTGATGGGGTTCACACCCCGCGTAATTGAGAAATCTGCAATGGTGCTGACGATGGTGGCTGCTGGCGGATCCTGCCCGGCAACGGGTGAAGCCTGATCCCATTCTGTCACAATTGACTGCGGTTGATGTAGTCAGTATATGGGTGAAAGGGGTTGAGGTGGAGTGTGGTTCGAAAGTCGTGTCGGAAAAAATTGACCCTCAACAGACTCAGGAAACGGGGTAGGCTTAAGACAGGGGTAAATAGTGCGATGGCGGCACTAGACAATGCTTACTGTAGATGTGGCCCAGTCTGTTTCCGTTATATAAATCGTGTCTATCTGTGATAGCCACTGTAGCCAATGTCAGCATGCGCTGGTCCCATAGGCCAGCCATGATCCGAGCAGCGAAGGACAAGCCTGCGAGAGCCTGAATGGGGGCAACTGGTATACCGCATGTTGACCGGGGGCGTTAGACGTACAATAGTAGACGAAAAAGGCGGGTCGCAAACTCCTGGGGCAGTCTTGATATCGTTCTAGCATATGAATTAGCCGGTGGTCCCCATCTATAAAGCACTTTATCGTGCATCGATTAGGGTGAAGCCGAATGCTTTATACGATTGCATATGCCTGGTTTGCGAGAACGGGGGAAGACTCACATAATACTCAGTAATGGTCAAATAGTTCACCGGGCAGTTCACCGGGTCGGCGTTCCCGGGGTCAGCATTCGCGGGTGCACAAGGCTCAGTCTGCCTGCAATGTCAATACCAAGACCCAATGCTTCGGGCCGTCACGCTCCGTGGGTACTGGGAAACGAGGTGCTCTCACGTACTAGATCATTCGTTAGTATCATGGGTAACGGGGAGGAAACGGAGACCCAGGGATAGGCAGGGCATGTGCTAAGGGCAAGAAACAGGCCTTACCAACTGTTATATATTCCTGGGGACTCTCCGGTGCGGTATACCACTCCGTTGCGGTATACCAGTCCGTCATGGTATTCCACTGCGTTGCGGTATACCACTCTGTTGCGGTATTCCACTCCGTTTCGGTATTCCATTCCGTTGCGGTATTCCACTCCGTTGTGGTCTCCCAGTCCGTTACGGTCTCCCACTCCGTTGCGGTCTCCCACTCCGTGGCTGTCTCCGTGGTTGTCTCCCACTCCCAGGCTGTCTTCGTCGCCCAATCCGTTGCGGTATTCCACTCCGTTGTGGTTTCCCACTCCGTTGCGGTCTTCCACTTCGTGGCTGTCTCCGTGGCTGGATCCCACTCCGTGGTTGTCTCCCACTCCGAGGCTGTCTTTGTTGCCCACTCCGTTGCAGTCGCCCACTTTGTGGCTGTCTCCGTGACAGTTTCTGCCTCATGGCACAATGGCTCCGGGGGCGGGAGGTGAGGCTTCATGCCGCCGCCAGCGTGATCCGAGGGACCTTTGCTGTCCTTGGCCACGTCGCTGTGACCAGACTCGTCATCGTGACCTCCATGACCGCCCTTTCCACCGAACCAACCGCCACCTCCATGGCCACCCCCATCGCCACCGCCAATCCCAAACTTGCCGCCTTTGCCTGGGCCCCCTTTAAACGCAGCCGCGGCTGTAAGGAGTAAGGGGATCAAGCCATGTGAGGCCTTCATGATGCCGGTGCTTGGGCGGGTAGTAGAGAGAAGAGATAGATGCCTGGAACTCAGTCGCTAGGCCTTCAGATCAGATAGCTGATTTGAATCCTTGAGTTTCACAGTAAAGATACACGAGAACAATCTCGGGCTCTGAACGACATGAAGCTCCTTGAAGGGAATATATACCTTGGCATGACAGGTCCAGCAAAACCCAGCATGTCTGGGACCATGTCATGAAGACTGCAACGTCGTTGGAACTGCTGAAACGCTGCTCCAAAGGCAAATGCTCCTGTTCGGGCTGGATGAGTAGCATTTTTTTGATTTCATGGGAGATCTGTGCATCGGTTTCAGTCGCAAACATACTCTCGCAATGTGGCAAGGTGTTAGGCGGCATTGTGAAAGTCACAGCTGAGTCAGCAACCTCTGCCAGTGCTTGGTTTATGGTCATTCCCGTTGTCAGTTAGCAACGGCAGAGGTTATGTGTGCGTGTCTCACTGCCTCCACTGAGGCTATGGATGGCGTCAAAGCACCGTGATGTCGGCTAGGTCTCGAGTAAAAAGGGGTAGGGTAGTTGTGTCAGCCAGGAGACGCAGCGACTAGAACGAGCTTGCTCTGAGTGCAAAAACACATGTTGCCGCATGTCACGGCATGCTAGAAAGAAGTCAAACTTCCGGTAGACAGTCCGGGATTCCCCAACTGCCTTGCCTTGTTGACCCACTGAACGTTTAGCCTTCCAACGTCGCCTTTGCGTAGGTTGGTGGACGCCAACGCTCGAGCGTGGCTCGACCACAAGCTTGAGTAAATCCCAGCACACTGTCCCTTACGAAGCAGAATGATGGAGCCCCAACAAGACGAGCGTGGCCAGGTGTACAGCCTATCAGCTGCATGTGTTCCATCCAGCGACGCCGCAGGATTGGCAGTATGAAGATCGGTGTTTCCTACGGACATTCAAATGCCCATGTGCTTGGACCTCGGTTGCGTCATCTTCGAAAGAAGGAAAGGGGCGCCGAGGAAGACAACAACCTCGTGAATATGGTGCCGTGGCTAAGGTATAGTGCCGTGAAGACGCTCAGACATTAGTACACAGACAGTACATCAAGCCTTTAGAACCAGTGTTCTATATTTGCACACGTCGACTACCGATGCGTTTGTTTCCGCTGGGGCAGGTAGTAAGTAGTGCACGTCGTGGGCTAAGCAGACGATACAGTCCGAACATGAGGGTTGGCGAGGGCTGGTATGGCTACCCCTACGCCGTGAGCTCATGACTGGACGCTTCGCCGCGTGCGGGCTCCTCACCGCTCGTTTCGCGCATGCCGAAGGAGCCGTATAAAGCCCTGCCAGGTCTCCGAAGCCCCCCGATCTAGGACCTGCCTCTAGTCAGCCACAGACGTCGAGATGAGGTTCGCGGAGTAATCAGTACTCTTGCCGTAGCCGTGTGAGATGGGTGGTGAGACTGGGGATGCAGTCAGCTTTTAGACACGCCACGCCACACGCCGGTCACCTGGTTGCGATCCTCTGCGGCCGTACAATACAGCTCTGCGAAGGTGGGAACGTGAACGTAGTTCCCAAGGAAGCCTCATCCCCCACGCGATGCCGGTCCAGTGCTCGAATGGATGAACTTGAAAGTCCTGCCAAAGAAGTGTATGCTTGGCATCGTGCGATGAGAGTCGAGACGCGAGACGCGAGATCTTTCGCATCTCCATCTTCATCTGGGGCCTGCAAGCAAGTCACCGTACTTGTGCGTGCGGGACCATGTCAGCTTGCGGGGCCTGCCCATGAGAGCAGCGAGATCTTATCATTTCTTGCCAAGTTGGCTCGGCATCAAGTAGACACTTGTAAGTTGTCACGATGTTGTGCTTGTGTGCCGGTGAGCGAGTGAGAAACTTTTCCAGGGCACCGCACAGACCAAAGAGTGGTTCCTGTCGATCAACTCTGCATCGGAAGGATGTCCAAGATACAGCGACGATCGAAGATCCTAGCCTTTCTCATCTGGCTTCTGGCCTTTGCCATACCCCGGCACCCCAGCTGCCTGGCGTACCGTACCCGACGGTCCCCACTGGGGAGAGCTTGGCTTTCTTTAATTAGTATCGATCTCGTAGCTAAAAGCGCGATGCTCGTGACGATTACAGCATGCAACTAATATCATGCACTTTCTCGTCGATACGACGACTTCCTATTTCCGTAATAAGCCGCCAGACCCAGTGCCTACGGAGGTTGTCGCAGTAAACCAATTCACCCGTCATGGAACAATGCCGCGTGCCGTCCATCACCTGGTCCGACGGGGGCATCTATGGACCCGGGCCCCGGAGCAGGATGACCATTTGTTCGCGTCTTGCGCCTACGGGACGGAGCCTCATTCGCCTGCTTCCTTCTCGAAGGATGGCCGACGAGAGATACAGTTGGAGATACAGTTGGGTCTCCAGCTGGCGGTGGGGAGACCACTCCCTGTTCTTCGCATCTGCCGGAGTCAGCTTGCTGTGTCAAGTTGACGACCGCTCATACTGTACGCCCGGAGCAAATTCCGACGCCCAGGAGGTAATTGCTGTTACCTACCGGTCAAGGCAGTCGGCAGATGGTGACCGGCATCATCACTTGCGATTGCCGTCTCGGGGGAATACCGTAGGTGTGAGAGACTCATGCCAATATCATGTTCGGATGCTTTATTACTGGCCTGCCGCACCCGCATCATGCATGACCGTCGAGTGCAACGCAGCTAGACGCACCAGCAACGCGACGCACACATACTACGTGCCCTACGTGCATGAGAATGCAACCATCGCCTGCAGCTGAGCACCATGGCACATCCCTTTGAGGCCCCTTATTATATTCAGCGCGCGGTAAAGCGCCTCAGTCAGAGCCGACGTCGACCAGCCCTGATCTCACGCTTGACTCGGCCCTATTAGATTTACGGCTTCAGGCGGCTCGCTGTCATCAAGCGACGACGACCCGTTCCGTTTCCCTTCCCCCGGACGCTCACCGAAGTATAAAATCCCCAACAATTTCATACATGTCCCCGAAGCTTGCGATAGCGTTCTCATTGGCCGTCTCGCACATCTCTGCCCACTATTCGAGCCCGCCTCCTAGTCTAGCGTAGCCGTCCTGACAGATTCCATATCTGGGATTCCGCTGGGTCCAGATCCCAGCTGCACGGAAATAGCACAGTTATTATGTATTTAATAGCTGACTGATATCAACGTACACTAGGGTACTTTCTCGTCGTCTTGACGTTCGCTCGAGTGCTACTCTTGCAGCCGTCGAACATCGTCACGTTCTGTGCCCCTCTTCTGCCGAATGGCCAATGCTGATGAGAAGACCCCGTGATGGCTGCATCGCAGTCTACGGCCACCACCATTACCTATGTATACTGATGGCGCCATCGTGGAAAAACGGGGTATTATCTACAGTAGATTGCTCATAGATTGCGTCACAGTCTACGGTAGACAGACGCGCTCCAGTTGTTTATTCAATGGGTCACCGACTGGGTGAGTTGGTGAGACTAGCCCATGCCCGACCTGTCCGCCTGCCAACAACCTGTCAGAAACCCTTCATTAAGCTCTGTGGATGGCTACGTTGTTTATGAGTAGTATGTAATATGTAGGGCAAGAATCCAAATCGGCAACATGGTGATTGGTTCTTGGTTGGTTCTTGATTGGTTGTTGGTTGGTGAATTGACCTGCCATCAAGATTCAACAGTGAACAGTCAGCAACCCTGTGACGATCGGCGTTGAGCCTCTTCACTGTTCAGACGTAGGCGGACAACTTGAAACACTCTTGGGGTTGGTCTGAACTTTGAAGGTGCCGCCACGCAGCCACGAAGAGATACTATTCCACTGATGTTAGCTCGCGACGGGTCATCGTTACCGGCCTCGCCACTCTTGTCACTTGACTGGCATCCATTTGTCTGCCTTTGGTGGGATCCACGTAGGTCGCCAATCCTTCGGGATGCCCAGATGTCAGATGTAAGATAAGATGCAATCGAATCCTTGTCGCCACACACGGCCCACTGGTGGTGCGTTTGAACTTTGCGGGCCTCACCGCTCTTCATATTCTGCATTAGGAAAACCAAACCAATACAACCCCGGCTGCCCGGGAGTCGTTGGTAACATTGAGTGATAACGGACACAGGGTACTCAGATCCTTCGTGATTGTCATAGATGATAGCAGTACCTTAGGATAGGTCGACTCGGCATTCAGAACCCTTCGTATCGCACCACGAATATTGAACTGTTATCTACTGACACCTTGAGGATACGAGGATTGGTAAGGGGAGCCACACGATGGTGCCCTCCTTCCATGTTGTCGTATGATATATTGACCTGAAGCCTTCAAGATTGACAGGAAGCTGCCGCATCGACGGCGGGGTCGGGGAAGTGCGTTTCGACTAGCACGCAGCGGGGGAGGATGGGACTTCCTATCGCGAGAATAGTCGCCTTGATGAGCAAGCAGGGGTTCGCAGATAGTATAGTAGGACGACCGCCTGCGAGGCACAGCTAGGGGTTGCTTCCACTACTGCGCATGCGTCTGCGACGCCGGTGAGATCAGGAAACGGCAACATCTAGTGTCGATCGCAGCACCGGGGTAGGGCGGATATGCTAGGGAATGAAGGTTGCTGAGGGCTGCTGGCTGGGTTGGACACTTTTCGGGGCATTCGAAGGGTCCATTGGAGCCGGTTGTGGCGTGAGTGCGGCGAGCGGCATGCGTATCAGAGGCAGCAAGGTTGTCTGATCCACGGATATCGTGTGTGAGTTGCGGGCGAGATTTCATAAAGGAGGGCCGGTGTCGGGGTCTTACCAAGACATCAAACGGTTGTGTGGCGCGTCTGGGTGAACAGGTGCTATCGTATGCATCCTTGATGGTATCAAGGCGATGGTACGAACATGCTATGTGGTACACGCGCTTGCCTGAAGGTTGAGCGACGTCTTAGACTGTAGCAGGTCGTCTCTCTCTCTCTCTCTATATATATATAGGAAGGAAGAGGCTGAGGAGCTGTCAAGGTCGGAAATTGTGGGATCGTGAGG